CAATAGAATTTTCAATTAAATTTTTTCCAAAAAACATTTTTTTCAGAAAACTCTAAGAAATTAACACTAAGCATTTAAAATTTCGTTGAAAACACAATTATAGATTTGGCATCTTGGAGCAATTACTGAAAGGCTGTCAAATGACTTAACTCTTGACAGGCCAACATAAAGTTGTCCATGACTAAAAACTTGTTTAGTCAATACTAAACTGATTTTCTCAAAAGTCTGACCTTGTGACTTATTTATAGTCATGGAGAAGGCCAGCCTAATTAATTCCTAATTGAGTTTAAATTAAATATTATTATGTTTTTAGGGCATGAATCTGAATTGAACAACCTGATAATGCTCACTCTGGTTATTGTTTCCGTTTTTAAAAGCGCTATATGTTGAGCCAGTTTAAATTAAATATTATCATGTTTTTAGGGCATGAATCTGAATTGAACAACCTGATAATGCTCACTCTGGTTATTGTTTCCGTTTTTAAAAGCGCTATATGTTGAGCCAGTTTAAATTAAATATTATCATGTTTTTAGGGCATGAATCTGAATTGAACAACCTGATAATGCTCACTCTGGTTATTGTTTCCGTTTTTAAAAGCGCTATATGTTGAGCCAGTTTAAATTAAATATTATCATGTTTTTAGGGCATGAATCTGAATTGAACAACCTGATAATGCTCACTCTGGTTATTGTTTCCGTTTTTAAAAGCGCTATATGTTGAGCCAGTTTAAATTAAATATTATCATGTTTTTAGGGCATGAATCTGAATTGAACAACCTGATAATGCTCACTCTGGTTATTGTTTCCGTTTTTAAAAGCGCTATATGTTGAGCCAGTTTAAATTAAATATTATCATGTTTTTAGGGCATGAATCTGAATTGAACAACCTGATAATGCTCACTCTGGTTATTGTTTCCGTTTTTAAAAGCGCTATATGTTGAGCCAGTTTAAATTAAATATTATCATGTTTTTAGGGCATGAATCTGAATTGAACAACCTGATAATGCTCACTCTGGTTATTGTTTCCGTTTTTAAAAGCGCTATATGTTGAGCCAGTTTAAATTAAATATTATCATGTTTTTAGGGCATGAATCTGAATTGAACAACCTGATAATGCTCACTCTGGTTATTGTTTCCGTTTTTAAAAGCGCTATATGTTGAGCCAGTTTAAATTAAATATTATCATGTTTTTAGGGCATGAATCTGAATTGAACAACCTGATAATGCTCACTCTGGTTATTGTTTCCGTTTTTAAAAGCGCTATATGTTGAGCCAGTTTAAATTAAATATTATCATGTTTTTAGGGCATGAATCTGAATTGAACAACCTGATAATGCTCACTCTGGTTATTGTTTCCGTTTTTAAAAGCGCTATATGTTGAGCCAGTTTAAATTAAATATTATCATGTTTTTAGGGCATGAATCTGAATTGAACAACCTGATAATGCTCACTCTGGTTATTGTTTCCGTTTTTAAAAGCGCTATATGTTGAGCCAGTTTAAATTAAATATTATCATGTTTTTAGGGCATGAATCTGAATTGAACAACCTGATAATGCTCACTCTGGTTATTGTTTCCGTTTTTAAAAGCGCTATATGTTGAGCCACCTCATGTGACATTTGCCATGTGACATTTTTAGTATCAATCATTGGTCGATTTTCTAACGTTGCCATTCGGGGAGTTGTTATGAGGCTTTTTTTTGGTGCCGTGTAAGAGAAATATATATATAGATGATACTTTGAATTTAACTAGCCGCAATTTTGTGCAATATTAGTGTTTCCTAAAATCAAACCATTAGAAAACCTATGCTTTTTTATACATATAATTTCCTTTATAAATTGAAGCAAATTGAATTAGGTTTTTCTTATTTGGCATATCTTGCATAGTTTTGGATGAAAGAGAAATATCTATCTTTAACTACTGCTTTTAACAACTTACGATACATCTGAGTGTGCTACTCAAACACTGTCTGAAGTCCAGATAGTTTCAGTCTAAGTACCAGTATATTGTTTAATAAAGGATTCTAGATTACTCTGTTTTAGTATTTGGTGAGGGGCCGGGATAGCCTGGTTAGTAGGGAGCTGGGCTCATGTCCGAGAGTTCGTGGGTTCGAACCCCGCCGGCCGAAGACTCCCCGTGTAGTAAAGTGTCTTACGTTAAATCTGTCGAGTCGCAAAAGTCCTCCATGTTCCCATAACAAATCAATGCCTCTGGGGGTACTGGATGGGAAATCGATCGTTCTCTGATTCAGGTCAAAATTACGATCTGTGGATGAATGAATAGATGTATGAATGGGTCCGCCCTGTAAACGGGTGCGACGTAACGGGTGTGGCAGAAGTCAAATTCTTGGCCATAGATGGCTCCACTGAGAAACAAGAAACGCACACTCTGCCTTAAATTTGCTCGGTTTCACCAAGCGTTTCACCAAGCAGGCTTGCCCGTGTGGCAAGTTGCATTAGAAACAACAACAACAACAGTATTTGGTGAAACAACGAAGCGATCCAAGCAGAACTGCAAAAGCTGTTTTCGGGGCCAGCTAGCGATAGCGAAAAGGGGGGTGGTAGACCACTGACAAAAATGATTCTCATTTATTAACACTTTGCTTAAAAATCTTAAATATTTTATACAACTGCTAGGTATTCTATTTTATGCTTGTGTTTAATACACTGTAAAAATTTTCATTCTAAAATTATGATAAAATAACAGGCAGCAGTCTGCCCATCCGTTTAACCGTTAAGTTTACGGTAAAGAACATTTTTTACCTTTACGGTTTTGTAACCGTTTACTATTTGTATATCTGTAACGCCATGAACGTTTTTTTAACCATTTACAACTAGCATGGTTTCAAAACAGTAAAAAAGAAGTTTAACTGGACATACGAGTTAGGCTTTTCGTTAGGTAATGGGCATTGGAGAGTGCAGGACACCGGAAACTCTTCACGTGTTGATGGAAATGGAGGAATTATTGTGGTGTCAACGCTGGGAATCTAACCCCAATTCTGTTATTCATGGAACTGACGCATTAGCCCTCGCGGTTATAATATGTATCCATCTGCAAGTAACTAAGTGGCTTTATTAGGTTGGCTTAGTTGGTGAGATAAAAGTCTTGTTGCTTAACCGTATTAGGTGAAAGCAGTTAATAAACTGTTTTTCTCACAGTTAACAGTTTGATTACCGTCTTCTTTATGGTTAGTTGGCTGTTTCGTTTAAATATGGTTAAATAACAATGAAATAAATTGTTATTTAACAATTTTTTCGTTAAATTTTCTACAGTATATGTCTACGATAACTTATAGAACCTGCTAACAAAAATTCCTTCATCATGTTTCTTATCATTCTCATTAATTATTTTAATTAAAAAGCCACTCTATAGAATGTCGAAGAATTCTATAGATAGGTGAGTACTTCAGTCATTCTTAGGCATTTTTACAATCACTAAGCGAAGCATAAGTAATAATTCTCAAATTTTACATTTTACCCTCCAACTCAGGTATTCTCTACAATAAAGAAATTTTGTGCTATAATAGTGGAAAGTCATGATTTTTAATTTAAATAATGGTTGGATAGGGTTCTGGAGTACCATGCTGTCATTATTTTACATGTTATTTGGCCAATTCAAAAGAAATTACAATGCACGAGCATAAAATTTTAAATATATAAAGAGAAAGTCAAGTTTTATAATCGCGCATAAACTGCTAGTACATAGAGCTCATAAGATTTCCAAAGATTGAAACACAAGGAAAATTGACAAGCTCGAAAGATTGAAACAGAAGGAAAATAAGTGAAAAACAAAAAAAATATAAGGAAAATAAGGATTTTGAATAAAAAAAACTTAAAAAATTTAAATGAAACAGGTAAAAAATTAAACAAAATTAGTCAAATTAACAACAAAAAGATATAATCTCGTCATCATCTAACACGATTATATTCTCAAAAATAGCGTTTTCTAATACTGTATTAATATACCCAAAACAAAATATATCTATAAAATAGTGTAAGTGTTATTAATTATGTTAGCGTGAATGTTATTAATTATGCTAATGTGAATGTTATTAATTATATTTATGAGTGTTATTAATTATGTTAGTGTGAGAGTTATTAATTAGTCTGAGTGTTAATAATTATGTTACAATTGAATTATGTTTTCAAATCAGTTCCATTTGTTATGGAGCTCCTCATACTATTTTAAAGATATATTTTATATATATTTTGCAGATGTAATCACGTGAGCTTTCATTGTTTATTTGTGTAAGTTTTTTATGTTTTTAATAATGTTTATTCTTTTTAATTTATATATATATATATATATATATATATATTTACAATAAAATTTNTATATATATATATATATATATATATATATACACAAATTTTTTTAAAATTAAAATTATGAAAAATTAATTAAATTTTTATTTAAAAAAATTATGAAAAACCCGGAAAACAGAATAAAGAAAGGATATAATCTCGCCATCAGCTCACACGATTATATCGGCAAAAAGAGATGCTTTCTAACATTAATTAATAATAATTTCTCTTCTTCTCTTTTCATTAATTTTTATTATTTTTCCCTGTATTTTTAACTTATTTTATGAACTCTATATACTTGCAGCTTATGTGCAGTTAATAAAACCTATTAATTTTCTTCGTTTTTTTCTCTTTCCCTTTCGTCTTTATTGTGTTATATATATCTAAAGAGAGTGCACAATATAAATAGAAAATATATTCAAAAATCAAAGTAGTAAGTTACATATTCCGAATTTTTTAAAAATTTTTTCAGTTATTTTGAATTATTTTGAAGAAATCCTCCTCAAAAACAAACAATCAAATTAAAGTACAATCTTCAAAATTCCGAGTCACTCACAGTCACGACAATACCTCAGAATTTTCTCAAATAAACCATTAAAAAGAGCTCAACTACAGCTCCAAATACAGGAACTAGGGTGCGGATCGCGAAGGAGGAAACATGTCACCAAAAATAATATTCTTCGTGCTTTCAGTAACGCGGCCATCCCATCCATCTAAGTGATTGAAGTTTCTTAGAATGACCGATGGTCGCATACAATTCTACAAAGATAAGAACGAGTATATAAACCAATATTTCGACAACAGTCTTGCGGATAGCCGGTGGAATCATCTCGTCTTTCGATTAGAGCATCTCTTCAAACATGACCGTGAAAGAAAAGCAATCTCAGATCTTACCCCTGTTTAAGAAATTAACTGCCCTATCACCAGAACCTTTGCCAGAGGCTGAAAGGGATGCTCGCCTGAAAGGGGTTGGAGCACTTCCCAGAGGAAGGCTCTTTTCATGTTTTCATGAAGATCATCTAGGAGAGGCTCAGGCCCTCTATGAAGTACTGTATGGTGAGCAGAATTTATAACTTTCTTTTCTCGAATTCATTCATTTTGTAAGTCTTTTAAATTATTTTTGAAGTTGTTCAATTATATCAACGTTAAATTATCTTCAATTATCTCATCCTTTTTGTCAGTCCTTAAATTTTTTTTTCATCAGTTCTTGAATCTCTAGTTATATTTTAACATTCAATTTTAATGTAATTTGATAAATCATACTTTTGTTAGTCTTAAATTGCTCTTGAATGAGTCTCGTCACTTAAATCTTTAGGTATATCGATATCTATCAATTAAATCTTTCTTAAAGTATTTTAAGGTTGGGTATTAAAGCAATTCATGCTATTCTTACTTTTTCTACTCAAAGTAATTCTTTAATAAGTTTTTGACTCTGAAAATTTTTTCTTAAAATTAAGTTTTAAAGATATTCTTGAATTAGTTGTCTTCAAAAAATCATTAAATTATTTTTGAATCTTTTTTGAGTGTTAAATAATATCTTAAAGTTAGGTTTTATAGCTCCCATAAATTCATTATTTTTTAACATCGAATAAGTTATTTCTCGACCAGTNAATTTTAAAAATAAATCTTAAACATTTGTTTTGAAAGGTTTCCAATTTTTGTATTTCGATCTTAGTCTGTTTCCAGGTTTCAAGTCATCAAATTCCTTATTATTCAGTATTCATTCAGTCATTAAATTACTCTTTAATGAGTCTCGTCACTTAAATCTTTAGGTATATCGATAACTATCAATTAAATATTTCTTAAAGCATCTTAAGTATTAAAGCAATTCATGCTATCCTTACTTTTTCTACTCAAAGTAATTCTTTAATAAGTCTTTGACTGTGTAATTTTATCTTAAAATTAAGTTTTAAAGATATTCTTGAATTAGTTATCTTTAAAGAATCATTAAATTATTTTTGAATCTTTTTTTGAGTATTAAATAATATCTTAAAGTTAGGTTTTATAGCTCCCATAAATTCATTATTTTTTAACATCGAATAAGTTATTTCTCGACCAGTTCTTGAGTTTTTAATTATATATTGTCTTTTAATTATATCTAATCTTAATTATATCTAGTCTTAATTATATCTAATCTTACTTATATCTAATCTTAATTATATCTAATCTTAATTATATCTAATCTTAATTATATCTAATCTTATTTATATCAAATGTTATTTATATCTTATCTTAATTATATCTGTTTCTTAATTATATATCTTAATTATATATCTTAATTATACCTTTTCAAGCTATGTATGAACTGACTTTTTCATCAGTCAATAAATTACTATTCGATCAGTTGAGTTTTTAACTATAATTTACGGATTTCAAAGCTATTCATAAATTTATTATTTTTATTTGTCATTAGTTTATTCTTTTATTGATTTCCGAATCTTAGTTTGTTTCTGATATAGGGTTTTAAAGCTGCTTTTTCAATATAGTTTGGAACAACAAAAAAATACTTCTTTCATATTTTCTATTAAAAAATGACTCTAAAATAATTTTTTTAATCAAAAAATTGTCGCCATATCTCTTAGATTATTCTAAATTTGAAATTTATCATTAAAACTTAGCAAACAATTCCAAAACTGTTTTTGTGACTTTTAGAATATTTTTCAAAGGTTTTTTTATTTAATTATCATAATTTTAAATTAAAGAAGACAATATTTGTGCTGTAGGTTTTATATGCATTTAAGCATCAGTAATATCTTAATGGGAAAACATTGTAAATTCAAGAAATTAAAATGATCCAATTTAAAAAAGCATTAATTTTATTTGTAATATTAAATTTAGACCATGGTAATTGCATGATTTAAATATATATAACAAACAATTTGCTTATTCTTAACATTTTAGACAGATAGAAAAATTCAAATTCTAATTAAGTAATTTAAAATAAACATTTAATGTTACCCTCCAAAAATATTTCGTTTTTCAAAAAACTAAATATAGAATTATAAATTTCTTGTGAGAAAAATGGCTAGATTAAAAAAAAAGGAAGAAAACGATAATTAAAACATCTGCAAATTTAAAAAATGAAGTTAGCATGATAACTTTCTTTTTCATGCTGAAAAACAATTCCAATTGCCCAACGATTTCGGAAGAACTCTTAGCATATGATTTATATTTTTTTAAAAATGCATACTGTAATTAAATTTATGTATATAAATACTGTAATTAAAATTATGTATATAAATACTGTAATTAAAATTATGAGGTTAGAAAAATAAAAAGAAGTGTTGTGGTATTTGGCAATAAATAACTATAAATATGATCTTGTGAACTAGTTAAATAATTATATGCTTTATAATTTAAAAAAATTAACACAATTTTCAGAAACTTTTCAGAATTTAAAAATATGATTAATAAAACGTTTTACGGTTTCATGAGCGATTTTTATTTTAATAAAGTTTTCCACTCGATTGAGCAGTAACTAAAAAGTAAAATAACGAATAAAACAACTGTCTTCGAATAAGCGGAGGAAACAATTTTGGTAAAATTACCGTATATTATAATAATGGCATTTCAGTTAAAAGAACCAAATTTTTCATTAATAAAGCAAAATATACGGTAGTTAAACCTTTTATTTGGTAACTTTTCCGTTTATATGATAACGATATACAGGAATTTTTTTTTTCAAAATTATAGTTCTCTAGTTGAAAAGTAAATTTAACTGAATAAATCTTTTTAATACTTTACTCTAAGGTATCACGAGAAAATTACCAAAGTTTACAGCATTTATCAAATTTTATCACATATTATAAAACCATATGTTTTGCTAATTTTACCAAAATCATTACCAATGCGCTTCGATATTTTTTGTTGTTCCCTTAGAATCAGAAACACGGTTTATTTAACCATTTTCTAGTTTTTTTTTTATCGTACTGCTTTCCCTAGCGTATTAAAGTGCAAGAAAATCTCACTTGTGTATTTAAGAAATTCGCAAAAATTAAGATTTTAAACTCTGTGCAAGTACAGAAACCAGTATGTTCTTTTTAAACTTTGTTATCTGTACGTCTAATCTTCTTTCTAAATTGGAAAGAAGGAGAAATATAATTTTGAATTGCTTCTGATGGGGAAACTAGACCTTACCAATGTTGAAGTCCGGCAAACTTAGCAACATATTTCCATCCGAGATGAACTGTATCTAATAGTATGTAGAGAGTATTAAGCAAAGGTTCAGAACCACAATTTACTGCAGGGTCAGAAAATTTGCACGATATTGTGATTTAAAGCTGTTTTTAGAAGACTCCATCGTAATATGAAATGATGCGTTTTAGCGAATAACTTATTATTTTTTTAAATGCTGTGAGTTTGCAACTGTTACTTATAACTGTTAGGTCAAGTTTAGCCGATCTAAAGCAAGTGCTGTCTACGCTTATTTTGAAAATGGCGCAAGATGTCAATATGAAGAAAAGCCATTTAATATTTAATACTTACTCCAATCCTACATTACCTGGGATCATAAAAATTTTCAAAAACTGAGAATACGGCAGTGATAGTAATAATATTCCTCTAAGTGGAAAAATGTCATCAAATTAGCAATTTTTAAAAAAATTGAATAAAATATTTAATTTATTTGTCTGCTCTAAAGCCCAGAATAATCTTCACAGCTGGATTTTACACTGAAAACCCAAAAAAACTGGTATATCTGACTAATATCGGGTAGGGTCCCCGCGAGCACGAAGAAGTGCTGCAACATGGCGTGGCATGGATTCGATCAATGTGTGAAGTAGTGCTGGAGATAATTGACACCATGAATCCTGCAGGGCTGTCCATAAACCAGTGGGAGTAAGAGGGGGTGATGATATCTTCTGAACATCACGTTGCAAGGCATCCCAAATATCATAGCGATGTCGTAGATTTGATGTTTTACCGTATTTCCGATACTCACGGTATACTCGTGAAATGGTCGTACGTGAAAATCCAAATTTCATTGCTATCTCGGAGATGCTATGTCCCATCTTCCGTGCGCCGACTATAACACCATGTTCCAACTCACTTAAATCTGTATAATCTGGCATTGTAGCAGCAGTAACCGATCTAAGAACTGTGCTAGACACTCATTGTCTTATATACGCGTTGCCAATTGCAGCGCTGTACTTTGATTGGCTCCATACCCCCTTTATTTGTATACTCATGCCTGTATCAGTTTTTTTGGTTCTTCAGTGCATAAATATAGTTTAAAATCATCGCATTGCTTCAGGTGCAAGGCACTTGAACTATGGCTACAGAGTTTCGAAAAACAGCGTTAATATGCTTCAACAATTTTAACAGTATGAGGTGACAGAATACTCGAATTCCTTATTACCACTTAGAAATATTTGCATACGAAAATGCCCTTTTGATTAAAACTATTGAGGCTATTTTGTTGTTATTTAATTATGATTTTTCAATTGTTTAGAGGCCAAGGACTTTAGTGATTTCATCAACCTTGCTAAGCAAGCCAGAGACATCGTAAATGAGGGTCTTTTTGCTTTTGCTTTGTCTGTGGTTGTGTTGCATCGGGATGATTGCAAGGGAGTTGTTCTTCCACCAATTCAAGAGGTCTTTCCAGATAAGTTTGTGCCAGCTGAAACTATCAACCGTGCCCTCAAGGCTGACAAACAAGGAACTGGAGAAACCAAGGTAATCATAGTTAATTTCGCAAAAATGTATTAATTTATTAATATTTAAAAAAATATCAAAAAAATGTTAAAAGAATGTATAAATCATTCTGATACCCTGCTTTGAAACAATGAGGAACCACATTTTCGATGTTTTTATGTTACTTTCAGAAAAAAAGAGACTTATAGCATTGTCTTACAACAAAGAATATAATTAAATTAAGAGATTTTTAAACTTACTGATTAAAATAGCTCTCATGTAATAATATATACCTTGACTGATACTAAAGAGTAAATTCCTTGACTGATACTAAATTGAAATAATTCCTTGACTGATACTAAAAAGTTTTGAAAAAAAATAAATAAAACGAGAGAAAATTGTCATACTTTAATTCTAAATGTCATACGAAATTTAGCGAATCTAAGAACAAAACTTGAATGTACGATGTGAGAAAAAAACATCGTTTTTGTGAGACTTAAAATGAAAATTTATGTGAGGAAAACATAAAATAGAACGATGAAAGTTCGAAAATACCATACTTGAAATAAGTAACTATAAAACTTTTATTTATCAACAAGAAAAAAGTCCTACTCATTTTTAACTAAACTCTTACAATTAAGCATATTATAGTAATTATTTAATAGTGTTTAAAAATTATAAAGAACAATTAAGTTTAAATAATATTATCATGCACAAAACGTACCTTTTATTCTAGTCTTTTTTAGCAAATTTTTAGTTAATATTTATTGGACTTTTGATGCACGAACAGTTCAAATTGCGTAAATAAACGTAAGTAAATAAGAAAAATTTTGACGTTTTTTCCTCAGGTCATTTCCATTCAAAAGACAGGTAACATTCTGGATCCCGAGTACAACCTTGCTTATTTCCGTGAAGATATCGGAATTAATGCTCATCATTGGCACTGGCATTTAGTGTATCCAGCCACTTACAGACCAGATTTCTTCGGAAAAGTAAAAGACAGGAAAGGAGAGCTGTTTTATTACATGCATCAACAGATGTGTGCCAGGTAAATAATTCTTTTTTTTTCTTTCTCAGATTGCATTTCGAAAGCAAGCATCAAACAGTGCTGTGATGTTTCAAACTAAGTCTTGTTGAATGTTTGCAAGGAAGTAGTTCCTTTTGCCTGTTTATAGAAACGATAAAGAACAGAATTATTATTATTAAATCTAAAAACGCTTTCTGATGTGCAGCATCTTGCATGTCTTATATGGAAGATTTATTTTTTATATTTTTTTAAGAATACTTGCCAGAGCTGTTAAGACGTTAAAGCAAAGATTGACAAACACGGGGAAGATGGTTTAACATTTCAAAGACTACCAGCTCTAAACTATTCAATATAAAGTTAAAGATATGGTGGCTCAGGGAATAGCAAGTTCACCATCCAATGAGGTGACCTAGGTTCGAATCCCAGCGATGACTGGTTAATACGAATCCCGCACCCGACTCGCACTGTCCACAGTACTGACGTAAAATATCTTCAGTGGTAGATGGATCATGGGTTAGAGTCCCCTTGTCATCTGGCTAAGGGTGGGAGGTTCTCGTGGTTTTCCTCATCATGGGACGTGAATGCGGCTTAGTTCCATCATGAAGTACTCCACGAAGACAAATTTCTCCCAATACTTGATCTAGGAGTTCTCTTGTCTTTTGGACTGGGTTCGAAATTAAAAGGATGCAGATTTGAACATCAGTAGTCATAAACCCAAAAATTGGGTCGGCTGTTCAACGACTGTTATAAAATATTAAGCTATAGAAATCTAATATAAATATTCATTATTTATTTCATTTGAACTAATTATTGCAAAAATATCAGCCTTTAGCTACATTCTTTCGAAAATTTTCTGTGTGATAATATTAAACCACTCATCCTAATTGATTATCGAGTGAAGGTAATGCTGCAGAAACTAATTTAGATGCTAGTATCCAGGTTAGTGATGTATAACTGTTAGTTCTATGAGAATTAAAAAAACTTTATTTCTTTATCTTTGATAATCACCATTCTGATCGATTATCCTGTCTTAGATTATCCAAACGCAACTGAACAACTCAAACTAAGCGATTAAAAAATCTCAAGTAAAAGGGTGATAAACCAAAATAAAGACATTTTCCCCTAATTTTTCCTAGTTTATCTATGAAAAAGCAACATATTTTTGCATGTTTCCATGAGTGAAAAACGCATATTACATTTTTTCAGATACGATTGTGATCGTTTGTCTGCTGGTCTACGACGTATGGTACCCTTCCAAAACTTCGAAGAAAAACTGGAAGGTTATTCTGCCCATTTGACTTCCCTCATTAGTGGTCTTAATTATGCCTCTCGGCCAGCAGGAATGACCCTTAGAGACATCCGTGAAGTAGACGTTCAGGACATGGAAAGATGGAGGGAAAGGATTCTCAGCGCCATCCACACTGGACAAGTCATTGACATGCATGGCAAGGAAGTGCCTTTGGATTTGGAACGAGGCCTTGACATCCTTGGAGCCCTCATCGAATCCAGCTTCGAATCACTCAACAAAGGCTATTATGGAACCCTTCACAACTGGGGACATGTCATGATTGCTAAGATCCACGATCATGATGGTCGATTCAAGGTGAGTTTAAAATATATAAATATATATAACTGTAAATATGTATAACTACCGAAACAACTCTATCATATCATCAACATCTTGTAATTTTAATTCTAAATCTATTTAAAGTTCTATCTTTAAAATTTTATCCATTTTGTTCAATTGTAGTAATTGTTTGTCTTTAGGTTATATCTCTGACTTTTAATACTTTAATATTTTAGTGTTGAACCGATCAAAGTTTATGTTTTACTGGCAGTTATTGAAGGCTTCAAGTTGTGGCGTGCTTGTTGAAAGTATGATGCCGGTGAATTTCAATGTTTTATATCTACTGTTTTAAATTTTATGAGGGGCCCTTTGGCCTCAAATGACTTGGTCGTTAACATTTGCTATATATACTATAAACATTCAATACGATATTTGAAATTTTGTTTTCCTTACCGTTGCCACCGGCATTGTATGTACTTCAAACGAGGAGACCTGTCGCGGTGACGAGTCTTTTCAAATTTTTCGTATGCCTTATTCTAGGGAGGGTCGGTTTAAAATAATACCTTATCATAAGATCAATGAATAATATGTTACGTTTTGAATTTCAGGAAAATCCAGGTGTTATGGATGATACTTCCACTGCTTTGAGAGATCCTATCTTCTACCGGTACCATAGATGGATGGATAACATTTTCCAAGAATACAAACACCGATTACCAGCCTACTCTGCTAAAGAGGTATGTGTAGAGTTATTTGTAGCTTTTTTATCAGCAAAATAGAGCATTGTTGTATCAAAAAAAGCGGGGAATAAGCAACAGTATTTTTCAATGTCTGACGTCAGTGTATTATTTCTTTCACAGATGAGCTTCCCTGGTATTCGTATCACAAATGTAACTGTCAATGCTAAAGTACCAAACCTGATCCACACTTACAGCAAGGACGCCTACCTTGAACTTTCTAATGGAATTAACCTTAAGAATAAGATCAAGGTAAGTTAAAGATTTTGATTTTAAGAATATAATCAAGGTGAAGTAAAGATCTTGATTTTAAGAATAAGATCAAAGTGAGTTAAAGATCTTGATCTTGAGAATACGATCAAGGGGAATTAAAGATCTTAAAAATGAGATCAAGGTGAGTTTATTAAATTTGATAGTAATAGTTTACTTATTTATTATTATAAATTACCTAATTTAATAAATTATCTAATTTAATAAATTATCTAATTTAATAAATTATCTAATTTTATAAATTATCTAATTTAATAAATTATCAAAAGCACTATTTGAAGTCATGAACTTGATTGTTATGAAACATGAGATCCCTCTTCTTAAAATTAATAATTCGAACTCTATAACCTGCAAGTTGCAGTTATTTTAGCATTTTTCTAAAATGGTAGAGTTTGTTTAATGTTAATTCATGAAAAAAAGGTAAATATAGATTTACTGTTAACTTGTTCAATTGTTTATAGATGAATAAAAATCGATTTCTCTGAATTAAATGTTTTTGAAAATTCCTCTTCCGCTAATGCTTTTTAAATTCGCTGAAAAATGGTAGCAACAACTCTTACTATTCAAATCGTAATTAAAGCATATTCAAACTGCTCATACTCAATAATGCTCAATAAAGCATCAAGCTAACTTAGTAAAGCATATTCACTAAATTAAAGCATATTCCAAGTGTTAATTATACGTATGTAATTTTCAGGTTAAATATGAGCACTTAGACCATGAACCTTTTAGCTATAGCGTTGGTGTCACAAACTCTACAGGAGGTGCTAAGAAGACAACTGTTCGAATTTTCTTGGCTCCTAAATATGATGAATTGGGTAACAGGCTAGTTTTGGAAGCTCAAAGAGGGCTTTACATTGAACTCGATAAGTTCACTCACACCTGTAAGTTCAATTTCACATTTTTCTAAAAAAAACCCAATAGCTGCATTTTACTATTATAATTTGGACTATTTATTTTTAGCTCAAAAATGCTTTAAATATTTTAAGTTCTAAACGTTAATAATATTTCAAACATCTATGGAAGATTGGCAGAATAATTAAATCTTTTCGAACGAAGCATTTCAGGTTAACATCATTAAGTAATATTTTTTTTCCTTCAACTTGAAATTATATGTTAGTTTATTTCAAGATGTGAGGGCATTTAAAGCAAATACCTGTAAAATCTATAATTTTCAAATCCCTTTTTAATAACATATTTTATACCTTGATAATTAATGACAAATGAAAATTGATCAAGTTGATTTTCTAGATCAAGATTGCGTTTGATTATAAAGCAAGACATAACGTTTTTGTTTCCTTTAAAAAAATTCTGCAATCTGATTTCATATTAAAAAAAAGCATTAAAGGATAATAATATTTATAAATTAATGCATTGTAAATAGAATATCTTTAATTTAAAAGCAGTGTTGAAACATTTATAACACTACGGAAATCTAATGAGTCACTACTGAGGAAAGTGAAACATGTACCATAAAAACTTATTAGAAAGCTGGAGGAAATAGAAAGTCGAGTTACAAGACACCCTCAATGTTTAATCAGGCATCAGGAAAACAAATTGTTTGTTGTTTTCAGATTTGCCTTTTTCAATAGTGATTCACTAGATTTCGAAAGCGATTTTATTTTTCCTAATGTTAATTTGTGAAATTTAATGTATATATCACGAGACACTCTGTCATGATACGGAATCACGGCACATTTTGCCTATTTTTAAATTAATCATTAATATTTTTTTTGTTAGAGCCAGCATTTTAACTTTCAAGATCAATAAATAATACTTAGGTCAGAAAACTAAAAATTATTGCGGGAACAGATGAATCATTATTGAGGTGGAGTGCAAACATACTGGAATAAAAATACGCAGAAACAGTTTATTTATCGGATAAAGCTAGAAGACACTTTTAAGAAGTATTATATCGCGCAGAATATAATAGGAACGTCTTTAATTGTTATTTGACAAATAAACTGTTTTGAAGATTTTAATTCCACCTAATTTCTAGATTATAATGACATCAATTAAGACAAGGAGTTTAAAACTAAATATTAAGGGTGATTTGATTTTACTCTGTTTTTAGTGCAACCAGGAAAGAATGTTATCAATCGAAGGTCTCTGGATTCTTCCGTAACATTATCCAAGATACCCACATTCGAGGAATTGGAAAAAGGAGAAGGTTTATCTGACAACTCTAATGAATATTGCAGTTGCGGATGGCCCGAACATATGCTTGTGCCCAGAGGTACTCCAAGAGGAATGGTCTTCCATCTCTTTGTTATGCTGACTGACTTCGACATGGATAAGGTAAATATGCACGGGCTTTTGTTTGGGTAAATCTTTTTTAGTTTGGAAAGAATATAATATATTTATCTTTATTATTAATCTTACAGTCATCAAACCAATATTTTAGACTTTAAATTCACTGTGATACTTCTAAAATCTCCTTAAAATTCGTCCCACAGTGGGCTGATCGTAAAGAAATTGCTCCCAATAGAACACCGAAGTCAAGCATCACTGACTGCGGTCAGTAATAAGCTGGTGGGTGACCACTTTGATCAGCCAGAGTAGGGAACGACGGTGCGCGGTATTGGTCCTCGTTAAACTGTTACCGTAAAGTGCTTGACTTCGCACGCAGGTAGTCGGACTACCAAAGCAGGGGAGTCATCCGCTCTGCAGAGGATCAAAATTGCGATGGCATGTCTTCGGATCATTATCAAGGATGTTTCCCAGATCGCCGTCAATGGCCCATTATGCAGCTCTAGTACAACGTAAATAAAATAAAAGATAAGGCTACCTATCTTTAAAATTCGCAATAGGAGAGATTTTTAAACAGTAAAGAAGTTGCGAGGATGATCATGATTGGTATTAATTTCGTTGTTAAAAATAATTTGATGCAAAATTCGAAAAAAAAACTCTTTTACATTTTTCTTAAAAGAAATTTAATAAGCATCAAAAACGTTTGCTTTATCCAATTATATTTTGCCTGATCAAAATTTTGATTTACGCTTTGCTCTAGCCTTTACTACGAAAACTACCTTAATAAATTCATGTTTTAAATGTCAAACATATAACTGAATTAAAATAGTGATACATTTTAGAGAAAAGGAAGCTCAAAGCTGTCTTTTTAATTCAATAATATATATTATCAGCTAAAAACTGGGAGATTTGTTATGTATTCACCAAGAAACTAATGCAAAATGAAACAATCAACAATTATTTTTTGTAATACAGTTATTATTGCTTAGTTGTTCCGGGTTCAGTTGATTAATTTCCTATTAATTTTTTGATGCAACTGAACTTTTAAAAAATAAAGAGCATCTACTGGAACAGAGAAAAAAAATCGCTTAAATGTTAAACTTTTTTTGCTGAAAAAAAGTATGATTATTTCAGAAAAAAAAGACGAATAGCACTTTTTGTTATTAACTGAAAAAAGCCTTGTTAAAAACAAATAGATCTATAATCATTGTACAATTCTGTTACAACCCTACATACGGTACCACGTTATATCATATTAAAGTGAAAATAATTCAGATTACATTAAATAAAGATTCAACTTGCAGTGAAATTCCCCGTAATATTTAATTGAAGTAGTAGCAAATGTGCTCTTTATTTTGGTTTAAAGTACTAATATTTTGTTTCAAATATTTTTGTTTCAAATATTCTATTCTATACATAGAGGGAAATTTTTGCCCTCTTATAAGTAACCCCCCCCAAAATATTCAGTTTTTCTTAGCGTTCAAATGCTTTCCTGTATTGCTTAAAAAGTTTTTCAAAGTGAAACTGAAAAATGATCTAACTTTTCATCAGCTGAGATAAGTTATGATTATTTAGTTTTACGATTTTAAGATACTAAATTTCATAGCAGAAACATTAATGCATAAAAATAATGTATTATTGCAACTGCGATATTGCCGTAGATTGTGAAAAATATCTTCATTGTTTGCAGTAATCACCGGCCAGGTGGCAGAGCGGTTGGCGTGCCTGACGGCGAAGCCAATGGCTGCGGGTTCGAATCCTGCTCAAGGCATGGGTGTTTATCTCTGTTTGTTGTCCTCTGTTGTATGTGAATGTGGCCTATCTGTGGCAGTGTGGCGTGGGAAATGCTGCTCGCCTCCGTAACTTTGGTCGCCAATTGCTCACCAGGCAACACTTTCGTCACCTTCCATAGCGAAGAACGATAAATCCAGTGCCTGCCGTTAAAAAAAATATTGCTTTAATTTCCATAAATTTTCTTCAATTATTTCAATCTTATTAAAATTTCTGAACTAACTGCTTGTTTATTGACAGGTTGAAGATCAACCAGCTGCTGTTATTTGTTCTGATGCAGTAAGTTACTGTGGAGCCAAGGACCAGAAGTACCCAGACAAACGAGCTATGGGATATCCCTTCGACCGGCCAGTCAAGGCCAGAACTCCAAGCCAGTTCAAAACTCAAAACATGTCCTTCACCGAAGTTCGAATCCAATATGGTGGACACAAATCTGCATAAGTTGCATACAACTATAAGAGTTAATATCATTATTTTTTTCATTGTAATTGTAATTATGAATGCGTAATAAATCAATAAACCTAAGTTCCCCTTACACTCTTATGATTTCATTTCAATTTTATTTTTTGCTTCATACATCTTGAAAAATGACTGTTCCTATAGATAAATGATGAAAAAAGAGTGAAAAAAATGAAAAATCGCCATTTCTTTTGTAGTGTATAGTAAACTATTAAATTTTCAATGTGGCACAGCATTGTAATAAATTTCTCATGCTACAGCTTGGCCTGATTGAGGAATGCTCCTCTCTGTTTGTTAATGATTTTGTAAGTCAAGCCTTTGTTTGAAAGTTATGGGGAGAAATTAAAAAAAAAAAAAAAAACAGGACATAAAGAGGATTTTAAAAAAAGTTATTCATGTTACTAAACAGTAGATATCTGTTTGTTGAAATTCTGGCGAACAGCTGGGAGAGTTCTTTCAGGATAGAAGATTTAAGAAAAAAATTATTAAAAAAATTTCCTTCGAAAATAAATTTAAAAAAAAAATGTCATTAAAACACTTGTTTAAAAAATATTTGCTACAAAAGTTAAAAACAAAAAAACAAATTATAAGGGAATAAAAGCTATAATGATGGTATCAAACGAGGGGACGTTCTGTTTTAAAATTGCAGAAATAAATGATTGAACAATTTCTTTTAATGCAAAAAAAAAAAGAAATATAATTCCATGAACAAAAATTAAATATGATAGTAAAAGAAAATTACAAAACTAGTACACCCAAAGAAAATCAAATCACATCAGTTTTTATGAAAATTATAGCTCATTCCCATTTCTAAACATGTTAAGATTCAAGATTTGAAGGATTTCAACATAATACCTTTTCAAACCTGTGGTTTTAAAAATTCTTATTCTTAAAGGTTTTCTAAAAGTTTTTTTTAAATAAAATCGAATTAGAAATTAAAATAAATCTTCATAGATATTTATTAACTGCACGCTCACATACTCTCGTAGATCTGTTGAACATTTTCAATTAGGTATCAGTTCCAAGTTAGATAGACAACAAATGGTGTAGCCTCTTGGTTTCATTTTATTTGTTCAATTTTCAATCTTTATACCAAGGAAAAAGGTTCAACCTGGTCTATTACGTAATGAGTTTTATTTGCTTCCGTGGGAAGAAGAAAATATGAGTCGCTATCCCCGTGTGGAAGTTGGATTCTTTTGATCTTGAAGAAGTTTGCGTAAAATGCTTACTTTTTGGTTGTTAACGGTTAACCTCACTACATCACAAAATAGAACAATCACGTGATATCTATCACACAAGTCGAATTATAATAATTTTTTCAAAGAAAAAAACATACTAAAAAAATTGACTAATTTTCGTAATTGGTTTTTATTAGGTAAGTTTACGCATATGTTGCCTAAAAACTTAGATTCTGATTCTATATTACTTAAGTTCAAAAAGATTAAAAATTCGAAAATGGAAAGTAATTTAATCGATGATTATAGTTTGTTTTATTAGGTAATACAGAAATATACACGTTAAAGTATTTACTAAACTCTCAAATAGTAAGGATTCAGTTAAAATAAGATAGGAATAAAATACTGAAAAACTGTGGTAAAACTGTGTAGGAAGGCGAACGCTCTATCCCCTGAGCCACCACGGTTTTGATAACAACATTTGTAATAAAGTAGTTGTAGTTAACTGCAAAAATAATGTAGTTTTTCCATCCACTAGTTATAATAATACTAGATGGCTCCGCCTTCTGCCAGATGATGATCCCTAAACTCTATTTAACCTTATCTTTATTTGCTATAATATAAATTGAAACGAAGTTTAGATTTATGAAAACTTTCAAATGAAATGAATATGAAATTAATCATGAGAATAAATATGAAAATAATTATGAAATTAATTAAAGAATCGTTCGACAAATTCGAAGCACCATTTTGAATCGAAGACATTAAACAGATATTTAGATATTCACATTTTATTTCACCTAAAGAAAGCTATGGGGGTTTCGCCAAAGGGTTAACTACCCCTATTTTTTTATACTTCTCCCTAGATCACTGCATGGTATCAAAGAGGAGTCACATGCTGTTTTTGTCCATCCCTTTTAAACGAACTTGCCTTTGAATCAAGCTTCAAGAAGAAAAGGTTGAACCAACTTGCAGACCCTTGAAAAATTATTAATGCAATGGACAGTTCATAATTTAAAAAAGTAAACATAAAATCGATGAGAAAAATTATAGGCTATCAAATAATGTCAACTAGAGAATTTTGTAATGTTAACGAAAAAGAGTAGTAAAATATTCTTGAAATAAGTGAGTTAAACAGCCGATGTTTACCCTACTTCTGCTTTCACAGTGCGCAAAATAAATAAATAAGTAAATAAATAAATAAATAAAATAAAATAAAATGAAATAAAATAAAATAAAAGGACCACCCTGAATAACTTTTGATCTAATAAACAAATTTTCACGTTCTAGTTCTCAGTTTCAATGTTCCAAAGGAGGGACCTCAAATTTGCTAATTAGTTCAGACGATATTTGAAGTTACGAAATCAGGCACAAAAATGTAATTTCTCTGAATAGACATAACCTTTCTTTTGACGGATTTGGATTTTTGTCCTCAAAAATATAGGTGAGTAGCGGCAATTTGGGAAATAGGGTCTCCATAGTTTGATCAGAAGCAGGGCTAAAGAGAATAGAAGGGCTAGTTCACTCCGCTCTTAGAGCTGAAGCTACGATCGCTCTTAACCTAAAAGATAAAAAGAAACATTCATTTTTATTAAATGGATGTCCAATATATATTTTTTTTATTAATAAAAGTAGAGAGAACGAAACAAACGTTAAAGTTTATATCGGCGGTAAATTGATAATGACTTTAATACGAGATATGTGTTTTTTCTTATTTCGAGTTAATTGTCTCGAATATTCTGAATTACATCAGAAAAAAATTGAAAGTCAATTATTCCCCCTTGTAATTGTGTTCATTTATATTCAGGCAAATTAATTAATTTTTTTCCTACAACATTTAAAAAAAGACAAACAATGAAGGAAATGCAAAAAAAAAATGAACAAGAATTCTATCTTAAATTCAGTGAAAACACCTAATTTTGATGGAATTTTGAATGTATTAAACCAGAGAGAAATGTGACTGTTTAAAATTTACTTCCTGCTTTTGACTAGAAAAATAATTTGGGAATATTCAAAGAAAATTTGTTTTGCGTGTTTTAACTTTAAAATAAGCTTCTGTAACCATTTTTGCACAATTAACTAAACTTCTTTAAACCATTAAAATCTACTTATAAATAGTGTTTTTTAAATCATTTTGAAATAAAGAATACAGTTCTGACCGACAAGAGTGAACTATCTAACTGATTAATAAAACTTACTTATTTTTGAATAAAATTACAAAAAATGTAGCTTATTCAAAAACGATATTTATTGCCGATTATTATTATAAAAATTAGAAATGAAAACGATTANTTCTTGTAAATTCACTGCAAAAACTAAGGAAAGTCATTATAGAAAATAACAAATGTCTTAGAATATCTTGCAAAAGGAAATGATCCAATATTAGTTAGAGCTAGTAAGGCCAAACGCTCCGTTCTTGAAGTAAAAGTGCGAGCTTTGCGCCAAAGTGACGTCACTAGAGTGACGTCGGAAGAACGGCGCGGCGAGAGATACTTCAAAGGAGTGAACCAGCCCTTCTATTCTCTTTAGCCCTGGATCAGAAGAGAGTTTCCACGTTCAAACCCCATAATGTTAATTTTACTTTTATGGGTATTACGTCATATCACGAGATCTTCTAAAACACATAGCAACATTTTTGCACACAATTATAAAATTCTATAAAATTCCATAAAAATTTAGTAAATTTTTCTCATCTTTTATTATTTTATTTAACACTTATCAAAGAAATTTTGAATTGAGAGGCTTATACTTTTCACATCCTATTAAAGAATGTAATTTCACGTGAAAAAATAAAAAATTTGAGCGAAATCCGTCGAATAGTTCCTGAGAAATCAAATTTTTAAAAAAGAGATTCTCAGGAACTGTTCTACCGATTTCGCTCAAATTTTGTATTTTGTCAAGCAAAATTGCTCTCTTTAAATGATGTAAAAATTGTATACTTTAGAATTAAATTTTTTCCCCACGTAGTTAATACTAAACTAAAAATACTAAAATACATAAAATACTTAAAGTTATTTTTTGCAGAAAATTATTTGAATATATCAATTTTATAATTGTGTGTAATTTTCTTAAAATTCATTTAAGAAATTTCTCGCTACATAATTTGTCTCTCCTTCAAACACATTTATTCAAGTGTTCAAAACCTACAAATCAACTTTGTAAGTATGCAGAGTCATTAGGAATTGTATAGTTGAATTGTGAAATTACTTTTTATTTTTTTCTAAGTTATATTTGAAAATATGAATCAGGCTCATAACAAAATCAGGCGCATTGACTCTCAATGGGAATAAAGCTTCACGCCTACTCTGCCATTTAGCACTCCCAAACTAATAAATGATTACTCATTACTGACTTATTACCATTATTACTTGACTTATTACCATTTTTATTATCATTGTTACAAATATTTTGTACGATACCTCGTTTGCAGAGATTTCTAAAGTTTTTTGCAATATAAAAAGTTTATAGACTTAGTTTCATTATTTTTATTATCACAATGGGCTTTGAATTATAATATAGAAACATGTTTTAATGAATATAAATTTTGATACATTATATAAAAAAAAAATTCGAGATAGGAGCAATACGACGAGCTTCTAATCATAATGAATTATTAATTAAATGTTCTTTAATTCAAGCTTTACTTGATTTAGATTTTAACCCACAAAAATACACGTATTTAAATATTTTTTAAATGGCGAAAAACGATTGATTCATTGAGAAAATAAATATTAGAATTTGATTTGGTTATTTTACTTTCCTGACATTTTCAAATGCGGAGAATAAAAAAGGATTTCAAATACAATTTATATTGTAATTAGAAGATGTATGATATAAAATTTTCATAGTTAAAATGCAGAATAATTTTTAAGGCCAATGTTAAAATCGCTATTCAACGGTTGAACAATATATTATTGATGTAGGAAAAATTATGATCCGCAATTTTTCACGAAATACACTATAAAAAACTACAGATCAAATTACCGTACATTCGCCTCCGGGACTTTGGTTCACAGGTGCCCACTAGGTAACGATAAATGAGCAACACTTCCGGCATCTTCTAAGGCGAAGAACGAAAGTTCAGTGCCTGCCGTTATTTAAAAAAAAAATTACAGTACAAAGTACTGGCACCGTAAAATTACCTGGCAATCGCAAAATTAATTTGATGCTGTAATTTTTACAGTGATATATATATTTTTAATGACAGTCATTCAGTGATATTACAGTAAATATTACTGTAAAAACTAAAGTATATCAGATTTTACTGTTAAAATTTACGGTAAAAACTGTTGGCCCCTGAGTGCTAGTATTTTTTACCGTAATTTTGCAGTGTATCTCTGCAACAATACTTTTCTAAGAATAGGTTTTGCATTTTTTATTGAAACTTACTAACCACTATTATTTTGCAAAAACTGGAAATTTCAAACAGTAAAATCAAAGAACTTTTTAATTATTTTTTAATGTAGTTAGTACAACAAATTGTATTTTTTTAAACATTTTTAAAGGAAAACCAACTCTAAATTTCAATTATCATCTAAAGAAAGAGACTAGTCATACCGTATAAGCTTGATTATTTATTCTTTTATGTACAGTAAAAAAGTTTAACTCAGTCAAACTAGAAACAAGAGGATAACCTTCCCCAGATATAAAACCTATTACATATGACATATTTCATTATTGTCAAGAACATTAAACAAAAAATACCACGATACCGTTTAAAGTTGCACCATGATATCAGCACTTTAAACAAAAACTACTTAAAAATCTTCTGCACCTTTAATATGGTGCTTAGACGTACCATATGTCAATATAGTTGGAATTAAAAGGTATCGGGTAAGCAAGTATAAGATAAATAAACATGCACGGTAATATGGTTTAATTTAACCCCATATGGTTTGTAGCAAGTTTTCCCGATGTTTTGCTTACCTCTCAACATGCACTAATATTTAGCATTTATGTCTTATATTTAACAGTTATGCTTTATAATTATGTATAGATAAAGCAGTGGTTCCCAAACTTATGACTTTTGTGTACCCTTTCTAAATTTTTCGTAACGCTGTGTACCACTAATAAAAAAATAAATGCATTTTTTACTATTAAAAAATTGCACAAAGTTAAAATCACATCCGGCTGTTGACACCACTAATTATTAACTAATTCTACAAAAAATAACCGATAGAAAAATACATAATCATAAAATTTCATGGCTAGCTTTTTTTTTAAATAAAAGTTTTTGAAATTTTCGTTTGTTGCAAGATATTTCGCATAAGAACGCGAACCCCCACTAAACTGCTCCCGTACCTCTAGGGGTACGCGTACCACACTTTGGGAAATAAAGGTCAAAAAATAAAAGTGGCATCATTAAAAACAGCTGCCGCATAAAGCTAATAAGTTTAAATTGTTAGCATAAGTGCTAATTCTACGCAAAAAAAAGCATATTTTTTACAGAAAAAAAACTATTTAAATATAAATACTAAATTGTTTTTAATTGTTACCCACGCGTTGCAATAAATACCGTTTATTATTTTTTACAGACTTTTTTATCCTATTTTTTTGACGGTTTAAAGCTCTCTGTTTTACAACCTAATCCTAAATGGTTTAAAACTGTCAAATCAAATTCTAGTTTTTGCCATACTTTTTGCTTAACGTACGATAACTCTTCCTTTTTTGAAATCATTTTACTATTACTTTCTATACTTTGTTCTTACTTTTCATAAATTATTTCATGGTTTCGAACATCGTATACATAAAGTTGCGATTATTTTTTATACTTGTTCTTACTTTTCAGAAATTATTTCATGGTTTCGAAAATCGTATACATAAAATTGCGATTATTTTTTATACTTGTTCTTACTTTTCAAAAATCATTTCATGGTTTCGAAAATCGTGTACGTAAAATTGCGATTATTTTTTATTCTTGTTCTTACTTTTCAGAAATTATTTTATGGTTTTTAACATCGTATAAAGAAAATTGCGATGCGACTTAATTGTCGAATTCATACTCTACCTCAGTGTTTCCCAAAGTGTGGTACGCGTACCCCTAAGGGTACGGGAACAGTTTAGCTGGGGTACGCGTTCTTATGCAAAATGTCTTACAACAAACGAAAATTTCAAAATTTTTTTATTTAAAATCAATTCTAGCCATGAAAATTTACGATTACGTATTTTTGTATTAGCTATTTTTTGCTGAGTTAACAGTTAATAATTAGTGGTGTCAACAGGATTTTTAACTGTTGCGCAATTTTTTTATCACAGCAAAATAATATCATCCTTTTCACTGATGCAAATAACAGAGATGCCAACTGCTCCGGACTCACTTGATTAACTTAAAAAACGGTAAATAACTACAAACTAAAATTTGCATATAGTTCACTAGTTTTTATAACTTTTTAAAAGGTTTAACATGACTTAACTATAATAAAGTGGTGAATATATGAAATTACTAATTATTTAGAAATAGTGGTGAATAAAAATCTGATAAATTAAATTTATTAAACCAAGAATCATAATTAATAAACTACCACTCGGAAATATTTATTTGCTGTCCGGAGAAAGTTGGCATCTCTAAAATAAACTTATTAATACAACTTTGTACCAAAAAAGAAAAATAAACATATTTTTAAAAAAATTCATTTATTTCTTCATTAGTGGTACACAGCGCTGCGAAAAATTTAGAAAGGGTACACAAAAGTCATAAGTTTGGGAAACTTCTCTACCTGATTATTATATGATGTAAGCTTTCGGATATAATTTATTTTAAAGATTTTTTTTAAAAAAATAAGATTTTGTTTGTTAAAGTAACAGTACTTATCTGTTTTAAAACTCCGTTTTTAAATAACACTATTTTCTGTGAAATAAACGATTTCATACTGACATACTAGCTGAAGGTTTTTTTATGTCAATTATTTTATACAAAACATATTTATATTTTTGCATAATAGCCTTGCAGAATATATTATCATCACATTTACTTTCTAAAGAATATGTTATAAAACATAATGATAGAAGAGCATCGAAAGTAAACAGTTTTGAATTCTCAACATAGCAGGTGCAAATGCCTTTTATAATTCAACAAAGATATTTATAATTCTTCCAATATGACTCGTATACTCAAGTATAAACTAGATGATATCTTACTGAGATATTCCATTAAAGAAAAACATTCCAACAGCACCGTAGTCACACCTCGGATTTCCGGTCCCGCCTTATAATCTCCCAATCTATATTCGATAAACCTAGAATTCGAATATCAACAGTCTATTTTCGTTCTAAACTTACAGCTGAATGGAGCACGGGAAAACTTCCCAGAAGACAATATCATGGGAGTCAAGGACCAGTATAAAATCTGCGTCCTGCGGGTGATAGAATGTAGTCCCCAAAGTGCGTTACTGTGACTCCAAGATGACCATTAAGGAAAAGCTTGACAAATTGTTGCCTCTTTTTGAGAAGTTGACCACTCTCACAAGGCATCAGTTGCCCCCAGACCAGAGGGACTCAAGACTTTTGGGAGTTGGAGTCTTGCCCAGAGGAAGCCTTTTCTCATGCTTTCACGAAAAACATTTAAAAGAAGCTACCAAGCTCTTTGAGATTTTATACGGTAAGTTGATTTATTTGATTAAAACGTTAATTTTTAAAAGGCTAATAATCAGAATTTTTACAAGGCTGCCAGATAAATATAGCTTCTTTTCTTATAACACTGAGGAACAAATTTTTTCTTTCTGTTGCATGAGATTTTTTTTTAACAGTTCTTAAGATACTTTCGTATCGTTGATTTCAAATCTATAATCAGTTTCTCTCTCTAAGCTATATTTATTTTTCAAAAAGGACTTTTTTAGTCTATTTTTTGTCGAAATGTACAAATTTAAAAATATTATATGTAACAGGGGTCGTATAAATGTTTCGACAAATTTAAAGGAGAATTAAGTCACATTGTAAAAAACTTTGGGTCAAATTACGATAAAAAGTACCTGTACTCAGAGTGCATGAGTATTATTTACCGTAAAATCACTGAATCACTGCAATAAAATAAAAATTACTTCAAAAACTACGGTATTAGGAGCAACATTTATTTTAGCAAAACTTTAGGAGCAAAACTAATTTAATATTTGATTTTCCTACACCTGAATTAAGGAAGTTCACATGTTTGTATAAATACGATAAAAAATTTGTTCCCTAGTGTAATAATTATTTTTCATATATGTTTATGTATCTTTGATAAGAATGAAGGGAAAAAATAGCTCATTAAAAACCGCAGATTATTATTTAAATTCAGAAGAAGCAATAACTTTTTCGAAATTTGTTGAATCACTAGTGAGGAGAAAGGTATGAGAAAATAAAAACCAATTTGATTGCCTGGTGAATCCTGGAGAAGCTTCTAGCAATCGCCTTTTATTTAATTCCTCTCTGCTTTCTGGAGCAAACGAAACAGGTGTTTTCAGTCCATCCTTCTTTACTAGTGATGCGGTAGAGTTCAAAAGCTCTTTCTTCACTTAAATATTAATCCCCCCTAATGCTTATGTTTTTTCACTCAAACTTATGCAAGGATTCCATAAATACGGGAACATTATGGAACACTGTGTTCAAAAAAATTTTCTTTTATGGTATCTTACCAGTGCAAAAACATGATTTTGGGCCAAATTTCTGAAATTGAGTTTATTATAAAAATTACAATTTCTGTAATTTTAGCTTTCTAAAAATATTTTATTTACGATTCTACTTCAATTATTTGCAAAATTATAGAAGTTTTTGTGTAAGGTGATAACAGTGGATAGACTAATGATTTTAAGACTTTAAATGCATTTATCTCAAAATCAGATTTTTTTTCTCACATTTTACTCTACTTTAAATACGATATCTCATGTTGCTTCTAAAATAATTTTCCAGAATTTTTGTGAGTGTTTATGATTATAGCACACATGTTTTGATTCACAGGCTACAAGAAAAAGTAGAATTTCATTTTTATGCATGTTTTTCGCAAAGACAAGTGCAATTTTTTTAAAAATTTGCTTTCCTTTAATTTCAATGATCCCTAACTCTGTAGTATGTACACTTGCTTTTAAGAAACGACTAATTCAAAATATAGTTGATAGCCTTCTAAATATATTCCTCAAAGTATATTTTGTTTTGGGGAATAGAAAATTTTCGTATATACAAAAAAATTTCTTATTTTTACCTGAAAATGGCTTTTTAAAAAATAAAATAATAATTTTTATTGCTAGTTTAACAAATTTTTTATACATTGTAAAACAAATAAATAAGCTTTTTTTACATTTTAGATCAATATTTAAAAATAAGTTGTCGAAACTAGTCGGATATATTAATTTAATATTTAGGAAAATGTCAAAATAATGCCATTCGTGAAGATTAAAACTTATACATTCTGAAAGGTGTAAATAAATCAAACTATTATTTGAAACTTAATTGAATTCATGGAATTTTCATTTGTTTTACAGTGGTTAAACTGTTCAAATTTTAAAAACGAATGATTTTTATGAGTGATGACTGCTTATTTAAGGGGGCGAAAAGATAGCGAATTGAAAATCAATCATACGATTAATCATATGGTTTCTTCTATAAGTTATTAAATTTTGGTTCGTTAGATTTTTGCCTCCTAAAACTTAGCTAAGACAGTTATCAAATTCGGTCTTTTTTTATTTTTGTGCCATGAGTTTTTAGCTAGTAATATTTGTGATTATTTTGGATTAAATTTCTTATCAAGCGATTTTTATTTTCACCTGAAAAGTACATTCAAACGAATAAATGTTTTTTTTTACCATGCTCAAAGTTATCATGATAAAATCTCCTAGTTTTACCACCTTTACCATGTTTTATCACATATTTCTAGACCATAATTTACCGTAAATTTTAACAAAATCCTTTCCTTTTGTGTTTCTTTTTAATGTTCCCTATTAAGTCAAAAACAAGATAAATTTTACCATATTGGGGTAGTTTTGACCATACTTATTTTAATCAGTAAACGTAGTTTTGATTTACCTTTTTTTAATGACAATTTTTGTATTTTAAACTTTTTTATGACGTATTAACAATTCATAACTCTAATAAGCTTACAAACAAAGCATTGAAATAAAAAAACATAGCTATATAAAAGTACCACACGTGCATTGACCATGTATTTCAAATTTACTGAAACTTTAAGTGAAAAAGTTCCTGATGTAAAATTAAAAATCTTTCTCTTGAAAATAGCAAATAGTTGGCATATGCAATAATTTTATTTAAAGGATGAAATACTTTGTGATACATAGAGAGGAAAACCTCCCATGGTTAGCCTAACGGCAAGAGGTTTTTAACTCATGATTTGCCAACCATTGAAGATATTTTATGTCTGCACTGTGTAAGCTGGAAGCAGATTTCGAATGAACCGGCTGACGCTAGGATCGATCAACCAGGGTCACTTCTTAGGGTCGAAAGCGCTCTATCCATTGAGCCACCGTGGCTCAAAATAATTTATTCGTAAAAGTGCTCACTAGAAACTAACACTGAGTTTTATTAGAGAAATTTTTATTCAATTTAATCTAAATTTCCAATTTTAGCTGCCGCCGACTTCGATGACTTCTTGAAATTGGCTACACAAGCTAGACAAATCGTCAATGAAGGACTCTTCGTATACGTTTTGTCTGTAGCAGTAGTGCACAGGGATGACTGCAAAGGAGTCACTTTGCCCCCTATCCAAGAAGTGTTCCCAGATAGATTTGTTCCAGCTGAAACAATCAACTTGGCCCAGAAGGAAGCCAGGAATAAGCCTACAGAAGTAAGAATCAATAAGCCTAAATAATGAGTTTTCAAATTGTTTTGCTGAATTGTGTTTTAAACTAAAATTTTGATTCTTCGCAATAGGATGTGGTTGTTGAAATTGAAGATACTGGCAACATTTTGGAACCCGAATACAAGCTGGCTTATTTCCGTGAAGATATCGGAATTAATGCCCATCATTGGTATTGGCACGTTGTTTATCCAGCCAATTGGAATGAAGATCTAACTGGAAAAATCAAGGATAGGAAGGGAGAACTTTTCTACTACATGCATCAACAGATGTGCGCCAGGTAAATGACACATCCACTAATTTATATAAATTTATTATCAATAAATGTATGTAAATAGTCATAATAATAATGTATATAATAATAAAATGTAAATAATAATAATGTAGGTAGGTACTTTATTTACGTTACATTAGAGCTGCACAATGGGCTATTGGTGACTGTCTGAGAAACATCCCTGAGGATGATCCGAAGATATGCCATCGCAATTTTGACCTTCTTCAGAGGGGATGGCTTCCTGCCTTGATAGCCCGATGACATGCACGCGAAGTCGAGCACTTCACGGTAGAACAGTTTATGAAGGATAGATACCGCACACCCTCGGTCCCTACTCAGGTTGATCAAAGTGGTCACTAAGCCACTTACTGACAGCAGTCTGTGATCCTTGACTTCAGTGCTCTACTGACAGCCGTGTCTTTACGATCAAGGACTAATAATAATGAAATGTAATAATAATGTAATGTAATGTAAATAATAATAATAATAATGAGCAATGTAAATAATAATAATAATAATGTAATGTAATGTAAATAATAATAATAATAATGTAATGTAATGTAAATAATAATAATAATAATAATAATAATAATGTGTAATGTAAATATTAATAATAATGTGCAATGTAAATATTAACAATAAATTTTAGCCAAATTCTGTAAAATGACTTCGTTACAAAGAAAATTATGTTGAAGAAAATTAAAAGTATGCTTATTTAAAGAAATTATTATGGCATTTACACAGTTTGTCGGGTTGTAATAAAATCAATTTCATTTTATGATAGACAGCATAAGCAAGATTTTGTTTAATAATTTTTAAAGTCTGCTTGAAATATTATTTTTAAATATAAATTGAAAAATAGACGATTGTTATTCATATCAATTTAAGGATTTCCGTCATGAAATATGAGAAATGCATAAATATGCACTTTAGGATTTCTCATTCAATTATCCTCTACTCTATTTAAATTAATCTTGCATCAAACCCGCCATTTTGCATTACGTCTGCTTTGCATAAATAAATACATAAGTATTGATGCCTAAAAGAACATACAATTGTTGTCCTGTATTTTTATATTGTTTATAGTTGAATATAGTTGTTTATATAGTTAATATTGATTGTAGTTTGCCACATTGCTTGAATCTGAAGTTCCATCAGTCTTAAGAGTTGGATGCAAACCTTCAAAGAAACGGGAGGGGGCATTATTGCTAATGTATAGTGGCTGTCACGAAGCAAATAAAAAAATGTTCTTATTTTAAAAAAAATGCAAGTATGTTAAAAAACTATTTTACAATTATTTTTCAGATACGACTGCGAAAGACTGTCTAACGGTTTAAACAGAATGGTTCCTTTCCACAACTTCGAAGAGAAACTTGAAGGTTACGCTCCTCACTTGACCTCACTCGTCAGCGGTCTGCATTACGCTTCCAGACCCCAAGGCTTCAGTCTTCGGGATCTCACAGATGTGGATGTACAAGACATGGAAAGATGGAGAGAACGTATCCTTGAAGCTATTGATCTAAAACATGTCCATGATGCTCAAAATAACGAATTGCCTTTGGATGAAACTAATGGCGCTAACATTTTGGGTACCATCATTGAGGCTAGCTCTTCTTCACCAAACAAGGGCTTCTACGGCTCCCTACACAACTGGGGACACGTCATGATGGCCAGAATGCACGATCCTGATGGCAGATTCCAGGTGCTTTTTTCTGTAGATATTTTAATTGGCCACATAAGTACGAAACAGATCTAGAAAAAGGCATACCACCAGCTAATTCGGAGAGCATCAGAATTTTAGGCGAAATTCCCTGTTTATTATATCGGTACATGAAAGATAATGCGCAGCATACTCCATATGCATTTCTAAATTACAACCGCACTCCATTATCTTCATACATGATATGCGCAGCACTCTGTGTCTTACTCCATTATAATGGCACTTAATTTTATCTCTTATATGATATACCTCAAACCTTCCTTATATCATATACGTTAATGTAAAAACATCCCCACTACAACCTGTTACAGCCCAGGAGGTAAAGGAGGTTAAGGTTCCACAATTTCATGACCAACAGCATGATTGTGACTATGTGGTGGTCAGCATTGCACACATGCCACCATTACTTCCCCGAAAAGCTGGTACCCATCGGTCTGAAGCTGGGTGGGCTTCAAGCCATAATTAGAGATCGAACTCCAGATAGTAATAATGACAGTTCAGAGCTTTAACCACTGAGCTTCAAACTATATAATGTAGCACATACTAAAACCTGTAATCTCTAAGCCTGACTAAGGAATTGTAAGATTATCATAAAATTTAAAGCTAAAAACCTTTTTAAGTACTTTTAGACTTCATGGAGTAATTTTAGCTGTAATGTGATCTTATTTTGTGTTAGATTAAAATTAAGGAAGCACTTCAATTTTATATAACCTGTATATAATAATTGTGCACCTCAAAATTAGATTATCGTTTCTACAACCTAATTCTTTTAAAAATTGGATACCTGCAAGTATAGTTATCGTAGGTAAATAGTGGCATTCAGAAGCCAATCAGGTTCGACACACACGCGTCACGTCAGTTATCCAATTAATTCTGATTTAAATCATGTGGTTAGGCATAGTCACTTCACTTGTTTTCGAGTTGCAAGTACCCAATTTCGAAACATAAATCAATAAGTTGGCTTTCGTATTTATATTTTGATTAGAAAATATTGAAATAAGTAATTAGAAATGTTTTTAATGATATTCTTCAGGAAAATCCAGGTGTAATGAGCGACACTTCAACTTCTCTCCGAGATCCTATTTTCTACAGATGGCATAGATTTGTTGACAACATCTTCCAACAATACAAAGCCACTCTTAAGCCCTACACCAGAGAACAAGTAAGTTAAACTAAAAATAGGAAAGTTCCGAAAAATTTCTTTTAATTTGAATTTTATTTCTTTAAGAAATATGTATATTCAATTGTGTTGTATTTTTTTTGTTTAGTTGTCTTTCGCCGGTGTAAAGGTCGTCGGTGCTGAGGTCAAAGCTAAGCAAACTAATGTTGTGACCACATTCATGAAAGATGACGAGCTTGAACTTTCACATGGAATTGACTTCGGAACTGGTCACAAAGTCAAGGTAAAAATATTTAGGTCGAAATTTGAATTATTTTCCTTTTATCAGTATTCCGCTTTCGTAATAGCTTCATCGAATAACGTTGGGCGAAAATGCATAATTCACCAAATCAATAATTTTCTTAAGAGATTCCAACTAATGATTAAAGTAAACAAGTAAAGAGAATCCAACAAATAATGGAATGCATATCATTGATTAGACTCAACTGATTTGAATCAATGGATTCAGATCATTAATTTAACTAAACATTTTATCAGTATTCCGCTTTTCTAATAGTTTTATTGAATAACATTGGGCGAAAATGCATAAGTCACCAAATCAATCATTTTCTTAAGAGATTCCAACTAATGATTAAAGTAAAGAAGTTCCAACAAATAATGTGATGCATATCATTAATTAGACTCAGCTGATTTGAATCAATGGATTCAGTTCAGTATTCCGCTTTCCTAATTGTTTTATTGAATAACGTTGGGCGAAAATAAGTTACCAAATCAATCATTTTCTTAAGAGATTCCAACTAATGGTTAAAGTAAACAAGTAAAGAAGTTCCAACAAATAACGGGATGCATATCATTGATTAGACTCAACTGATTAGAATAAGTGGATTCAGATCATTGATACAACTGATTCGAATCAGATTCAGTTACAAAGATTTGTTGTTTATATTCGAGTAAATACTTAATTAAAAACTATCAAGAGCTTCTATCATATTTTTAATGGATTACATTTCATGCATCTCATTATATTTTTATTCAATAAAATTTTCCAGGTACGTTACCACCATTTGGATCACGAGCCTTTCTCTATCCTCATCAACGTTGATAACACCAGCGGTGCACCAAAGCACGCTACCGTCAGAATTTTCTTGGGACCTAAATACGATGAATTGGGCAATCGATTAGTTCCCGATCAACAGCGAAGACTCTTCATTGAATTGGACAAATTCCACAAACAATGTAAATAAAATTTTTCTTTTTATGTCAAAAAATATTTCCCCCCTTGGTTATGTTAATTTGAATTCCTATGTCGAAGAGTTTCTTCTCAAAGTTTGTTAGGTCGAATATTATTCGTTATGGAAAATGAATTTTTTTCTGAAAAATCAAAATGTAAGTTCATTGCAGAGTAAATCTTTTCTATTTAATGCATAATTATTTTTGTCTTACTTTTAAAAATTATCTTATGATTAGGGGGGGNCCTAATAGTTTTATTGAATAACGTTGGGCGAAAATGCATAAGTCACCAAATCAATCATTTTCTTAAGAGATTCCAACTAATGATTAAAGTAAACAAAGGAAGATATTCCGACAAATAACGGTATGCATATCATTTATTAGACTCAGCTGATTCGAATAAGTGGATTCAAATCATTGATTCAACTGATTCGAATAAGTGGATTCAGATCATTGATTCAACTGATTCGAATCAGATTCAGTTACAATGATTTGTGGTTTATATTCGAGTAAATACTTAATTAAAAACTACCAAACGCATCTATAGTATTTTTAAAGTATTACATTTCATGCATTTCATTACATTTTTATTGAATAACATTTTCCAGGTACGTTACCACCATTTGGATCACGAGCCTTTCTCTATCCTCATCAACGTTGATAACACCAGCGGTGCACCAAAGCACGCTACCGTCAGAATTTTCTTGGGACCTAAATACGATGAATTGGGCAATCGATTAGTTCCCGATCAACAGCGAAGACTCTTCATTGAATTGGACAAATTCCACAAACAATGTAAATAAAATTTTTCTTACATACTAAATTTCATTTAAATAATGGTACAATATACTCTCGATATCTCGAAAACAATGTTATGTCAAAAAATATTTTTCCCCTTGGTTATGTTAATTTGTGATAATTATGTCATTATTAGATTAATTATCCACCTTATGTTAATTTGAACGTCGAAGAGTTTCTTCTCAGAGTTTGCTAGGTCGAGTATTTTTCGTTATAGAAAATGAATTTTTTTCAGAAAAATCACAGTGTAAGTTTATTGCAAAGTAAATCTTTTCTATTTAATGCATAATTATTTTTGTCTTACTTTTAAAAATTATCATTGCTGTATTTAGACTTATAGTTAACTATCATTACATACAGTATTATTATCAATTATTCTTACGTTTTATGACTTTACCTCTAGAGCACCCTTTTAGAATATATTTTCTACTTTTTAGAGCATATATGGCTCTGAACTTGCAATCTCGAAACTCGATATCTCGAACTTTTTTTTTAGCTTCCTTTCAACTTCGCGATATCGAGAATATACTGCATTTAGTTTAGGATAATGATCAACTAGGAAACAAAGCAAATATATAGACCGAAGAGCCATTACATTATGATCACCCACCATCTATAACAATGAGCTCACCCAGGTTTTCATGGTTTCTCGCCCAGGAACAATGTTTTCATGGGGCACATTAGGACCCATAATCCTCATAGAACAATCCCTGACGTCTGTAAGCTACTTGAACATAGTTTCAGGCCAGGTTCACCTATTCATGGCAACAGTTTTTCCTGCGGAGGACCAACCGGATAATGTACCAACAGGATAATGCACCATGTCATAAAGGTCGAATCGTCATGGATTGGTTCGAGGAACATTTCAGTAACTTTCAAGTCATGTCTTGGACCCCAAATTCACCTGACCTTAGTTCAATAGAGCATTTGTGGTCCTACTTGGAAAACCAAATTCGTGCTGCCGCACTACCCCTTCGCAATGTGAGGGAATTGCAGGACCAGTTGGTGAACGCTTGGTACCAGATACCTCAGACTACCTATCAGCACATTGTGGAATCAATGCCATGGCGGGTGCTAGCAGTTTTGAGGGCTAAAGGTGGTCCTACATGTTATTAGAAGGGTGGTCATAATGTAATGGCTCTTCGGTGTATATAGATTAAAAAAATATAAAAGTTTAAATCGAGTTAATACAACATTACGATTAAACGTTTTTGACTATCTCCCAATACTATAACTACTATTATGCATTACGCGCTTTAAAATTGTGCTGAATTATGATATTTGAATTATTTCTTATGTTACTATTATGAGAACTCTGAACATTTCCGAGAGCTAGAATAATGGTTACCAAATGCATGTCTGTGGACCATCAGCGGTTCACGAAGAAATTGTTTATATCCGCTAAAGAAGTTTTAACGAATGAAGATTTTTGCTTTGGTAACGTTAGAAATATTTGTTGACATTTTCCAAAAAATTGGGCAGTGGTTAACAAGATTAAATTTCTTCTGCTTGGTGGTCCGTAGGGATCAAGAAACTGGCCGCCGCTACTTTAGAAAGCGATGCAAAAAATCAGAAGATACAGGGGTGGACTAAACAATCCATTATTTTGTCTAAATTTTGTTTAATTTTATTGAATATTTTTAAAGTTATTGCGAAAAAGTGTTAGAAAAAATAACTAGTTTTTTTAATGAAAATGCCCATATCTCCATAATTATCTATGCTACATTTTTTGACACAGGGTGTCAAAAAAACAGTATTTTCTGTTTATATTTTATTGTCAGTCCCTCAAATCTCTAAGCTTCAGTGATATGTATGAGAAATTGCATGATCGAAACACTTCTATAGTTATAAAATTCTATAATTATAAGTTATAAAATAATTCACTAAGTATTTTTCGGAGAAATATGAAAAAATGTATTAATATAGAAGTATTTGCATTATTTAGTATACTGTAATGCATCTTATGTTATCAGCTTTAAAGCACATTAGCTGCTGGAACACGTAACTTAGAACGCAAGCTTTTCGAAACTCTGTAACACGAGGAATTGACTGAAACTTCAACCAATTCAAACCATGCTATAGTTCAAACTAAATCTTCTTAAACTTGATTACACGATACTATGGTTCAACTTGGATAGAAACTTGGTAAAATATAACATCTAATTAAGGTTGCGGATGAATATTATAATTCAAGGTACTGATTGTATGTCTTTTAGTTGAGCGAATTTTTTTCTTTAACTCTTCAGTATGAAATCGGAACTATAAGAAAGCCATTAATATGCAGTCTTAAATCAACTTGAATAAAAGCATAGTTAATATAACATCTTATTAAGTTTGAGTACAATTTGCAACTAATTTCTTTTTCTTAGATGGTAGCATGTAATCAGAACTTAAAAAAAAAAAAGAAAAAACAGCATGAAGCCTTAACTTGAACGGAAACATGGTTAAATTTAGCATCTTGTTAAGATTACGGATAATTAAAGCAATATTATAATTCAAAGTACTGATCGTATGTCTCATGGCTTACACATTTGTTCAGATTGTAGCATGAAATTGGAACTATCGGCACTACAATTATTATGAAATCTTAATCCTTTCAAAGCTATCTATTCTTATAGCTCTTTCATTATTCTTTATGACTTAATAGAGTAATTTTTCAAAAATACATAAAAAGTAATAAGAGAATAAATAAAGTTGCAGAAGTTATTAACCAATAAAGCTAATTTTGGCTGTTTACATATTTAGTAATAATTGCGTGAATATTATACAATGCTTTTCATCCTTAATGAATTTAATAGGGTACAATATTTTTATTCAGTAAAGGTTTCTAATACCATACAAAATTCAGTTTAGTTGCTTTAAGTATTTAATCATATGTTTATTAAAGACTATCGAAAAATAGTTCTTTTAACACTGTCGAATAGTTTCATTTAACTAAGTCGGACAATTAGTTCCTTTAACACTGTCAAACAATTAGTTCATTTAACACTGTCGAACAATTAATTCATTTAAAAGTATGGAACAATTACCTCATTTAATAGTATAGAACAATTAGTTTATTTAACACTGTCAAATAATTAGTTCATTTAACTCCGCCGAACAATTAATTCATTTAAGAGTATGGAACAATTACCTCATTTAATAGTATAGAACAGTTAGTTCATTTAACACTGTCGAAAAATTCGCTCATTTAACACTGTCGAACAATTAATTCATTTAAGAGTATGGATCAATTACCTCATTTAATAGTATAGAACAGTTAGTTCATTTAACACTGTCGAAAAATTCGCTCATTTGATACTGTCGAACAATTAATTCATTTAAGAGTATGGAACAATTACCTCATTTAATAGTATAGAACAGTTAATTCATTTAACACTGTCGAAAAATTCGCTCATTTAACACTGTTGAACAGTACTCTGTCGAAAAAATTTGTTTATTTAACACTGTCGATTCTATTTTAGTGACACCAGGAGCCAACCAGATCAGCCGAAACGCTATCGATTCAAGCGTAACTTTGGCTCACACTTACACTTTCAATGAGCTCAGAGCTGGTCAAAGTGGATCTCAAGATGCTAGTGAGTACTGCAGTTGTGGATGGCCCGAACATATGCTCGTTCCCAGAGGTACACACAAAGGCATGGAATACGAACTTTTCGTCATGCTCACTGACTACACTCAAGATAACGTGAGTAGTTTTCTGAAATGGTAGATACAGAAAAGTGGAATGAGCTATATCTAAATCTATATCCACATCTAATTCTAAATATCTATACTAATTTCTAAATACAATTCGAATATCTAAATCCATGTCTAATCTACATCTGAATTAACTATGAACCGATGATTCATTCTTAATCTAGACTATACGTTTATTTTGTCGAATTTTGAAATAGTATCTTCTATTTAAGAATATGTCTTAAAATCGGTATTGTTTGCATACTCTGGAAATGCATGGATAATAATATTTGAAAGTTTCTACTCTAAATATCTTTAGTCTCGCAGTGTTCGATCGTTCCCGATCGTTAAGACATGGTTCCCAGCAGATCAACAAAGTCAAGCATCACTGGCTACTGTCAGTTTGCGGGTGGGTGACCACTTGGATCAGTCTACGTAGGGACCGAGAGTGTGCTGTATTGGTCCTCGTAAAACTGTTCTACTGTAAAGTGCTCGACTTCGCGTGCAGGTAGTCGGGCAGGTCGTTCCCTCTGCAGAGGATCAAAATTGTGATGACATGTCTTTGGATCATCCTCAGGGGTGTTTCCCAGACCGTGGCCAATAACCCATCGTGCAGCTCTAGTGCGACGTAAATTAACTACAACAACAGCTAAATAACTTTAAACTCTCAATTACCTAAATAACTTTATTTGCGGTTATATTTTTAGTAAAATTTAAGAGAAATTTTTTAAAATTTATGGGTGGAGTGCAGGGAAAATTAACTTTAACGGTAAGGAGGAAATTTGAAAGGCGAAGTGTAAACTATTGGGTGAATTCATCAGACTGATGTTGTCTCTAAAATATGATACAGTAAGCCCAATTATTTGTTTATGTTAAATATTTGTTTATACTTTGATGAAAGAAGATCTTGTAGGTAGTATATCATATTTAAATCATCGTATCAAGTTTTTCTTTGTTCAACTTCATTAAGAGCATACTAACTACTTTTTTAAAATTCTAAAACTTTGAAATTCTCTACACTCATTCAATTTACTACAAGAGAACTTTAATTAATATGTTTCGCAGTACGGCTAATTTTTGCATTTTTTTTTTACTTTCTATTTTAGTCTCAAAGAAATAAGGAGGCTTAGCATTGAGGTTATTTAAATAACTGTTTAAAAATCAGCGAAGAAAGAACAATTAAGGAGTTTTAATTAGAATAATTCACTTTAAAAACTCATTTTGGCTAAAATTTCGAAGAAACAAGAGGTTACTCATTCAAGGAACATGAGAAACTAGGATTGTTCAATAAGGTTTAAATAAAACAACCCATAGTAAACTTTCATTTACCTATAATTTCGAAGGAAAAAATAAGAAAAGACATTAAAATTTGACTTACTGTATTCATACATGCCTTCTCTGTATAAGTCTAATATCAATTTTATTAAAAAACACTATATTTTAGTTTTCTAAGAACGCGCATTCTAACTTTACCACAAATGATTAATGCATATGAAGCTACTGAATGAAGTGATAATTTCTAATACAATCAATGATTTTTTTCACCTAACTTGTTTTATAATAAACAATACTATTATTCATAATTTACAGTTAAAAGAATCTAATATATTAAGACCATTTGTGATGATGTTTTGATTTTATTATGTACTAAATGATTCTTCATCATTTATAAACTGAAGGAGCTAATGTTTAGACCATTTGCAACACTGCTACGTTTTTACAGGATATATATATTATGTAATTCTTCGTCATTTACAGCCTGAGGGATATAATAATAAGGCCGCTTGCAATAATGCTATGAATTTATTATATATTTAATGATTCTTTGTCATTTACAGCCTGAAGGAGCTAATAATAAGGCCGTTTGCAATAATGCTATGAATTTATTATATACTTAATGATTATTCCTCATTTGATGCCTAAAAGAGCTAATGTTTAGACCATTTGCAAAAATGCTATGGATTTATCATATACTTAATGATTATTCGTCATTTGCAGCCTGAAGGAGCTAATGTTAAGACTATTTGCAATGATGCTGTCAGCTATTGTGGTGCTAAGGATCAGAAATACCCTGACAAGAAACCCATGGGATTCCCCTTCGACAGGCCTTGCACTGCCTTGACCGCTGCTGAAATCCTGACTGAAAACATGTCTTTGACTCCAGTACAGATCAAGTTCTTGGGTTAAAGTGAAAGTTATTGTAAATAAATTGAAAAATTACTGTACAACTAAGAAAGCAATTTGAATAAAAAATAACTTCAAGGTATTTTGATTTCGTATATTGATATTTGTTTGATGGTCTTTGTATTAAAACAGTAATTGTACTTCAAAAGGGACAAGTGGTTTAATCTATAAAAGAAATGTAATTCAGTTAAAAATATTAAGTGATTGTATTATGGTGCTCATACATTTTATGAAATTAATTATAAATTTGATCAGGAGACGAAGAAAGTTTTGATATCTATACATTTTAACTATCGATGTCACAGCTCGGGGAACTTTTAAACTTTTGTTTCGTCATGAAAAAAAAAGAAAAGCTAGGTAAGTATAAGATCATATAAATTTTTTTATGTACTGGAAGGCTTCCTCGCCGTTACTTTTGTTTTTTTTCTTAAATCCTTATTATTTTTTTAATGAAAAACAAAGATAATTTTTTTAATAAAACATGTAAAATTTTTTAAATTTATGCAAAAAAATTTGTTAACACATTAATCGCAAAGAATAACACTGGGTAACAATTTTTTTGTCGAACTTATATAAATACTTGATCTCGCCTAATTCAAGTGAGGGAGTTTCAAATCTGAAATTAATTTTGCTCTTAAGGCTACAGACCTTTAAAAACATCTAGGGGAGTATGGGCACATCATAGGGATTAAAAATGCACAGGAGCCCATGACCGGAAATGTCATCATACGCTGCTAGGGTCTTTTCTCTATTATAACCTGTTCAAAAATACACGAAGAAACCGTTCATAATAGGCAAGCGGCCCTAACAGCGTATAGCATGGATTCCTGTACAATTTCAATCCTGACGATGTGCCTCAACTACTTCCCTGGAAGTTTGCAACAACATTTACTTGACCCCGTGTTATATAACATTTATATGTTATAACATTTCGACAAAAATATACTAAAAATGCCATATAAAAAAATTTGCAGCTTGGAGAAAAAAAAACCGATTGCAGACTTAAAACCAGTGATATGAAAGTATTTAAGAACTGTTTAAAAATATCAAGCAACAGAAAAAAATTCTATCATAACGCAATCGTAATTAATTTCAACATTAATCAACTGTTCTTAGTAAAAGAAGAAAAATTCAACTTAGCATTTTAAATTCACATAAAAAGCACGTAGCATTACAAACATTTTCAAATAAATAGAAATTTCGAAAAAAAAATCAAATAAGAAAATCGTCTTTCAGCGCAAAAAAGTTTTATCTTAAAGTTGCATTAATGTGGAATCCAGAACAGTCGCATGGTATTTTTTACTTGTTTAAATAGTCAATAATTTTTTGATTGATTAAATGTGAAATTTTTTATTTAATCATATTTTTTATTTATTCTATGAATATTTTTTTACTTAATATTGTAATTTCAAGTTTTTAAGCCTCACAGTATTTTCATAGCAAAACAAAATGCAGCCTATAGTTGCAATTGATTGATCTATAGGCTGCATTTGCAATTGATTGATCCAAAACAGCAATTTGATGCATATGATGAATGGATACAAATAAAATGATGCTCGAATCTGAACAAAATTAAATTATATTAAAGTAAAATTAAAAAAATCATTATTGTTTTTTTTTGCATTAATTTATAACAAGCAGCAGAAAAAATTATTCAATCAGTTTGACACAATGATTTGTATTTTATGAAAATATAAAAGCTAAAAATAAATCATATCAAATTCGAAGTAAAAATATTTATTGACGAATTATGGTTAAAAAAAATTACTAAAATTTAAAAAATATTGTTAGAATTTTTTCTTCATATTTTTGAATCAAATTATAATTTAATTTTATTAAAGACATTAAGTAAAAAAAATAAAAAAGAGACAAGAAATAATGAGGTTAACAGGATCAGAATAAAAGAAAATGGAGTTATAAAAGATTATGAGGTGCAAAGCGTTTAACACAACATATATTACTGCATCTCTCGGATGAAAGAGTGTTTGATTTTATTTTTAAAAAAGTGTTATAAACATTTGATGAATAATTTATCGCAATCAAAGTATAAGCCTGATGAAAAGTATCGAATGAAACTAAAAGTTAGTCACTGCTTTGTCTATTAATTTAATAACATGTGAAACTATCCTGTTTCTTTTAATACTTAAATTTCACTCTCTAGTGCTCTGAGAAAAAAAGGATGTTACCAGCTACCTGATTAGCCTAAAATTACTTTGTTTCTGGCTTTATGGGAATACCAAAAAATCGGTAATTTTAATCGATATGCTATAGCAATGATTTTGGAAAAGTTAACTAACAATGAAATATGGTTTTATAATATATGATGAAATTTGGTAAACAAGGTAAAATTTTGTAATTTTATCATGATATCTTAGGAAGTGGCACAAAAACTATTTTCTCGGTTAAGTTTAATTTTCAATTTTGTATTTTTGACTAAATGTGAGGTATAATTTTTCAAAAACAAAATTTCCGGTAAACCGTTACCATATGAAAAAAAAAATTACCAAATGAATGATTTAGACGCTGTATATTTTTTCCAACAAAAGATAGGGTGTACTTAGTGCTATGAATAGACTAAAGCCATTAAAAAGTAAATGAATGCTATAGTTTCACTTCCATAAACAAGAACTTTCCCCTGTGTCTAAATACCAAATGATGGTAGAGAAACTAAAAAGACAAACACAGGAAAGGTGGCTTAACCAATAAGGACAGAGGAACAAGTTTGAACAAGAAAACAAAAAGGGAGATAAGAAACAGGTATTAGGGGATTCGGCTGGATCCCCAGGGTGCAATAGCTTTTTGTAGACCACGCAAGAAAAGAATTTCTATTCAGATGTGTAGACATGTAAGTTTACGATCTCATGTTTATGACGGCTCAAGCACTTGATATTTCAATTCTTTGTCGTGATCGCAAAAAAATGAGAACTTTCTTTGTAGCCATGTAAGGGAAATACATAGATATTGATAATTAATACAACCGATTATGTTTTTATTCTCTATGCAGTTTTCGTTTAGTGTTAGTTTTATTTAGGAAAAACAGAGATTTACCATTTTCTTGTTTAATAATCAAACACAAATTAGGAAATGTGTATTTATTCAAACTAATGTTCGTTGAGAATAAATTTAATGCTTATTAAGTATACTCATGTGTCTAAAAGTTAAATTGTTCCCCACTTTATCATTTCCTATTTTAATGAAGTTTTGTACACAGTTGCTTAAACCTACTAAATTGAGTTAATGGTTGATGTAAACAAATTACACTGTGCGTCGTATGCCATTATGGTTAGATAATGTTAGAATGTTGCTGACAACTAACGATTCTGTAAAGATTTGTAGGCGTAAAAACTTTACTAAAAATTCGAAAACATTAACCTAAAAACGTATGATCTCTACATAACGACTTAGTGATTCTAGCGCTTTTTAAAAAGAGAAACTGATTAAAAAATTATTTTACAACGGTTTCAAAAATAATTTTTCGAAAAAAATTAGAATTTTTGTTTTACATTATATCAAGTCCAAAATTATACTCAGTCTTAAGGGAAGTCAAATTTGTACTTTCGCTCTGTCATAGTTATTGAAATTATCTTTTTATGGTTTGAAACTTACTAGAATTAAGTTTGACAGGTCCTGGCACTCGTGTTTTGAATTTCACAGCGTTTTTTGTTTGTTGCTTGAAACTTCCTAGACCACAGTTTGAAAGGTCCTGGTACTCGTGTTTTGGATTTCATAGTAATTTTTTTTTGCTGTTTAAATTTTACATAGATTGTCTGGTCCAGGTACTTGTGTTTTGAATTCAAATTTTTTTTTCGTGATTTGAAACCTACAGAACATAGTTTGATAAGTCCAAAATCGTGCTTTGAATTTCATCGAGATTTTTCTCGCGGTTTTAACCTACTGGAACATAGTTCTGTAGGTCCAGGCTCTCGTGCTTTGAATTTCATAGCGATTGAAAATAATAATGTGGAAGTCAATAATTTGTTTGGCTCAATGCAACCATTATATAATGAAAATATTAAAAAAGTGTAGGAAATTTTGCATATTAAAGAAATAGACGCAGAAAAAAAGATAACTGCCATCACATTACAGCATTTATACTTCAAGTGTTATGGCATTAGAAATCTTTATTTTTTCGGAATCCAACTATGAAAATGTGACACAGGGTTTTCGATGTTGAGAGAGATTCACAGTGTTAGGTCTCAATAGTATTCTCTCTTGTCGGAACGAAATATATTTGTGAGTGTGCATTCTTGAAGACATTGATAAGCATGTGCATGATATTTCATTCTACTATGCTACTTTCCATTGAATGGGAAAAGTGATTCACATTACTATTTCACGTAATTTCAAGTACTCTCTGTCCGTCGCGAGATGAGACTCCATACTCAGAGAGGATGGACTATCACAAGGGTTTCCAACTTCCGGGGTCACAATTGAAAACACAAATTAATTGGCGGGCGCAACTTTATCAAAATCTAATGTAGGACTCTTCTATGTTTGAAGGAACATTAAATATTACTGTCAGATTTTTATCAAGTTGCACAAAACAAAAGTATTGAATTACAAATTAAAATAAAAAGTAGATTTTCAAAAATATTTAATTGCATATTAAAAATTTCGGGCTACAATAACTTTAATGTGACCCATGTATTAAACAATTAATGTGCAACAGATATCTAATTGTTAAGATATGAAAATTGAAAAAGGTTGGTTTTAAAACTTACATAGTAGCACACAAAATGTTCAATGACAAAATTGAGGTTTGTCTGCTGCAACCACCAGAGAATAGATATTTACACTTTAAATTTAAAATTTACAAATGTGTGTGTAAATAGTTTCGTCCAAAATGAGTGGTTTCAAAAAGTTAAATCGGAGAATTTCTTCGAGAAAATTTCTGATGCACACATGCTAAATTATATTCAAAAACACAAAAAAATGAAATAAAGAAGAGCAAGATACACGATTATTTTTGTATTTGAATAAATATTTTCTTGGATGTAAAACCTGAGAATTTTTTTTTTTTGCACCGTTGGTATGATAAATTTCACAGAAACGNCATGCACAACGAGTATGCATGCTGTTAATAAGGGAGTTAAGGAGGACTTGTGGATGACCCTCCCATTCTTCCACCAGAGCAATTTTTAACTCCAGAATGGTTCTGGGGGGAGGTTGGCGCATCGCAATAGCTCTCCCAAGAGCATCCCAAGCATGTTCAATAGGATTCAGGTCAGGGGATTTGGCTGGCCAATCCATTCGTTGAATATACTCGCTTTCCAGATACTCATCAACCATGAGAGCCCTATGTTGTCGCGCATTGTCGTCCATAAAAATGAACTCAGGACCAACAGCGTCCCTGAAAAGACGCACATAGGGCTCTAGGACCTCCTGCCTGTGCCTCTGGGCATTCACGGAACCATTGTCAAACGCATGGAGCGATGTGCGGGTATCTTGCATGTGCGAATGAATGCGCGAAAATGCTTCCCGTCTCTTAATTTTGTCCACCAGTGTAGTTCTGTAGGTTCAGGCTCTCGTGCTGTGAATTTCATAACGATTGAAAATAATAATTCGGAAGTCAATAATTTGTTTGGCTCAATGTAACCATTACATAATGTAAATGTAAAAAGTGTAGGAAATTTTGCATATTAAAGAAATAGACGCAGAAAAAAAGATAACTGGCATTACATTACCACATTTATACTTCAAGAGTTATGGCATTAGAAATCTTTATTTTTTCGGAATCCGACTATGAAAATGTGACATAGGGTTTTCGATGATGAGAGAGATTCACAGTGTTAGGTTTCAATAGTATTCTCTCTTGTCGGAACGACATGTATTTGTGAGTGTGAATTCTTGAAGACATTGATGAGCATGTGTATGATATTTCATTCTACTATGCGACTTTCCATTAAATGGGAAAAGTATTTGATATTACTATTTCCATGTAATTTCAAATACTCTCTGTCCGTCGCGAGATGAGACTCCATCCTCAGAGAGGATGGTCTATCATATCATAATTACCAGACTGCATACATAAAGTAATGCCACACTGTAAAAAGTTTCGAATCAAGTTAAGGTAAAAAGTACCGGTGCTCAGACTGTCGGTACTTTTTACCGCAAAATCTATCTCTTTTTTTAACAAAACATGTTACGCAACAAAAAATCTGATATTCTTGACTGCACATTCTTGTACACATTGATTAACGTATGCGTCTACGTGCATAATATTTCCACGATGTAAATTTCAACAGAATGGAAAAAAGTAATGAATATTTCCACGTAATTTCACAAGTATTCTCTGTCCATCACGAGATGGGACTACATCCTCATTGGAGGATCATCCATCATCTCGTGATTGCCAAACAGCCTACAAAAAGTGATGTCATACTATAGAGAATTTCGGATCAAATTACGCAAAAAGTACCGGTACTTAATGTGCCGGTACTTTTTGCCTTAAAGTCCATGCTTACCGGAACATGTTACGGAACAAAAAATCTGGTATACCGAAATTTTTGCAGTAATAATTACAGTAAAATCACTGAATCACCCTAATTGAGTAAATTTAACTGTAAAAATTACGGTATACTATTTTATGGTGAAAAAGGACTTGAGGGTAAAATGGTTTTTATGGATAATGCCCCCAAAATGCCGGTACTTAATACCGTATTTTGATTTGGAATTTTTTACAGCGCAGATAATCTTAGTTGTTATTGAGAATATTTTATTATATATTATTATTATTGAGAAAACAAACTAACAAAAATGTATCTCCTTTTTCTATTCATCTTTGCATCAAATATTGAAAATTTAAGAAGCATTCGATTAATTTAAATTGTAAAAAAACTTTTGTAGCTCTAAAAATGATAGACTAGAATTTATTTTAAGTGCATTTTCAATTAATTAACATGGTTTTTCGGAGTTCTGTTGCCAAGGAAAATAAAAAAAACCCAGTGCTTTACACTTAAAGCAAAAAGAAACTATGTATATGATATTACCATAAAGAATTATCTGGGCTTTAGAACGCACGAATAACGTAAATAATAGTAAAGCTAAACTTCTTTTAAAATAACTTTTCGAAAAACAACCTTAAAAAAACAGTCACTTGGTTGGAAAAAAAATCCGAATAATTAGTTTAAAATTCATTAGCGTATGAAATTGCTTAAAAAATAATTTCAAATCAATGGATGCTTTTTTTAAAATTTATATTTTTCAACACGAATTGTTTTTTACCCTGGTTTAATATTTTTTTAAAAACGGTAAATAGAATTCAATTAGATTTAATTCTATTATTAATAATCATTAACGCATGATATTACTTAAAGGTTAATTTTACAGTAATGAATGATTCTGCTTAATATTTAGACTTCTTTTATACATCTTGTTTTTCAGTGTGCGTTAAAAATCCTGAAAAAGGACAAATAAAGTTCAGTTAAATTAGAAATAAAACTTAAAAAAATTAGAATTAACTCTATTATTCCTAGTTACTTGTCACCATAAAAAATATCAAACAACTCTAATAAATTTGGAATATAAAGCATTATAAAATCTTACTGCAAATAAATATCATATTCCGAGTGAAGTAAACGATAAGAGAGATAAAAAGCTTTATCTATAATTCCTGAATTTGCCTTCACGTAAACTAAGAATAACTGTGAATGGGCGCAGAAAGAAGATTCACAGAAAATCGCCCTTCCCTGTGAAAAGCATCACAATTTAAACGGAAGGCGAGCATTACTAGAGATATAAAAAGCTGCTTTGGGTCGAATTCCGGACTTGGTATTAGATCCTGACGTCCAGCTGAAGATGACCGTCAAAGAAAAGCAGACTCGAGTGTGCACCTTGCTTACTCACTTGACTTCAGTGAGCAAGACTGTTGTCCCAGTTGAGGACAGGGATCCAAGACTCAATGGCATCGGAAAGCTGCCCCAAGGAGAACTTTTCTCATGTTTTCATGAGAAAGGCTTGGCTGAGGCTACTAAGCTTTACGAAACACTCTATGGTAAGAAATGGAATATTTCTATCAGTAATTTTTAACACATTAAATTCTATTTATGTATATTTTGAAAATAGTTTCAACAGTAATTTTCTCAAATTTACCTCCATAAACCCTTCGATAGTGAATTTGGAAAGATTTTCATTCGTAATTTTTGAAAATCAAGATCTACAAATCCTTGTATATTTAATTTGGAAGGATTTTGAGTAATTTTCACAAACTTAGCTCTGTAAATCCATTTTTGTTAAATTTGAAAAGATTTCCCGGAGTAATTTTCTCAAATTAACCGATGCAAACTCTTTTATAGAGAATTAGAAAAGATTTTCATTCGCAAGTTTTGCAAATTAAGATCGACAAATCCTTCTATATTTAATTTGGAAGGATTTTTTTTAGTAATTTTCACAAATTAAGCTCTATAAATCCAATTTTGCTGACTTTAAAAATATTTTTAACAGTTATTTTCTCAAATTAAGCTATATAAACCCTTGAATTTGGAAAGATTTCATTGGTTATTTTTACGAATTAAGCTCTTCAAATCCTTTTATATTTAGTTTAGAAAGATTTTAAATTGTATTTTTTTTCCAAATTAATTAAACTAGGAATCCGTTCATATTGAATTTGAAAAAATTTCCAACAGTAGCTTTCACAAAAAAATAATTTCTACAATTTTCATCGGCATAGAATTTAAAAATATTTATGTTAATAACTGTTAAACAGTTTTTTCAACTATGCTAATTTATTTTTTAAACTGTAGATTCGATTAAACTAATTAAAGTTCTTGAGGTATTGTAACGATAAGCAACATTTTTAAATTGTTCAGTATTATTCACTGCGAATTAAAAGTAAGCAAGAAGTTGTTTCTATATATTGTGTTGCTACTTATCAGAAATTCTGAAAAATTCCACCAGAAATTCATCTGAAAGCAATATGAAGGAACAGCTTGATATAAACATGTCACCTTTGGGAAAGGTGTGTATTATCATTATATTTTTCTGAGCCCTCAATTACATACGTTTTTTTTTACCACATTTAATGCATCTGAAAGTACAAATGAAGAGCGACCTAAAAAATTGCTTCAAAATTAAGACCACCAAAGAAAACCATTTTTTTTATTAAAATCTCTTTTATTTCTATTATTTATATTGATCAAAATATTAGCAATAATCTTTTTATGAGAAATTTTTAAGCTAATTTCAATCAACAAATGTTTTTAACCACTTCCGCATGATTCTAATTTGTTTATTTTATTTTTCAGCTGCAAAAGATTTTGAAGATTTCATGAATTTAGCCAAACAGGCTAGAACTTTTGCAAATGAAGGTCTTTTCGTTTATGCCGTTTCTGTTGCAATTTTGCATAGAGCTGATTGCAGAGGAGTAACTGTACCACCTATTCAAGAAATCTTCCCCGACAGATTCATTCCCACTGAAACCATCAGTTTGGCACAGAAAGAAGTAGCCAATCACCCTGATAAGGTAATGTATAAATTATTAAGACAATTGCAACTACCACTTTTAATATATACCGCTAGACCTTTGGCTAAAAATAAAATAATTAAGCTCTAAATATTAGATACTAAGAATTCCACTTTTGCAACTAGATTTTTTACCGAAAATAAAATAATTGAGCTCTAAATATTAGATACTAAGAATTCCATTTTTGATGCTAGATTTTTTGACAAAAATAAAATAATTAAGCTCTAAATATTTTATTTTCGTCTAACAATATTACACTGGAAATAACTGAGATTTCTAATTAAGCTCTAAATATCAGATGCGAAGACTTCCACTTTTGCAACTAGATTTTTTACCGAAAATAAAATAATTAAGCTCTAAATATTAGATACTAAGAATTCCACTTTTGCAACTAGATTTTTCACCGAAAGTAAAATAATTAAGCTCCAAATATTAGATACTAAGAATTCCACTTATGTTGCTAGATTTTTTTGCCGAAAATGAAATAATTAAACTCTAAATATTAGATACTAAGATTTCCTCTTTGGCAACCAGATTTTTTGCCGAAAATTAGATAATTAAGCTCTAATAATTAGATACTAAGTATTCCACTTCAGCTGCTAAATTTTTTGCTGAAAATAAAACAATTAAGCTCTTAATATTAGATACTAAGATTTTCTAGATTAGATTAAGATTTCTTTAGATACTAGATTTTTTGCTGAAAATTAGATAATTAAGCTCTAATAATTAGATAGTAAGAATTCCTCTTCAGCTGCTAGACTTTTTACCGAAAATAAAACAATTAAGCTCTAAATATTAGATACTAAGAATTTTCCTTTTTCTGCTATATTTTCTGCATAAATTAAAATAATTAAGTCCTAAACATTAGATAATAAGAATTCAATTGGTATTTAGGCGATAAAAATGATATTCATTATTACAAGTATTTCAGGCATTTTATGTAATCGAAGTTTTTCTTTAAATTTTTTTTTCCAGGACGTTAAAGTCGAAATTGAAACTACTGGAAACATCTTGGATCCTGAATACAAAATGAGCTATTTCCGTGAAGATGTTGGCACTAATGCCCACCATTGGCACTGGCACATCGTCTACCCTGCCACCTGGAAACCAGAAGTTATGGGAAAAATCAAAGACAGGAAGGGAGAACTCTTCTATTATATGCATCAACAGATGTGTGCCAGGTAAAGTGAATAAAAGTTAAAAAATTAAAATTACATCGAAACTAAATTAAAGAATGTAAGTAAGAATAAAAGTTTCAGCGAAAATGACAACTACATGTTTCGGAAAAATATCAGTCTCCTTTTATCAAGCAGTTAAGACAATTTCTAAATGCTTGAAGAGGGGAGGCTTGTTCTTCCTGGTACATGTAGCTGTAGTGTGGTGTTTTATGAAAGTTTTATAAATAATCATGAGTTTCATGACAGTTTAATAAATGAATTTGTGTTATATTTTAAAATTGACTAATGTTTCAGATCATATTTCAAATATAATTTCCTATATTTAATATTAATTTACAAACTGTGCTAAGTAAGTCTTGGTATTTAGTTTTCTATGCTCAATGCTAGAAAATTGACTCCATACAAACTGATGTATGCTTTTATATTCTAAGTATGTTTGATTAAATTTTCAATTAAAATAGTAGCATTTTATACGGTTGATTACTAAACTAAGATAATGTCAAATCTTGGAGTATATTTGTTACCGTAAATAACCAAAATCAAGAGAATATTGACTTTCACCCGTGAATGTCAACAATCACATAGTAGCTTTGGCGAATATCAAAAATATTTGTTATATCAGATTGGATATTAATTTATTGTGATATTAATATATTTATTCGATATTTTAATATCATCTGGGGTAGATTTGGAGAATCATCAGTATTCGGAGTATCAGTTAAATACATACGGACAGTGTCACTTGACCTTACAAAAGCATTGAAGTAGGGCATACCGGGCAAATGTATACCGAGCAGTTGCACTTAACTACACCTAGTATATATTTGAACATTTACCAAAGCGACTATGTGATTGTCAACATTCACCGGTGGAAGTCAAATGACCAATTTCGAAGGGCTTAGGGAATAGAGCGTTAGCCTTCCAATGAGGCGAACCGGGTTCGAATCCTAGTTGATACGAATTCCGCATCCGCCTTGCACCGATCACAGTGCTGCCGTGAAATATCCTCAGTGGTAGACGGATCATGGGTTAGAGTCCATTTGCCGTCAGGCTAACCGTGGGAGGTTCTCGTGGTCTTCCTCTTCATGCAACGCAAATGCGGGTTAGATCAATCAAAAAGTCAGTCATCCACTAAGGCAAACTTCTCCCAATACTCGATCCAAGAGTTCCCTTGTCTTCTGGATTGGATTCAAAATTACAAGGCTACGGAGTTGAACATTAGTAGTCGTAAACCCATAACATTGGGTCGGCTGCTCAACGACGGTTACAAAAAATAAAATAAAAAACCCCCCACCAATTTCGGATCGTGCTGACCCAGGGGATAGAGCATTCGCCTTCCAATGAGGTGAGCCTGGTTCGAATCCCAGGGATGGCTGATTGATACGAATTCCACATCCATCTTGCCCCGACCACAGTGCTGACGTGAAATATTCTCAGCGGTGGATGGATCATGGGTTAAAGTCCCCTTGCCGCCTGATTAACCATGGGTGGTTTTCGCGATTTTCCTCTCCATGTAACACAAATTCGGGTTAGTTCACTCAAAAAGTGCTCCACGAAGGCAAATTTCTCCCAAAACTTAATCCAGGAGCTCCCTTGTATTCTGGATTGGGTCCAAAGTTACAAGGCTACGGAGTTGAACGCTAATAATCGTAAGCCCGAAATTGGTTCTGCTGTTCAATGACGGTTATAAAATAAAATAAAATAAAATTAAATAAAAATTAAATTAAATTAAATTAAATTAAATTAAATTAAATTAAATTAAATTAAATAAAACCATTAATTTCTGTCATTCACAGTAACATATTCATTAGTTATCGGAATTCAAAGTTTGAACATATTTTATATCTTCCTCATTGACAAAACTGTACATGCTTTATTATTATTTTTTGTTAAAAACAGATACGATTGCGAGCGTCTGTCGAATGGAATGAGAAGAATGATTCCCTTCCACAATTTCGAAGAAAACTTAGAAGGATATGCCCCTCACTTGACATCTCTTGTGAGCGGTCTTCAATACTCTTCCCGACCACAAGGTTTCTCCCTTCACGACTTGAAGGACGTTGATGTTCAAGACATGACCCGATGGAGAGAGCGAATCATTGAAGCCATCCATCTGGGATACGTAGAAGATGAAAAACATCAACGAATCACTTTGACACCTGAAAACGGCATCGACATTTTGGGATCCCTCCTTGAATCCAGCTATGAATCCAAGAACAAACTGTTCTATGGAAGCCTCCACAACTGGGGACACGTCATGATGGCCAACATCACTGACCCAGATGGCCGATTCAATGTAATTATAATTCTGTATATAAATAACAAGATTTTCCTTAAAAACCGTTATTATTTTTAGATTTTTTGTTGTTGTCAAAAATGAATAAATGATAAAAAGAATTTTGAATCTTAGAAAAAGGACAAGTTAAGATTTCAGACTTTTGTAGCTGGTTTTGAAGCTTTTAAAAAAATCAACGATATTTAAATGATACTATTGAATTATTATTTTTGGAATAATTTTTATCAATTAGAATAGTTTAAATGACTTAGAATAATTTCTTTTATTGATTTCTTACATCATATGAGCTGGAAGTAAGGATTTACAATGATTAACAATAACAATAATCAAAAAGATTTCCAGAATCTTTGTCTAACTTGAATAGTAATATACGATTCTCGAAGCATCGAAACTCAAGTCGTAACATCTAGGATAGTATCCTTTGGTCTTTCATTTATAAAAAATTCTAAACTCAGGTGGTGGCTCAGGTTATAGAGCTTTTGCCTATCGATGAGGGGACACGAATTCGAATTCCAGCGATTTTCGGTCGATACGAATTCCTCAGTTGAAGATGTATCATGGAACAAAGTTCCCTGGCTGTCAGGCTAACCGAGTGAGGTTTTCGTTGTTTTCCATCAAAAAGTCCGCCTTAAAGACAATTTTTTAAAAATACTTGATACAGGAGTTCTCTTGTCTTCTGGATTGAGTTCAAAATAACAAGTCTTCCAAGTAGAACATACATAGTCGTAAACTGAAAATTGATTCAGCTGTTCAACGACGGCTATGAAATAAAATGAAATATTAAGGGCGGCGATTATAGAAAACATTGTTTGTAAAGACAGTGTATGCAGAAAATCTTAGGAGTGCTATTTTGGCAAAATTTCTTCTATTTTTAAAAATTGCTATTTTTTACCGTCTAGGAAAACCCAGGAGTCATGAGCGATACCTCAACCTCACTTCGTGATCCAATCTTCTACAGATACCATCGATTCATTGATAACATCTTCCAAGAATATAAATCAACTTTGACACCATACACAAAAGCCGATGTAAGTTATGAATTTACTCTATATTTATATAATAAATTCATATTCACTCAAATGGTAATTAGTAACACTGGAAAATATTTTTTTTTGTTGCTTTTATTGGTATAATAAATTTATAGTCACCAAAATAGTAATTAATAACACTGGAAAATATTTTTTTTTGTTTTTATTGATATAACAAATTTATATTCCCTCAAATAGTAATTAATGACACTGGAAAATATTTTTATCGTTTTATTGGTATAATAAATTTATTTTCCCCAAAATAGTAATTAATAACACTGGAAAATAATTGTTTTGTTTTTATTGATATAATAAATTTATATTTACTCAAATAGTAATTAATAACACTGGAAAAATAATTTCTTGTTTTTGATGTAATAAATTTATATTCACTCAAATAGTAATTAATAACACTCGAAAACAATTTTTTTGTTTTTGTTTTCTGTTTGCAGAAGATTCCTTAACAGATCTTAGAGTTTTCTACATCACTGATTCAAGCCTGCAATTGGTGTCTCTGTTCAAGCTGGAGTTTTTTTTAAATCTATTTTTTGTCGAAATATACAAGTTTATGAACGTTATACAAAAATGGGGGTCGCATAAATGTTGCGACAAAATCCTACGGAAGTTATGGCACAACATCTGAAATAAAATTCCATTGGAACCCATAACTGCAAACGTCATCATACTCCTCTAGGGGTGCATGCTTATTATAAAGTTTTCTTTATGTGATTTTGAATAGGTCACAATAGGAAAGCGCCCCTAGCCACGTACGATTTCCGATCATGGGTTCCTATGCAATTTAAATCCTGATGGTGTACCCTAACTCCCCAAGAAGTTTGTCGCAACAATTACACGATCCTCGGTTATATATAACATTTTTAAACTTGTTCGATTAAAAAAAAAAAAACAGACTAAAATGTCCTCTTTTTTTTAAATCTGTAGTTTTGGGAGCAAGACTAGTTTCAGATATGAAATTCCCTCACCCGAATTAGGCAAGATGAAATATTTTTGTAAATGCAACAAAAAATTTGTTTCCCAGAGTAATCTTGCATACAAAGATGTTAGATTTTAAATGTTTCCCTTTTAGCCATTAAGCTATTAATTAATATTTGTCTATTTTCAGCTTGAATTTCCTGGTGTTCAAGTTGTTAATGTCACAGTCAATGCTAAAGTTCCCAATTTCATCACAACTCACATGAAGACTGATGAACTTGAATTGACACATGGCATTGACCTTGGAACAAGTCATTCAGTCAAGGTAATCACTATTTTGTTTTACCGTTTCTCAAAATTAAAACTTATTAATTAAGGGGGAATATACTTAGTGAAATTTTAATAAATCAACTTTCAAGGTTATAAGAAACAAAAATTGAGCCTTCATTTTATTTCTCACCACCTCTGCAGAGGATCAAAAATTCAATGGCATGTCTTCGGATCCTCCTATGGGATGTTCCTCAGACTGTCGCCAATAGCCCATTGTGCAGCTCTAATGCGACGTAAATAAAGTGCCTACCTACCAACCATTTTATTCCTAGTCAGCAAGCTTTCAACAGGCGAAATATATAAAACCCTAATACTAATTTAAACTGTTTACTTTGGCGTTAACTTGCTGCTAAAAGTAAGGCTTTTTAACTTTACTTTGCCAGCCGCAATGGTTAAGGGGATAGAGCATTCACCTCCCAATGAGGTGACCCAGGTTCGAATCCCAGTGGTGGCTGGTTGATGAGAATTCCACTTACTTAAGACATCCTCAGTGGTAGACAGATAATGCGTTAGAAATTCCTTGACATCAGGCTAATTACGGGAGGTTTTCGTGGTTTTTCACCCCATGTAACGCAAATACGTGTTAGCTTTATCAAAAAGTCGTCCACGAAGGCTAGTTTGTCCCAATGCTTGATCTAGTTCCTTTGTCTTTTGGATTTGGTTCAAAACTACAAGGCTACGTAGTTGAACACTGGTAGTTACGAACTCAGAGTTGGGTCGACTTTTCAACGCCGGTAACAAAATAAGTAACAATAAAGGGTTACTTTTCGGTTTATAAAAGGTTTTTAAAAGGTTGCTAAATGGTACTTTTCACCACTCTGAAAACATTTAAAATTGTAATCTCCATCTACTGAGATCTATACAAATCTAAAGACTTCACATCATCATAGTTGGCTAGACAGCCCAACGTAAGCCAATGCCTTCCTCTGAAGATTTCTCCATGACGACTTCCGATGAATTAATTTTAATTTATCTTACCAAGTCTTTGGATTTTATCGCAAATCTAAAGATTTGGTAAGATAAAATAATAAGTTTTATATACATTATTAATTTATCTTGTTTTAATTAATAAATTTTATTTACATTATTAATTTATCTTGTTTTAATTAATATAAGTCTCAAGTGAGAATATTTTCAGAGAAATTACAATTTTTTTTTCTGAAATTTTTCTTAAAATCTTTCTTTTGGTTATTATGATTTACAATTTTTATATTTTAATTTCTTTTAGGTTCTTTACCAACATTTGGATCACGAACCTTTCACCTACACCATTAATGTTGATAATGGATCTGGTGGTGCTAAGCAAGCTACAGTCAGAATCTTCCTTGGTCCTAAATACGATGAATTGGGTAACCGATTGGATCCTGAGCATCAACGAACCCTCTGCATTGAATTGGACAAATTCCAAGTCGAATGTAAGTTTAAGTTTTAAGACAAATATTAGTAAAACACAACTACTTATTAGTATTATCAGTACATAAAATATTTTGTTTAAAAAATAACTCGATTTATTTCCCGAAGTTTGAATAATAATAAACATTTCTTGTTTAGCAATTTAAATTTAGGTTTACAGTTATGTTACCAGTTGGATATTCTGCTGTAAATAGAAAGAAATGATGTTTGTATTTGTTTCAAGTTAATTCTAAGTTCTCGTTAAACTCCAAGTTAAATTTTTGGAGAATATTTCATTTCTGAGTCAGTTAAAAATAACAGAAAAGGTTTTGTTTCTTTAATTTTTATATATAAAAAATAATAATGATAAGGAAGCTTTTTTTATTTTACTGTTAACCTGTATTTTTGATAAATAAATATATTGAAAGAAAAAAATAAGAAGCTTTCTAAAGGAATCATTATTTCGATTTGTTTTGATTCTTCAAAATGTTTTTAGTAAATAAGGATGGGTTGAGTAAAATAAATCAATTAAATAAATTAAATAAAATAAAACAGGAATGATCTGTTTAATAAATAATCCCAATAAACTGAAACGGTAAAATATTCTTCGTCTTCTTCACTGGAACAACAGCCCTAGGTAGGCCCTGGCTTTCTCTAGATTTCCTCCAACTATCCCTCTGTTTAGCGACTGTGCTACAGTTTTGGATTTCTATGTTGATGTAATTTGGATTTGGATTATGCTGATGTAAATTTTAATTAACAGCCGACATGTTTCATGCTTGTTTCTCACTTTAATTTTTCCATTTTTCGTTGGAAATTTGCGTTTTATGTTTCCAATCACTTTTGTACTTTTTTATTCGCGTCTGGTTAGTCTTGAAAATGGGCGAGTATTTCCGAGCGCGGGAAATATGTCGACTTTTTTCCCAAATTGTATATTTTTGAAGTGATTTAAGCTTTTAATCAAGGTATGATCTGTTTGGTCAAAATGACTTAAACTCAAAAATAACCATAAAAGTTGAAGAAGGCTAAAAACAATAATAATATTTTATAGATCAAAAGCTAATGTTTTGAAATCAATCGTCTCATTTAACTGAAATGAATAATATCACGAAACTGAAGCAGATAAATATACTTTTTCTTATTTTTTACTTTATAACCGTCGTTAAACAGCCGACCAAATTTTGGCTCTACGACTACTTATGTTCTCAGTAGCTTTGCAATTCAAAACCCAAACCAGTAGATAAGGGAACTCCAGGTTCAGGTATTGGGAGAAATTTGAGTTCGTAAGGATTTTTTGATGGAACTACCCCACATATACGTTACGTGGAGAGGAAAACCTCCAAAACCTCCCATGGTTACCCTGACGACAAGTGTACTCTAATACATGATCCTCTACCGGTGAAGATATTTTAAATCTGCACTGGTGGTCGGTGCGAACCGGGTGCGGAATTTGTATCAATCAGCTATCACCCGAACCATTTGAACCCGGGTCACCTCATTTGAAGGCAAACGCTCTATTCCCTAAGCCACCACGGCTCTAGAAAAATATACTTGTGAATGAAAAAATACATCAGTTTTACATATTAATGTAGAAAATCAACACATTTCGAACGCTCCTCACTTTCTCCTCCATACTTCCTGGAAATGTATTCTGCCCACATTTGCCTATTTCGGCCACTTTTCATAACAACCATGGTTTCTACTTTCATTTGGCATTTTTTATTCATTTTCTTTATTTTTTCCTCGGCAATGCTTCGTTTTTTATTTTATTTATTATTATTATTATTTTTTAAATCTGTCTTGTCTTCATCATTCACGAATTGGTAAGTCTGGACAATGGTTGTCTGTTTCAAACGCTGAAAACGTTCTTCAGCTTAAATCACTTAAGCAAATGTAGTTTTTTCCTCTGATAAGTATGTTTCACATAAATGAAAAAATCTAAGTTTCTTTTTGGTGTCTCTCACTTGTAAACTTGTAATCTTTTTTCATCAGTGGCCGCTGGAAAGAGCTCAATCACTAGAGATCATAAGCTATCCAGTGTTACAGTGTCTGAGACCCACAATTTCGCCAAACTTCTCGCTGGTGAAGGTGTAAGTGAAGCTACCACTGAATTCTGCAGTTGCGGATGGCCAGAGCACATGCTCATTCCACGTGGTAGTCACAAGGGAACTGAATTTGATCTGTTCGTCATGTTGACCGACTACTCTAAAGACGCTGTAAGTAAACTATCACTAATTATAATCATGATTTTTAAAATATCGAATGCAAAGAAGATTGATACTGCTGTTATAAAGTGACTCATTGTAAATTTGTTTTTACTTCGTTTAATTTCGTTTGTTAAAAACTCGTTTTAACTTAAACCAAATGAAAATTCTAAACAGATTCATTTTGAGTTAATTAAATAATATCTCTTATTTTTAATGGTCCCGCAGTGGACTGATCATTAAGACACGGTTTCCAGCAGATCACCGAAATCTAGCACCACTGTCTGCGGTCAGTGTGCGGTTGGGTGACCACTTGAATTAGTCTGTTTAGAGTCCGAGAATATGCGGTATTGGTCGTCGTTAAACTGTTCTACCGTAAAGTGCTTGACTTTGCGCTCAGGTCATCAGGCAAATAATCAAAATTGTGATGGCATGTCTTTGGATTATCCTCAGGGATGCTTCCCTGCCAATAGCAAATTGGGTAGGCCTAGTGCAATGTATCGTATTTATAAATGGTTAAACTTCAAGTCCCTTTTTTTAGTCAACCATGATTAAAATTAAAACATAGAGTTAAAATTTAAAAAATAAATAAAATTAGAAGCCTTAAATTAATTTAACACATCATATATCTACGTAAACACCACCTACTGAGAAATTTTGTTTTTAGTTAATATACGAGCTACTAAAACTTTGCCGTATTATATAGCAAAAGTATCTCTATATTAGGGGACAATATCACGAAAATATACACTTTTTTCTGAAGTTAATATTTTTATATTCCCTAGTATTGTTTTTATACATTTTCCTGAATTTTCACTAAACAGCATAATATGCTAAACAACTTATTGCCTATATCAAAATCGATTTACATTTTTAAGCCAAAAACATTCTTAACGCTTTTCTGAGCCATATGAAAATATTGATTACACGGCGAAAAAATTCTGGTAAAATTACGTCACGAATAAAGGCATTTGTGGTAAAAGAAACAACATAGTTCTGATAATGGAACCATCCATATGGTAACGTTTTCCGTTCATATGGTAACGATTTACCTAAAATTCCAGTTTTCTAAATTATAGTTATTATAGCCAAACATTAAAAGACAATTCTAAAAAACCAAATCTAACCAAATAAAGGGTTTTTATGCCATTTTCTAAGGTATCATGATAAAATTACTAAAATTTGCCACAAATACTAAATTTTAATAAGCATCATAAAATAATATTTTACTGTTAATTTTACCCAAATCATTGAAAAATTGCTCCAGAAAAAAAACTCCCATTTTTTGGTGTTCCCATAGAGCCAAAAACACGGTAAATGTTACTGTATTCTGGTAATTTCGTCCGTACTTTTTTTCTCAGTGTATTTATATTTCCCCTACTTATGTATATTTTAGTTAAATCTGTATATATATCGATGTTTTTTTAATTTTTAGGTTGATGGTGAAAGCAGTGGAATCTGCCAAGATGCCATCAGCTATTGTGGTGCCAAGGACCAAAAATACCCAGACAAGAAACCAATGGGTTTCCCATTCGACCGTGTCATTACAGCTGGCACAGTTCACGAATTTTTGGTTCCAAACATGTGTGTTACTGATGTTAAGATCAAGCATCAAGCTTAAATAAGCTGAAACAAATTGAGGCTTCCATGAAAAAAAGTACTTTAAATTGTTGCATACTAAATGTATTCATTGAAACAAATGAGAAGAATCAGGATTACTTTATGTAAATATTCAATCAAAAAATTAAAATGCATAGAATAAAATTTATTTCAGTCAAGGTGTTGTTTTATTTTTGCTTAAAATACTACTACATACTTTTCAGCAGATATTTTTTCGAATAAGAAACATTATTTTCAATATGTTGGCCTATTTTAGGTAGATTATCAGTTTGAAAATAAAAAGATGTGTACAAATAAATGGTAATTAAATATCTTACTACCTATAAAATCACATGGTAGGATCCAGTTTTCCCTCATTAATTTCCATATTAATTTGGTTGTCATCAGCATAAAATTGATATAAGTCATAAAGTTATCGCTTTCCTATAAATATTTTTGTTTCCCTAATTTAAATGTTAAAATTACCCGTACTGTTATTATTACGTTTTTTCATTTTGTTCGATTTATAAATTAAGAATTCGGGTGGATTGTTTTTTTTAATTTTTATTATTATAAGAATAATGTAATTCTACTTTACATTTTAAGATAAAGTTATTTAAATTGGCGTCTGGTCTTGTTGAACTTTTTACAATTATTATTTTTTAATGCAAATAACATTAATATATTGTTATAAATTACAGTTCAGGAGATCTGCTAAATGATTTAGAACTTAACGATTAGTTTCATGCACAATGAGATGCAAGCAAAAATAGTATTTAATATATCCTCCCATTTGGCAAGCGAAAATATTAAATGACGATTAAGAACTCAAATCTGTTTAAACAATATAATGTAATAACAATATAAAAGTTATTTCAAAAAATGATTTCTTAGAAAAATTACTTCAGTTCTGCAATGTATTTTTAGGTGAATAATTTCAACTGCTTTATGTTAAGAAACAGCAATTATTGCAAAGTAATAATCGGTGTTGGTGAGCGTCAGTGGACAGGGGGCTAAGACCCTAATTTATCATAAAATTTTACATAATAAGATAATATCATACAACAATTTTACAATATATTCAAAGAAATATCGCTTTTATTTTTAAGCCTTCAATACTGAGTAACAATCAAAATAGAAGTTGTAATATTTACTCAGAATGCTGATCTCACTGTCTGGTGGTCAGGGAGCTAATCTAACCCCAGTAAGATCCCAGGTTCGAATCCCGGAAAAGGCATAGATGTTCTTTGATTCTCTGTGCTATCTGTTCTTACTGTGCGAACAATGTTGGCCCAGCTAATATGGTGCCGTTGAAAGAGTAGCCAATTAATATTGAATGACGAGTGTCAATCAGGTGGGCAATGGGAACAAAAATTTACTCAGAACTCAATAACGGAATAAAATAGTGAGGATATAAAAGCATAAATAAATGTTACTGTTAAATGTCGTGAAATAAGAGGTAAATAAATAATTTTCTGTTACAGCTTTTAAAAACTTTGCCCCTAAAGACAGCTAAAGATGTTTAAATTTTCTTGATCTTTGGTTTATTAAAGACAGTATCATGTGATGTTTCTGCACAAAAAAGTCGTATTATTAAAATTCGATTTCTTAGGAACTATTCGATCAATTTCACTCAATTTTTATATTTTGCCATGTAAAATTAAATAAAGTACAAAATTGCATGCCTATTCAAAATTGCATGCGACATTGACTGCTTTTAAATAAAATAATAAAAAATAATAAATATTTACTCTAAGTTATTCTTTATATGGAATTATCTTTGTGAAAAAGAACTTCATATGTGTGCAGAAAATTTTCAATTCGCTTGAAAAGTTCAGGAAATATGGTGAAATACGCTAAAAATTAAATTAATATTAAAGGATCCAAACTCTGGAAAGCACTCCTAACTCTTTCGATCATATTTCCCAAATCGCAGTTACCTTACATTTTGTGGGTCAGAAAGCCAAATCTGTAGAAAAAATGATATGTTATGTTTATTCAGAGAAAATACGCTTTTGTGTCTTATTTCGTAATTTAAAATATAGTCTGCAAGTATTAATTAGTATCTTTGAGGTCACTCTCTGGCCGGGATAGCTTAAATGGTAGAGTGCTGGACTCATGTTCGTGAGAACGGAATTTCGAAGTCTCCCCGAGTAGTAAATGGTGACTGAGGCACGTTAAATCTGTCAAGTCACGAAGTCCTCCATGTTCCCATAACAAATTATACCTCAGGGGGTAAAGGATTGATCGATCTTTGGTTCAGGTCAAACTGTATGGGTCAGCCCTATAAACGGGTGTGACGTATGGGTGTGGCAGAAGTTTAAGTCTCGGCTTCCCTGGAAAACAAGAACAATCGCACTCACAATGCCTTAATTACTAATGACAACAACAACAAAAGGTCACCCTCTGAAACCATTGCGATTGAGTTACAGAGGGTCAAGATTCGATCATTAAATCTATAGTTATTCAGGGATGTCCTCTTATTTTTTGGTCATCATGCAATAAAAATGCACGAAATGTTAAGACGATTATTGTCTTTTTATGATAAATAAAGATATTAATACATTTTTATTGAAAATTAGCTGAATACCCGTTCTTCGCACGGGGTGAATGAAAAAAGAAGAAAAGAATCAATAAATCAGTACCGAGAAACACAACGCAATCATGTTCAGAACTGAAAAGCATATAGCGACACAATTAAAGAGCTTGATGGAAGAACCAGGTGAATGACATTTTTAGGGGAATTATAAATAAGAGAAAATAACACAAAGTCAATATGGGTATGTTTAATGTAACAGAATTGATCTTAACATAACTAATCCATATTAGTCTTTATGCTTGCATGATTTTTATTTCAAATTAGGCAGTGGTAAATGAAATACAGCAAAGCATTATTAGTCCCACCTTCTAATAGATTGGTAATAAAGTAATTCGAATACAACTTCTGTTTTCTTTCTGAAAATGACACTTTACGTGGTTCTTCCACTAAGTTCTTCAATTAACATAGCTGAAATAATTTCATTTTTTAAAATTTAATATTATATGTTGTAATCTTTAGTACCCTTATATTATTGATGTAAGCAAAGCTCGTTGTTTATAATTTATGCAATTGGAATAAAGATAAATTGCATTTAGGATTACTTGGCATGATGCTATTGCTCGCGACCAATTCATGATAGTTAAAATTTACCACTATTAAGTTATTTTCTCAGGTAGTACATACATCTTTCGAAGTGCCTTAAAATACTTAATTCCAAAGTATTGGTATTAAAATTGCTTAGTATTGGTGCCGTTTTAATAATCACCAAATATATCAATATAATATTTTATACCTATATTAGTATAATTGGTACTTATTACATATCCCTTCACTATTTGAGTTTATACGTATTTGTCAGTGGCAGCCAACTAAAGCCGAATTTTATTTAAAAAAAAATATTAGAACTTCATAAAGATTTTGGAGCATGACGCATGACTATTTCTCTATCTGACCTTTAATTTACTGGTAAAATATTTATAAGTAGTGTTGGGAAAAAGTTCTTTTAATTAAAATATTAATACACTACCTTAACTACCACTCGAAAAAGTATTTTCAGAAACTGCGGAAAACCCGTTGTGGAATTCTTATTAAAAACCAATTTGCCAATTTCCATAGTACCGGAAGTATATATTATCGTCAGTGATAATAGATAGGTAAATGACGATTTTTTACTGTTTTATTAAACGAATTTCCCATTAATCTTTCCTCCATAAGCTTGCCTTTTTAACAGATAGCTTATTTTATTTTATTTCAGTTAATACGCATTATCAATATTAATTGAGCTTTAGTGTCAGATTCTTTACGGTTATCCAAAACGCGAATAAATATCTTTTCTCCTTATTTTTGATTTTTTGTTCAGAAGTTACTTTTTTTATTTCAATTATTACACATTACAAACATTAATTAAGCATCATTTCGTCAATGATAGCAAGATAATTTCTTACGATTCTTCTAGACAAATAAATACCTTTACTCCATTACGTTTGCTTTGTAGTACATAGTTTATTGCTTTTATTACAATATGTGTTGATTACCTTTATTAATTAAGCACCATTGACCTCGAATTTTTATGTTTCTCGATTTTTTATGCTCATGTTCTTTTTTATGTACTTTTTATGCTTATGTTACGAATTAGTACCACTTTTCCCTTAACTTTGCCTGCGAATGCATAAATATTTTTTTTTCTATTCCAATACCGTTGGCTTTAAATAAGAAATGTTTTATAAACGCGTTTAAAAGAACTATTATAAATAAAATAAAAGGGCCTTGTATCAGACAAAGTATAAAACCGCTGATGTAAACCACACGTGCTAACACATAATGATCATTGAATTTATCTGACGCAGCGAATATAAAATAATTAAATATTTAAATACGTGCAATAAACAGTTTTTTGCTGAAATAGAGCAGCTATAAGCCAGCAATTATCACTGATGTTATCTTAAAATAGGTGAACAATTGAATCGTTAAATTTAAAACAATGGCTAACGCTTAACCAATAAGAAAATTCCATTTCGAATCTCGCTCATCCCGCTCTAACGTTTGTCATAAAATGTTCCAATGTCGACGGTGACCTTCCTTGGGCTTTGAACTACCAGTAGGCCAAGTTTCATAGCTTTTCAGTCTGTTGGTTTAGGAATCTATAATGGGCCGGGATAGCCTCGTCGGTAGGGCGCTGGGCCCATGTCCAAGAGATCGTGGGTTTGAACCACACCGGCCGAAGATAAGTAAAGTGACTGATGCACGTTAAATCTGTCGAGACGCAAAAGTCCTCCATGTACCCATAACAAACCAATACCTCTGGAGGTACTGGATTGGAGATCGATCGTTCTCTGATTCAGGTCAAAATTACGATCTGTCGATGAATGAAGGGATGTATGAATGGGTCCGCCCTATATACAGGTGAGACGTATGGTGTGGCAGAAGTTAAATTCTGGGCCATAGATGGCGCCACTGGAAAACAAGAGCAATCGCACCCCCTCTGCCTAAACAGGCATACGTCAACAACAACAGGAGTCTATAAAGGACACGCACACAGACATTCATTTTTATGTATGTAGGGGGCGGAGTTATGAACCATGCCAACCTTCATCTATCAAAAGGTACCTCGTGATTGAATCAAGTTAGCATGTCTTATATACCAGTGAATTGATGTTTAATTTTCGTAGAGGTAGTTACGCCACATTACTCCCCCACCAGATTTTATCAGGAATAGAATTTGATGAACGGATACCACTAGTTGCTGTACTTGTGAAAGTATCGGGAGAGCTGGTTTTAAGGTCACCGGGTTTTTGAGTGCTGAATGTGAGAGGTGTATTAACTTCAAAGTCGTAGTAGCTCCTGTGTTGCCGTTAACGGTCGAGTGTATGCAGGTAGACGTTGTGTTTTAATCGAGACGAGACTGTGTAGCAACAGCGTGAGGAGGTTGATTATGTCTCAGTCGCAAGTAGCAAGTCAACTGTTCTATGTGGATCATTCCTCGAAGTAGGCATTACCAGATCGAAGTGGGCGTTACTGCGTGTTCAAATCATGTCCGGGTCACCAATGTAGGAGGTACAGTTATCAACCATGCCAACCTTCATCTATCAAAAGGTACCTCGAGATTGAATCAAGTTAGCATGTCTTATATACCAGGGAATTGATGTTTAATTTTTGTAGTGGTAGTTACGCCACATGTATATAGATTTTACTTTATTATTTTTTTTTAATAGTGTATCTGCTCACGAAGTATGCAATTTTTAATGCAATTTTCTTTTCTGAAATTCTAGCAAAATATTTTCAATCTCTTTTAAGAACTGGGTTAACAAATCGCTTATAAATAATTTTTTATTAATCTTATAACTCTTCTATGAATTAACTTAGGTAAAGTCAGTTCACAGGAATAAAATCACCTTAAAAGGACGAAAAATACAACTTATTTTAAAATTTCTTTGACAATTCGAAATTTAAAATTAGTAATTAAATGATCAAATATTATTCTTCCCCAGAATTTCTGATATTAACAGCCAATAAGTAATGCAAAATTAAAGTCACAGCATATTCTATGATATTAAAGAGGTTAAATTATACAAAAAAAAATAATCAAAATTTATTCAAATACTACAGATGAAAATAGGGCTAATGTAAAATACATTACACTAAAGATATAAAAGTTTCAGAATTTTTTAAAAAAAAAAAAATTTTTTTTTCATAATATAATTTAACTAATTTAGTTAATTAAATTCTAAACTTAAATACTAAACTGGAAACTAGTCAATAAACTGGACACAAAGATTTTAAGGAGAATTGCTTTTTGCGAACAATTTCACGAACATTCCTTCAAAAAAGTATAATGAACTTTTAAGGGAAAAAAATATGAATTAATATTCAAGGGTTTGTTTATCAACTGTACTGTGAATGACCGAAATTGGTAGTGATTGACCTACCCGTGAATGTCGACAATCACTTTGTCGCTTAGATGAATGTCAGAAATTTATAAAAGGTCTAGTTAAGTGCCACTATAATGATACAAGGTTACCTTTATACATCATTAATGAGTAAAATTATATCACCTTATTTTGTAACATAATCTGTATTCCTAAATTGGTTGTTGATTGTTTTTAAGTGTTTTTTTGCTGTTGTTGTGTTTGGAGTTGGCTCCAGTTGATTATTTTTAAAATCCATGCACTTCTTTATTTTGGTACTATTAAAACATTAACAAAATGTTCTTATTATGATTCCCAATGATTACAAAATTATATATTTCATTAAAAAAAAAACGTTCTTTGTTTCTTTGTTGAAAAGTAACGATTTTAAAGAAAAATTATTCGTGAATGAGAAAGAATAACTGGGGCTGATGAGTGAAGCGAGAGGGGGAGAGAACCTTCTTATCTAAAAATCAATAAATTTACGTAAAGTATGGCGTTCAATGAAAACAGCAATTACACAAATTATGTTTCGAAATATCTATTTCGTTTTCCCGGAGCTATTCAGATTTTCGTGCGTAAAAAATTTTATAAAATTTCACAAAAATATTGAGCGCTATCAACGAATTTTTGTGCACCGTAGCAACAGCACATTCACCATTTTTAGACCCTTTACTTTAACCATTATCAATTTTAATCATTATCGAAATTTAACCAAATCTATTCATTATTAAAAAACTGAAAATAATTTAAAAAAGAAACTCTTCTCTATTATATTTCAACAAATAATATAATGAATGATATCGACATGAGAATTAGTTTTTTTTGCACATATTTATTCCAAGTAGCGATAATAATATATCAGGACAAATAAGATACTTAAATTTCATATTTTACAATAAGAGAGAAAAATTAAAGTCACAAGAAAGTATTGTAAATAAATAAAAAAAAATGAAAAAAAAAATCTAAATTTATTGAATAAGTAAAGAATTGTTAGTAGTTTACTACTGAAGAGTATAACGCAGTATATATAAGCCACAGTATATAAGCCACAGTGCAGTATATAAGCCACAATTTCTTAAAAGACTGCATTTTTACAAACTGTTCTTTAATATTGTCTCGATATCAGTAATTTATTGTTTTCACGAATTATTAACAAATTACAGCACAATACATTTCTCGCTTAAATCATTTTATATACGTCGTCGTATTTTTCAATAAAAGTTATCTGATCCATTTCGAAATGTGACTTATCATTATATTGCCCAAGTTTTTGAATTACTGATTATAATTAACTTACTAATATTTGAAATAACATGTGAAGTGAATTAGTATTTTTTTTAAACAATAGTTTCGTAAATAAGGAATAAAAGTGCTGATTGTTTTATACCGTATAAAATCCGATAATTACTAATATTCAAGAAGTCAATTTTAAACCATGAATCACAATCGTTCAATACCTTGAATCATAAATCGTTCAGTTTTACTGCACCGTTATTATTGTATATGGTTCAATATATTGAACCATACTTTCCTTCAATTTGAACCATAATTCGTAGTAGTGAAATTAAGTTTAAGATATTTTAATTTGCAACCACTGTAAGAAATTCGGGAAAAAATTACGGTAAATAGTACTGGCACCCTGAGTGCATCATCAGTAAAATCAATTTTTACAGTAATATTTTGTAAGAAATGTTTATTGCAACGTTTATTTAATTCAGTGTTTCAGTGATTTTACAGTATTACTCTTAAAATTACGGTACACAATTACTGCATAAAATTACTATAGTTTTTATATAGTAGCATTTACTCTAAAATCACTCTAATTAATTAAATAGTACGGTAGAAATTACGGAACAAAATATAGCAAAGAGGAATTTTACGGTAAAATGGATTTTAAGGATGATGTATCCAATATTTCTGTACTTTTTACCATAATGCGACTCTAAATGTTTTACATCGGGGTTATTTGGTTTAACTTTACACATATTAAGGTGACAGCAAACTTGTATGACATCGTGGTGCAACCCTCGCTCAAATTTTTATCGGCTCACACTATATTTTTGAAAATTGAAAAAAAATTTAGATTAGATTATTAAACGCAAAAAAAATAATCCTTCGAATTTACAATACTAAAAGGAAACAACATATGAACTTTAACTCGTCTCTTTAAACCCAAAAACTAAAACCTATCTCTAAGTTATCTGAATTACGACTTGTTTCATATATTAAAAATTATTTCCTCTCTTTTTGAGAAGAATCACAACAATCTGTAAATTTCTATCGCATATTCTTATAAAATGACATTAAAAGTCTAAAATAGAATGTTCTATTCCTCGTCACTTCTGTTGACTTCCGGTCGGCCACAAGGCGAAGAACACGATTAATTTTCGTGCGAAGTATCTTTAAATATATCTCCGCAGACTTCTTAGAACATATTTCGCTTGATTTTTGGACAGCAGGATGCAGCCACCTTTTTCTTTCTATTTTACGATCGATTTTGTTTCTTTTTTTGTTTCTTTTAATCCTGACACAGCAGTTCTTGGATAAGACAAACCCCGTATAAAAGCCTTGCACTGAACAGAGAACTCGCCAGTAGCCCAGAGAACCATACATGTTCGGTTCTTTTTACCACAATCAGTTTTCAAGCACCATGCCAGCCGACAAGCAACGTCGTATTTTGCCTCTGTTTGAGCATTTGACCTCTCTGACCAGGTCAGTTTTGCCTCCTGAAGAGAGAGATCCAAGGTTGAGAAAGTTGGGAAGATTGCCACGTGGTACTCTTTTCTCCTGCTTCCACACTGAGCATCTTATTGAATCTCAAGAACTTTTTGAAACCCTCCATGGTAAGTTCAATACATATTTTGCTTTTAAGTTTTAAAAAAAATAATGCCGAATGAATAAAAAGTTATTTTCATTATTAAAAATATGATTTTCACTTTTAAAATTTTTGATATCTATATCAACTAATAATTTTTATGAATTTAATTTTCTGGAGTAGACTAAAAATATAATTCCTTTATATTCTATTATTAATCTCAACAGCATGGATACTGGATACATTAAATTATTATTTTGGATAATTATTATTATTATTATTACTATATACAATATTTTAAATTATTATTGGGATGAGAAAAAATATAAAGTTGTGAAGAGCTTTTCGAAATACTGCATTATAAGTTCAATGGATTTCTTTTTTAATTTTAAAAATACATATTCACTGCAATGTCGAATCAATAAAAAAAGTTAGTTTTATAATTAAAAATATGATTTTCAGTTTTCAAATGCTTGATATCTAAATCAACTAAGATTTTTTTAAAATTTAATTTTCCGGAATAGACTAAAAAATATAATTCTTTTATATTCTACTATTAATCACAATAGCACATATACCGGATATATTAAATTATTATTTTGGCTAATTATTATTATTATTACTATACACAATATTTTAAATTATTATTGAAATACGAAGAAATATTGAATTATGACTGAATTATTAAGTCATAATGATGCTATATTATATTATAATTCATAAATAATATGAATTAATTATATATAATTCATAAATAATTAATTCATAAATAATAATAATATTCATATAGATAATAGTCATACTGAGAACATACTTCTATACTTATTACTGAATATGTTAGATATATTTTGTTACAAAACTTGCTAAAATGTAATATAAATAACAAAGTTAAAAATAATCTTGCAATAAATAAAAAAATAAATTTCAGCCTTCTAATTATTTAGATAAAATCTACGATTTTAATGCAAAATTTGCAGCAATTTAAAAAAATGCAGAACATCAAATTAAAGGGTATTTTTGCTTTATTGCATAAGTTATTTATGAAGAAATAAATAAAAAATGTTATAAATTTTGTGTTAACCATAAGTATTTGTTCATGAAATAACTTATAAATAGGTTTTAATATAAAGTTTCTATCTGGTACAGATTGCAAATATAACAACTTTGCATTCAATCAAGAAACATATGCATTGCATATAGATGTTTTATATTTCACTATATATTTCAAAGCTTGGTATATTTCTATATTAATTATGCTAATTTTATTAAAATCGAAAATGCAAGTGAAACCGTCAAGTTTCAAAAGACTTATTGATCTAATATTTTATTATGATTCAATGATATGTCCGCCAACTTTTGAATAATCATTAAATTTACACTTTGAAAATTTTTGGATATATTATTTTTATTATATTTATTATAAGATATATTTGAGTGCGTAAAATTATTTAATATATTGCATATAATTAGCATTAGAATTTATTTAAATTAACTGCAATTATCTAAATTAAAAGTGAAAAATATATGTTTTATACATACATTTAAATTTTTTCGCATTCCTGTTATTTATGTAAAATCTAAAACAATAAGTAAAGTAAAACCTGAAATAAAATTCATTAATTAAAATTCATTGATTAAAATTCATTGAAATAAAATTTGATTGAATTTTACTGTCAGAATATTGTTTTGTTTATTATATGGTATATGCTTGAAATAAACAAAATCTTCGGTAAAATGTCATAAATTAAATTGAAGTATTATCTAGATATGTTTTGTGTTATTTTAGTACAGAAGAGCGAAACAATTTTAAAATTTCGGAACTAGGATTTGTAAAACAGTATTCATTTACTAAATGAGATTATTTTCTAAAATTTCAAAAAAAACGATGATTTTTAAAATTTTTTAAAAAAAATTTAAAGTTAAATTAGTGAAAAATGAATTATATTATTTATAATTTTTTATAAGCAAAAGCATAATTTCTCAATAGATAATTAAATAAAAAGCTTTTTCACAATGTCGAGTTATTTACTCAACTATTAATAAATGTGTCTGAAAATTATTTAATTTTGTAAAGCATAAATTAAGTACTATAAAAAGATAGTATAAAAGTATCACGAATTTTATTGTTACCAGAAAGCTTCATTAAATAGTATAAAGTCAATTATTTAACTTCAAATACTATAATTATAAGGCTGTATTAACATATAAATTTACAAGTATAATTTTAAAAAATGCTATCTTTAATACCAAAAGGAAATACAGTATAGATGTATATGTTACCGTTAAAGTATATAATGCAAGAATACCTAGTTATTCCATGAAATAACTGATCGTGTCCGTTAAAGTGAGTAATATATAATTTATTTGACACTTTAACTAGTTATTCTATGAATTAACTAGGTATTCCATAAATTAACTAATGAGTGACAGTTAAAGTGTAAAATAAACAGTTTATCTAAAATGAAAAAACTAGGTATTCTATAAATAAACTAATGATAGACAATTAAAATGAAAAAGAAGCAATTTATCTAATTTATGCAGCGTATAAATGGTATTTATGGAAACGTACCATAAAATCATTTGTTACAACAAGGATTACTAAAATGACACTTGGAATTACAAAGAACATTATTTCTAAAACAAAAACATTTTTTGCTGACACACTGGGTTTTACACGAACATTTTTTAAATCCCTGACCAGACCCTAAACTTTGAGCTGTAGCAACAGACCGGAGAGATATTTCTACATCCGGTACTTCTTCGATTTTAATAAATTTTTGTTCGCAGACACTGAACTGGGATCGGGAATATAATTGTTTTATGCGGCCGTTTCTTGAGCCCAATTAGAAAAATCCTTCTTGGGTTATTTTTGTGATGATAGCTAAAATAGATAATGCAGTAGGGGTGGAAAGTAAATGTATTTGTCATGAGAGATATATGATGTAGATTATTTTACACTTTAACGGGCTGCAGATCGTTATTCTATGAAATAACTATTAGTTAAACCATGAAATACAAGAGAGTTTTACACTTTAACTGACACGATCAGTTATTTCATGGAATAACTAGGTATTCTATGAAATAACGGATTTCATACTTTAACGGTAACACATACATTTTCAATCAATTTCAAGTTATTTCATGATGCTTATATTTTGTTTTTCTTTCTTTTTTTCTGCATAACTTTTTTATAATCATCATAAATAGAAAATGGAATTAGTTGAAATTTATTTTTATAAATATGGAAATATATGTAATAAAAAAACAATTAAAGACAAACGAAACAAATGTTCATTAAAAACATTCAACAAATATGAAAAAATTTATTTTTTGAGGAGAGAAAAGTGATGAATTGAAGCAAATTTTCCTCATAAGCATCCAAATATAAAAAAAGTATGATTTTTATTTGAGAAAGAGAAAAAGATGAATCGAAATAAATTTTAATTGTAAACAACCAACAAAAAACAATGATGTTTCCTTAAGTAGGAGAAAAAGATGAATCGAAACAAATTTTCATCATAAACATCCAAAAAAAACAAAAAAACAATGCTCCTTTGAGCAGGAGGAAAAGATGAATCGAAATAAATTTTAATTATAAAAGACCAACAAGAAAAAAAAAATTTTTTTNTTTTTTGGGGGGGGGGGGGAAATAAAAAGAGTTATTTTAGAAAGCACATCATTTTTCGTACTTTTAAAATTAAATAATGTAGTTTGCATTTCATTGATGTTAAAAATCTGCGCTTACACTTCTAAAATATTAAAAGAAAAATTCATTTTGCTCAAGAAATCCAAATAAACAGCATTTAAGTTAGGGGGAACTTAAATGAACTGTAAAGTTACGATACTATGTCGAATCATTTTTGTTTTTTTAAACTACTTAAAACAATCTGATAGCATTTAAACCGATGTTGAATTTTGTGTCTGTTTGTACATTTCGTTTCCCCAACAAAAGCCATTTTTTCCCCTGAAAAGCTTTTGGATCTCAGTTGCTATTTGAAATTCTCCTTCTTAAGAAATCTAAAGACAGTTTGAATGTATTTAATAAGATTTTAAGGTAAGTCATGTTTCTGTTCTAGTGGAACTGTAATATCGTGTGATAAAGTTGGAGGACTATTAACTTGAAATCTGCCATGGTTTAACTCCGAATCACATTAAATCTATAAAAAATTAAGTCAAATCAAGAGTTTCTATGCTAGGATTCAACATGCTTCAAAAATTATAATCGTGTAGTATATCTGTATTCCCTTTTCCATTCCCTTTCTCCTTTTCCGCTATAAAATTAGATACATTAAAAGAGGAAATTTTTTTACCCTTTATTTGTTTGAAATACGGTTGATGTGATAACTTCAATAAAAGCGTTAAAGTTACATTATCAAATGAAAGAAAATATATGAAACGAAAATATTAAAAAAAAAAACCTTGACTCTTTGAAAAAAATTTTGAGTTTCCGTAAAAACTTTGCTTCATTAAGGAAAAACAACTTTTAACGAAATCAATTTGGTTATGTTTTATAATAGAGTCACATATTAATAATAATTGACAATAATCTAGAAAATTCGGAAATACTTATTATCCCTGTCTTCAAAAAAAAAAAAACTTTAAGTATTTTTAACTAATTTTAATTGCGTAATTGCGCTGTGTGTGTACGAAATTCCGCATCAAATTACGGTATAAAGCACCGGCACTTTGGGAGCATCTTCCGTAGATTCCATTTTTTCTTAAACTCCACTTTTACCGTAAGAAATTATACCGCAATTTGCGATTTATTTAATTAGTGTGATTTAATGATTTGATAGTAATTATTACTGTAAAAATTACGGCACATCCCATTTTTTGTTCCGTAACATGTTCTCGTAAAAAGGAATTTTTCTGTAAAAAGTACCATCAACCTGTTCAGGTACTTTTTACCGTAATTTGATCAGAAATTTGTCACAGTGTGGTTGGTGCAGGGGAAAATACAGTAGCCTTAAGCATTTCTAAAGTTCTTGCAAGAATAATGATTAAAAAATTTACTTTTAGTTTTACTCTAACTATACACTGTCAATTCTAATCCGATGTAAATACTTTACACACGTATTATTCTAACCTGATTAGTTAATTGTTAAATACTGGTATTTGATGAGTCCTTATTTAGAATCAAACTTTTGATTGAATTGATACTTTTAACGTAAGTATTATTAATAAGAATCACGATTTGCGATAATGTGCCTTATAGTCCTAAATAGGGAACATTTAAAACACATAATAATCGAAAATAACTTGCTAAAAAAGTACAAAATCTTATGCATTTCCATTAGCTTATTTTTAAATGTTGAATTAAAATTAATCTTGATTTCTTTTTATATGGATGTAAAAATAAAGAAGAAGACATACAATGTAATTCTTAAATTTCTTTCGTGTTTAAAATAAATATATTTTTATTAATTAATATACAAAGATCCATTACATTATGACCACCCTGCTAATAACATGTAGGACCACCTTTAGCCCTCAAAACTGCTAGCACCCGCCATGGCATTGATTCCACAAGGTGCTGATAGGTAGTCTGAGATATCTGGTACCAAGTGCTCACCAACTGGTCCTGCAATTCCTTCACATTACGAGGGGATAGAGTAGCAACACGAATTTGGTTTTCCAAGTAGGACCACAAATGCTCTATTGGATTAAAGTCAGGGGAATTTGGGGGACAAGACATGACTTGAAAGTCACTGGAATGTTCCTCAAACCAATCCATGATGATTCGACCCTTATGACATGGTGCATTATCCTATTGGTAAACACCATTCCCCGCAGGAAAAGCTGGTGTCATGAATGGGTGAACCTGGTCTGCAACTATGTTCAAGTAGCTTACAGATGTCAGGGATTGTTCTATGAGGATTATGGGTCCTAATGTGCCCCATGAAAACATTGCTCCTAGGTGAGAAACCATGAAAACCTGGGCGAGGTCATTATTATAGATGGAGGGTGGTCATAATGTAATGGCTCTTCGGTGTACATTTATTAATTAATATATTAATTAATATAATTATAAAATAAGTAATGTACATGCATATTAATTAATATTGTTTATTCAGCTGCCAAGGACTTTGAAGATTTCATGCGCCTGGCTGAACAGGCTAGAGACATTGTTAATGAAGGGATGTTCGTGTATTCCACTTCTGTAGCTCTTTTGCATAGAGATGACTGCCGAGGAGTCACTGTTCCTCCCATTCAAGAGATCTTCCCAGATCGATTCATTCCATCAGAAACAATCAATCAGGCCATCAAAGCAGATCTTCAGAGAAAAGATGACGTAAGTTCATTTCATTAAATGGGGTTGTAGTTATAAAGCACGGATAAATCAGGGCAACGTTTTTAAAATAAAATTTTAAAAAAATTGCTTGAAGAGGTTTTTAATTTGAAATATTAGTGATTTATTTTCTTTTGTATTTTCGGTGTAAAAAATTCTGGATCAATTTACAGTAAAAAGTGCCGGTACTTTGGGTACATCTTCCGTAAAAACCATTTTTACCATAAAATGTTTATACCATAATTTATATTTAATTACAGTGATCTTATAGTACACTGTTAAAATTTTCATTCTTAAATTATGGTAAAATAACTGGCAGCTGTCTGCTCATCCGATTAACCGTAAAGTTTACAGTACGGAAAGTTTTTTTTCCTTCTTGGTTTTTTAACCTCTTACAACTAGCATTTTTGAAAAGGGTAAAAAAAAAAAATAGTTATTTAACTAAACATAGGAGCTCGACATTTCATAAGGTAGTGGGCACTGGAGATTCTTCATGTGTTGAAGGGAATGGAGGAAATATTGTGGTGTCAACACTAGGACTCGAACTCTAGTTTTCATGAGATTGACAGATGAGCCCGCTCGGCTATGATATGTATGCAGTTGCAAAAGCTAAGTAGCTTTAATAGGTGGTTCTAGTTTGTGCGATAAAATTCTGATTGTTTAACCGTATTAAGTGAAAGCAGTTTTTCTCAAACTTAACAGTTTGATTACCGTTTTATTTACGATTATTTGACTGTTTTGATTAAATATGGTACAATAACCACACACACACACACACACACACATATATATATATATATATATATATACCTTGTCATTACATATCCACCTAATGTTAACATGAATTCCTACGCCGAAGGGTGTCTCCTCAAAACCTTGCTATGTCGAATTTTTTTCGAAATAGAAAATGAACTGTAAATAAACTATAGTAAAAAGATATGACGTGGAGCCATCTTTGACCAAGAAATAATTCGACTTCTGCCACACATAGACGTCACAGCCTGTTTTACAGGGATAAACTGCAAGTCATAACCACATAAATAAACTACAAAGACAAAAAAATCAATACTTTGATGGGTAAAAATAACCTGGTAGAACAAAAACATTTAAAATCAAATTAATCATTATCTGTCAGTCCAGAAAAGATATATTCATAAGAGGAAATCTTAGTGTTCTTCTGTTGCATTTCTCATCTGTAAGTTTACCAGTTAATAATACAATTAATTATTTAAGATAATAATTAATTGTGTTATACTTGACTTCAGCTTTCTTGTTCATAACTATTATCATAAATTACAGATTTCTTTATTAAATATTTGTTAATGACTTTCAATATGCTGTAACTATTGATCATTTTTAATAAAAAAATATTAAAAATTTACTACAAAGGTGATGCTTAGAGAACACCTCTCAGTTATGAACTAAAAAACTTCTCTTTCAATAATTTTTCAGGCTCCAGTTCTTGTTGATACTATCCAAACTGGAAACATTTTGGATCCTGAATATAAACTTGCCTACTTCCGAGAAGACATTGGCGCAAATGCTCACCATTGGCATTGGCACATTATTTACCCCGCCACTTGGCGCCCTGAAGTCATGGGTAAAGTAAAGGACAGGAAAGGAGAACTTTTCTACTACATGCATCAACAAATGTGTGCCAGGTAAGTGCGTCTAATCATTTATGGTCATTTTATATTTAAGGTACAATAGGAATAGAGCATAAGGGTATAATAAGAATAGAAGAGTGATCGGTAGTAGTGAACTAAAATAGTGAAACTACAGTAGTCGCTACATTTTTTGTAGTTTTTAGTGTAGTATGCTAGTTTTTTAAAAAGTAGTGTAGTGAATAGTGCGATACAAAAAAATAGTAGTTCGTAGCGATTCCTGGCAACTAGTTTTTACTTTAGTTTAGTATATGAACAGGGCTGTAACACAACTATTGTTTCGAATTTAATGCGTACGAATCTTATCGGGTCTGTCAAAAGACGCAATTTTAAATGCCTCTGTAACTGTGAGTTAACAAGAACTGCGCATTTAGAGTCACAAATAACTAATATTTAAGCTAGCCATTATGAATAATAGATGATTTATCATTCTGGTCACACTTTCACATGCGAATGTGAATTCGTAAGACAATGATGCTATTTCAAAAGAAGAGAACATAGTTTTGATGTACTTAATTTCTTAGGGGGAAAAAAAGAGCATTAAACACTTAACGAAATTGCAAGCATTTGATAATTTTCTAACATCTTTTAAATTAAATATTTCGCTGTCAAGAAGGGGATGAAAAGTTTGAACAAATTTTAAAAAAAAAGGTTTCAAAATAACAAACTGTCTCATGTAAACATGAATAAATATTTCTAAATAATTCTTCATGCTTAATATCAGCCAATTTTTTTTATTTAAAACCCTTTTGGGGTAGACTATATTTGAGGGTGCCCCTTGATTCTCGCCAAATTGTGATCGCTATTGATCGCCAAACTGGGCGATGTTGAAACCCAATCGCGATTCTGATTGGTTTAGATTTTAGTGTTATTTTTAAATGTTCAACGGCATATGTAATTTCAGAGGTCCGTTAGTTCTACGTTGGATAAAGGCTGGTAAGTTTACTTTTAAATCTGGTCAATAATATCGAAGGTATGTGGGCAGTCATTAAAAGAAATTTAAGAAAAATATGTCACCGCTAGTCCGGTACTACAGACGCCATTTTCAATTCGTATTTCTGTGGCGATGGAGGTACTAAGATTCTATTCATGATAAATTTAGACAGTATTTAACTGTTATTAGATAATTATGTGTACCTAAATCTGAGAATATTCAAACTTCATGAAGGAGTTGCTTTTTTCCTTTTCTTTCTGCGCCTACTCCATTAATTTTTGCTTCGATTCAAAATCCTTTTAATTGGGTTTATTAATTTTGCTTATATTGGGTTCATTGCAAGTTTGGCCGATGTTTTATTGAAATATCACTATGCCTTGGCCGACATTCCTGTTACCACGGTGTTCCGCGCAAACAGGAATAGCGCCAACATAAGTCGCCAATTTCGCCAAGGGGCACCCTCAAGTATATTCCCCCATCCTTTTGAACATAAGGTGTAATTTAATTCTTCAGGAGTAGTAGTTACTGCAATTCCACACTAGATTGTAGTCACTAAATTTAAAAAAACTAGTTGTAGCTAGCTACATTTGTAATACAGTAGTTTTAAATGTAGCTTACTACAAAAATGATGTAGTTTTTCTTACCACTGGAATAGAAGTGTTTTTTTTAAACGAACGATTTTTTTTCACTTTGTTTAAATTATTTTGCAGGGTATAGTACAATAATAGCCTTTCTTTGTTGTTGGTTTGATTGGTTTCCAAGCTATTATAAATTTTAAATTTAACCTTTCATTTTTTTGAACCACATTATAAAAATTCGGCAAATTTATTACAGATACGATTGTGATCGTCTATCCACTGGTCTTCAGCGCATGATTCCTTTCCATAACTTCAATGAAGAACTCGAAGGCTACTCCCCCCATCTGACATCTCTGGTCAGTGGACATCACTATGCCAACCGTCCATCTGGCATCCGTCTTCACGATTTGAACGATCTCGTAGACGTTCTCGACATGAACAGATGGAGAGAACGACTTCTCGGTGCCATCCACTTGGGAGTGGTGATTGATGATCACGGAAACGAAGTTGTGCTCACTCCAGAACACGGAATCGATATGCTGGGATCCATGCTAGAATCCAGTTACGAATCCAAAAACCGAGAATATTATGGAAACCTCCACAATTCTGGACACGTCATGATGGCTCGTATCCATGACCCAGACGGCAGATATAAGGTACTAAAGTCATTTAATAAAATTTACTTTCTTCTTCTTTTCACATCCTACCTGATCTGCTGCAGTCAGACCAGGTCGAATAAACCGTTGACGTAAGACGAGATATCTTCTCTGTTGAGTTCAAGACAGTCCAAGATATGTTTGGGAGTGACCTAATGAATCTGGGCAATGGGAAAAGGTTTTCACTCCACCAGAAAAATTTAGACATTTCTGGTAACCGCTAGTGAGAGGCGATGGGCAAGTTTAGGTAGATGTGTCTTCCAAAAAAGTAAAGAGAGAATCCTGGTTCAACCACCATGTAGTTGTTGGTGGTAAAAATAAGAGTGTATAGTTTATCTGCGGTAAAAACTCCCCCCTCCACAAAGTCTGAGGCAGTCTTCTGCTATGGAAACAAGGACAGCACATTTCAGACAGGGTAGTTCTCCTCACTCTAGGGCTAACACAATAGATCGGAGAAAAATATTACCTTCCTCTCACATCCCCGGGCCAAAACTTGTTCTAAACAGTGACCCAGCACTCTTACTTGAAATAGTTATACCTCATTACCATAGTCACCACCACGGGTTCAGACGAATGGATAGGGGAGCTCTTACTTTAGACAAACTGCAGATACAGTTTTTTTTGAGTGAAGCACCAGCGATAGAAATCTGTCTTTGCTCCTTCACCTGCAGACATTAGCTGAGCATAAAGGTGTGACCTTCATGCCTTGGGTGACACTAACATGAGTATAAATTTACTTTCTACTTAAGTTAATTATGTTCAAAACTGATAATTCTCTTCGTGCCTTGCATTTTTTAAACATGGCGGTAAGTACAGGGTAAGTCAAAAAATATTTATTAAAAATTTATACATGTGCTGAAACTATATAAGCAAGTTTTGATTGTACTCCTCATAAATGTTCGATATATGCGGAGCTTAAGAAGCTGTGATGTGGGGATTAGTCAAGTCGTAGGATTTTGAGGCAAAAACAAGCAATCTTTTACAAATCCGCACCAGAAAAAAATCGTTTGGGGTGAGATTTAAGAGTCATGGTGGCCAAGTGAAGTGTGTATTGTTTGCGGTAGGTGCGAGATCATTCCATCATGGTTTTAGCGTGTTGTTAAGGTGGCGTTTTTTTCTGTCCGTTTTGTTTTTGCAGGAATGTTGCTGATTTATTGGATGGAAAAATTGCTCTGCATGTATGCGCATTTTTGAAGACTACATTTATTATACATTTCGTTATGCACCAATGAAATAGGGGTATTCATTTCTGACTTATTTTGTATAAGGTACTAAAATCATTAATAAAACATCATTTATGAATATTTTAATGACACTCGATGTCTTCATTACTCAGAATTTCAGAGTTAAGCTGTCATTTATAACCCTGATAATTGATGCAGTTATCAGGGTCATAAATAACAAATGATTAATCAATGATTAATCAACTTCCCATTTTCGTTATTTATAATAATATTCACAACCTTCACAATTTAGAACTCGTCTTTATAAGTATTATTTACGAACCTAATTGTAAATGCAAGATACAGACATGATTTATGAAATCTTCTTATTTAACAATTTTATTTTAATAATGTTCGCAATCTTCTGAATTTAGAACTCGTTATTATGGACATTATTTACGAACCTAATTGTAGATATAAGGTACAGACATAACTTATAAAATCTTCTCATTTAACCATGTTAGTTTAAAAATGTTTGCTACATTCACAATTTAAAACTCGTCATTATAGGTAGTATTTGCGAACCTAATTGTAATGGCAAGATACCGATATGATTTATAAAATCTCCTCACTTAACAATGTTATTTTAGTAATGTTCACAATATCTGAAATCCAGGACTCATTATGCGGCTCGTATTTAAGGAAGTGACGGTCGTAGATGCTTAGATGAGTTAAAATTATGTAATAAATAACTTTATGGTTATTTGATTATATTATTTATAATATTGAACTCAAATCAGGAAATAACATGCAAACTCAAATCAGTAAACCTTGAGACCTTAATGGTTCAAGGACGGGGATATAAAAATCTCGTTGCAGGCTACAAAAATTACTAGATAGATTTTATAAAGTTACATAGTATAGATTTATCGACCTCTGAACAGGTTTCCCCAACTCATATTTTGGAGTGCTCAGTTATTAAGGTTATTTTTACTAAGGTTTTATTAAGGTAATAATTATCTTGGTAGTCCATTACTGATCTTGGACTTCTTGAAGGTGTTTGGCTTCATGGACCTATTCTAACCTTGCTGGACTTCGGGGGTGTCAACGACAACAACTACAACAGATTTATCGACAACATTTACGATAGATATGTAAAATGCCGTGCAATTGAAAGAAAAAAAACAATGCAGGAGCTTCACTATAGATTTCGAGAAAAGTGACTTGACAGCCATTTTCCTTAGAACGATTAAATAAAAATTAAAAAAAAAAAAAGATAAATTCAGTTTTAAATTTTTTTTTTTGCAAATAGTTAACTTATCATACAAAAATGCCATATATATAAAAAGCTCTATATTGAATTTATGTCGCTTACGTTGATTTTTCCATTGCGAGGTAGTAAACAAATAAGAAAATTGCGTGAAAAAAAACAGGAAATTTTTTTTTGTAAAATAAATCTACCATAAGAAATTGCCCTAGTATGGCTATATTGGCCGAACACTAATGCTATACAAAGACAAATGAAAAATTGATTTAGTGCGAAAAACTGAATTGACTTAATCTATGTTGATATCTATGTTTTTATTACATTGTCAAATTTTTTAAAAACAATTTAAGTTGTTGTTAATATTGTTGTTGTATGGCAATCTTTGGTATTTAAAATGTTATTATTATTAATTACGTTGAAAACTCTTGTAATTCTTCTTTTAATTTTAGTCTTTTGAAAATTATATTATGCATATTCTGAATATTTTTGAAAATCATTATTTGTTTTCTGTTTACGCTAGGAAAATCCAGGTGTGATGAGTGATACATCAACTTCCCTTCGGGATCCTATCTTTTACAGGTATCATAGATTTATCGACAACATCTTCCAAGAGTACAAAGCAACTTTGCCAATTTATGATAAGAAAGATGTAAGTATGCATACTTTAAGCAATTTATATATATAAGTTACGAAATATTTTTAAAGCAATAAAAAAATCAGTATAAAGATGTAAGTATGCATTCTTTAAGCAACTTAAATATATAAGTTAAGAGATGTTTTTAAAGTACTAGAAAAACAGCTTAAAGATGCAAGTATGCATTCTTTAAGCAGCTTAAATATATAAGTTAAGAGATATGAGATATTCTCAAATCACAAAAAAAAAAAAAACTAAAAAAAAGCAGCTTAAAGATGTAAGTACGCATTCTTTAAGCAGCTATAATATAAAACAGAAAAACGTAGGGGAGAGTTGGACAAAACGGGATACCATTATTGTTTTTATTTACTACGGAATATCTGTTAAGGAAAACCATACATTATTATTTTTTGGAGCTATAACATTTATGGAAGCACACAAAAAACATATTTTAAACTAATTTTACTGACTGTGAAATAGAAAAAAAAATTAATTTGCAAACTCTTACATATCCCGTTTTAGCATGCCTGGGTTGGATGAAACGGGATAGGATTTACAATGTTTANTAATCTATATATATATATATATATATATATATATTCTTAAAAAATAACTAAGATAATGCCATTAGTTACATACAAAACTAGGCTTAGAATGATGAGGGAATCAATTAGCCTTTTATAATTAATTGAAATTAACTTTTAAAAAACTAGTCTTCAAGTTAGTTTTTTAAAAAAAATATAGCTGAAAAATTCTTTTAATATTTTTTGAATAAAATAAATAAATGAATAATGGGTTAGTTAAGCAACACGGAGCATTTGGATATCGTTCCAAAATCCTTCAAGATCACAGTTTTCCTGTGATGACATCATTTTTTTAAATTATATTTCTTTATAAATATTTTAAATAAATATTTAATTTTTCGCCATAGATGGCGCCACTGAAAAACAAGAGCAATCGCTACCCCTCTGCCTAAACAGGCATGCGTGAACAAAATAAATATTTTAAATAATTACATTAGAAAAACAAACTTAGTGAAAGTTTTAAAGAAGTGTAAAATATAATTCACAATTTTTAGAAGCTTCGGGAACATTCGTACTAAATCTGGTTTGACTGTTCTGCTAAAAAATTCACCAATCAAATTTTCATTTTCCAAATCTATATTTCAAGTGAATTTTTATTTTAATGAAAAGATTGCAATAAGAAATACTGTTGGTGCAGCGTCTGAAAATACTATTTTGCTTTAAAATGAAACGTTTGCTTTCAAAACAGTTTAATTCAACACAAAATCGTTGGTTTTTAGAAAATGGAATATATCCACTCTTGTTTTAATATTAAAACCGGTTAAATTGCTTTTATCTGTTTTTAAACGGTTGAAGCAAGCTCCAAAAACTCCAAGTCAAAGAACTAACTGATTATTTCTAAGGAAAAAAGTAACATAAAATTTTAGCAAACGATTTCAAAATTCCGCATTTTTTTAAATCGAATTAAATTTTAAATTTTTTTTAATAGATTTGAATAAAATTACGACAGAGAAATATGTATTATCGTTCATTATTCTAACATACACTTTTCGAATTGGTTTTCAGCTTTATATAAAAAGTATGAATAAATTCAGTTTTTTTACATACTTTAGAATAGAAAACGTTCTCAAGATAATTCTCTAACTACATAATATGTTGTTTATCATAATATGTTATGTTGTACTGCATTATATTCTGTATTTTGACTCCTTTGTGTAACAGTGTTCCATTTAATGATTTTTATTGCGTTAATTCAAATTTATTATTTTTTCGCCAATTTTTATTCAGAAATTTTAATATGTTTAATATCCATGAACTAGTAAAATTAAATGTTTCAGCAATTGAAAGTTTAAGTGTTTAAGAAATACGAAAAGACATTGAATCTAAGAAAAACAAATCGAAATATTAACAAAATATTATTGTTTTTTAGTTTATTCTGCTTGTTATTTAAAATTTGACTAAGTTAGAAATCAAGATGTTAGATAAAAATATTTAATATTTTTTTCTAATGTCCTCTTCAAAATATCTTTGAGATTAAATAGCACTTTTTATAAAATTTAAAAAAAAAATTACGCGTCTCTTATTTTAAAATGCGTTTTTATTGTAAGGAAAATAAATTCGTTGTAAGTTAATAGAAGTACACAGAGTTAATTTTTCATTATATAAGTACATAAAAGCATGTTTACTAATTTTTATTTATTCCGCATGTTTTGAGCGGAAATTAAAATGGTTAAAAAAAATTAGAAAAACTATGCGCGTGCGTCAGTATAGAAATGAAAATCCGCTCTTTGGTTTTAAAATGGTTTGCATATGCTTTCAATTTTTATTTGACTTGCTTTAAAATGCAAGATTGTATTCAGGATTTCTAGTGTATTCAAGAATTTCTTTTACGAAATCTTTTACAAAATGGCAGCATATTGAGCAAAAATCGACATAATAAGAATCAAGTAGATTATTCAATCAACCAAAAACTAAAGAAAAAAAGCAAAGGGAACTGTATTTATTTTATAGAAAATATTAAGCGAAGTTTATGAAAATTGAAACAGTTTTAATAGGACTAGAAATTTTAAATTTGCGAAAGCCTATTCCACCCTTATTGAAGTTAATATTAAACGCTACCTTTTTCTTTTCTATGTAACTTTCAAAACTTATTGTTATATTCTGTTCCAAGTTAAGAAAAGACCATTGCAGCATATGATTTAAGCAATCATACGCGACTGCATATAGTTCCGTTTTATTTCGTTATCAAATTATATAAGTATGCTTTCGAAGCAATATAAAAACTTTTAAAGGTTAAACACGTCAAGCAGAAATTTAATTCGTGCTACCTCTTACGATGTATATCATAGAATTAATAAAAAAAAAAGGTTATAGTTACGTAGCCTTACTGAAATTCTATACTTGGCGACATATTTCGATTTATAAGGAGAACATTCGTTCTTGGAAGAGAAACAAAAATATGACGTTACAAGGGCATTGGATTTAATTGGACCGCCAAAAATGGTGAGTCTTATGTTGACTTGTCCTTAACAAATTAAATGCGAGATTAATAATTTTTATTTTTGTTTCGCTGTAGAAGAAAATCGTCTGCAGGCAACAAAATGTATTATTCTTTCATCAATTTCTTTAAAAACGTATATTTGCTATGATTTTTAGTTATCATTTTTATTAATTTTTATTGCTTGTTAATTGATTACTGTTGTTAATAACTATTATTAATAAAAAAGCAAGCAAAAAGGAGGCTGAGCAACGTCGTTTCAAGAGTTGGCGAGATTGATATACGTTCTTGCTTGAAGCTTGGCATCCATTTAGCGTGCACNTTAGAGCTAGTAAGGCCAAACGCTCCGTTCTTGAAGTAAAAGTGCGAGCTTTGCGCCAAAGTGACGTCACTAGAGAGACGTCAGTGGATCGGCGCGGCGAGAGATACTTCAAAGGAGTGAACCAGCCCCTCTATTCTCTTTAGCCCTGGCTACGGAGTATAGTACATTTTCAGTAAATGGTCATATTAGTTAAAAAATAAAATAAAATGGACTTTTCTGAAAATAATATGATTGTGTTTCTCATTGATGTCTTTAATGCTTTAGTTGGACTTCGCTGGAGTTACTGTTGTCAATGTCACAGTTAATGCCAAACTGCCCAATGTGGTTAACACTTTCATGAAAGAAGATCAGTTGGAACTTTCTCACGGTATCTCACTTAAAGGAGCTGTAAAGGTAAACACATTCCTTTATTATCGGATTGCGGGTTTTATGCGTTGTCCTTTTCATATACATAATAAAAAAAATCGTATTTTATAACAACACTCTCTTAATAGTTAGAAACATGTAAAATAAAAAATAAAAATTGGTTAGAAAAATACTGATATACGTACTCTAAGAAAAAGAAGTATCGTCGAAACTACCAGAATTTGGTAAAATGTGCGGTGTTTCTGGCACTGTGGGACCACCAAAAGCCTCGTAATTTTTACCAAAACGCTTTGGTAATGATTTTAGTAAAATTAGCAACAAAGTATGGTTTTATAATATGTGATAAGTGGCTGGGTGGCGCAGTTGGTTTGTTGTCGGCCTTCTGAGCGCAAGTCTGCGGGTTCGATCCCCGGCCCAGACACCGGATTTTCGGGATGCAGAAAATTCTCAGCGGCCATGTCGTATGATTATGCGGCACGTAAAAGATCCCTGGAGTGCCTTATTGGCTCTTGGCATTTCCGGCAAAATTAAATTCCTAGTTCACTTTAGCATCCAAATAGAGTCTCGGTGCTGCCATCTAGTGCGTCAGAAACTGGACGTCCAAATTAACATGACCAGCGGTATCTCACCCATTGTGATGGTCCTGAAAGAGTGGATATCACCTCTGGAGAACGCACTAGGTCTGCTCATCGGCAAGACCGATTGTGCAGCTCATTGGAAATAAAATAATAATAATAATATATGATAAAATTGTGTAAATGTGGTAAAACTGGGTAATTTTATCACGATACCTTCGAGAATTGCATAAAAGCCCTTTATTTGGTTAAATTTACAATTCAGTTTTGCATTTCTTACTAAATGTGTGGTAATAAGAAATATAATTTTGAAAACCGAAATTTCTCGCGAACCGTTATCATATGAACGGAAAACGTTATGGTTTTAATGCCATATATTTTGGTTTTATTAACCAGAATTATAGTTTCTTTTACCAGAAATGCCATTACTATACAGTACTGTAATTTTGCCAGAATTGTTTTCTCCGTGTGCTTTTAGTTTCCTTTCAAAGAGATTATCAAAATTTTGTGACCCAAGTTACCCCCATCACTTCAAGACCAAGCAAGATAAGTTTACAGAGCTTGGCTGTTTTATGACATAAATCACAATATAAAGTATAAGTAATTTAAAGTTCAAAATTTTCAAAGATAAAAAGCTATAAACAGAAGTAAAGTATAGCAATTTATTTCTTCGTATATCACTATATGCGACGTGCTTTGTCTACAAGGATACAGCACCAAGCGAAACATGAAATTTTGATTCCAAACAAAATCTATTTTTCATTTTTTACTAGTTATGGAATACTGAGTTCGAATATCTTATTTGTTTTTGGGGTCAAATAAAATAAAATATTAGTTCCATACATATTTAACCTCAAAAACATTCATCCTACATTATTAAGGTAAAAGTACAAGTTACGAAACAACTGCCCTTAATATACAGTTAAAGATTGTCAAAAAGTAAAAATAATTGGATCCCCTATTGATTATTTTTTCAAATAAAAAATAAAAGCGCTATTGGACAGTAATGAGGTTGTCGACATTAAAAATCAGCAAAATCTGTGTGATTGCTGAGGAAACTGCAAAGAAGTGAAAACAGATTATAAGAAACATGTTCAAGTTTCATAAGCCGCCAAGTTGGTTTCGGTCATTTTAATTTTTATAACTTTTTTTAGTCTTCTCTTTGCTTAAGTATTAATTTGTGACCCTATTGTACATACATTCATTTTTTCTAAAATTATTAGTTAGGAATTCAAGATGCAAAAAATTCTAAGAACATTAATTATTGATTAATGAAATTATGAATTTTTCGAATTAAAACACGGTAATAACAAATATATAATACTGTCTGGTAATCACGAGATTCGAGCTGATCTCACTTCTTCTTCATGAGCTCATCTTGTGGTTCCAGCCAGTTACTTAAGATGTTTCAAAAATACAGCAAACTATTCAAAACAAATTGAATCAATGAGCAAAAATACTGATAATGTGATTATGCAGGTTAGGTATGAGCATCTTGACCACGAACCATTCAGCTACAACATCAGTGTTGAGAATTCCAGTGGAGCAGCTAAGCACGCTACTGTCCGAATCTTTTTGGGACCTGTACACGATGAATTGGGAAACAAACTCTCCATCAACGAGTCAAGGAGGTTTTACATCGAACTTGACAAATTCCATGCTGAATGTAAGTGTGTTTTAATATAATTTTTTAAATAAAAAATTGTACGTTTAAGGTTTAATCTAGCTTTGCTTAACGGTCGTATATCTACTTCTAGCCATTAACATTTTTTTCCCCATTCAGTCGTATGTCTGCTCTCAGCCGTCAAAGCTTTTTTGCTGTTCAGTTGTATGTCTGTGAACTGCCATCAAAGCTTTTTTATCGTTCATTCATGTGGCTGCTCTCAGCCATCAAACCATTTTTACCGTTTAGTCGCATGTCTGCTCTCAGCTATCAAAGCTTTTTTCTCATTTAGTCGCATGTCTACTCTCACCCACCAAAGCTTTTTTCTCGTTTAGTCGCATGTCTGCTCTCAGCCATCAAAGCTCTTTTCTCGTTTAGTCACATGTTTTCTCTCAGCCATCGAAGCTTTTTCACCGTTTAGTCGCATGTCTGCTCTCAGCTATCAAAGCTTTTTTCTCGTTTAGTCGCATGTCTGCTCTCATCCATCAAAGCTTTCAGCCCTCAAGGATTCTTTTTACCATTCAGTTGCATGTCTGCTCTCAGCCATTAAACCTTTTTTTACCCTTCAGTTGTATGTCTGCTCTCAGCTATCGAAGCTTTCTTACCGTTTAGTCGCATGTCTGCTCTCATCCATCAAAGCTTTCAGCCCTCAAAGATTCTTTTTACCCTTCAGTTGTATGTCTGCTCTCAGCCATTAAACCTTTTTTTACCCTTCAGTTGTATGTCTGCTCTCAGCTATCGAAGCTTTCTTACCGTTTAGTCATATGTCTTCTCCCAGCCATCAAAGCAAAGAACCATACTGATCTATTGAAAAATAGATCAGAACTGAACAATAGTATTTATAATATTTTGCGAATTGCGCATAAGTGTAATTGCCTTTTCTCTTCATAAATATTTTTTCTTTCATTATCCTATAATTTGCATTCTTTTAAGAAAAATTAATTACGACCATTATGACAATCATGTGTTAGCTCAATACAATCACGAGAAGTTAACTTAAAAAAGTAGAAAATAAAAATGATTTTTCAGTTCTAAATTTTGAAATAATTTGATAATAATTGATAGCATATGCATATTAAATATCGTGAAATTAATCGAATAACAATTACGAAATTCTGATTGAAAATCCCTTTTTGTTTTCAAAAGTTGGCTAATTCTACAATTACAATTGTATTTATTAAAAGATTTATGATTGAAAATAAATTAAGGATGCATACATTAGTTTTTCTTCTATAAAAAGATATGTTTAAGCGAATTTATTGATCGAAAAATCAATAGAAACCTATGCATTTATTTTTGAACTCAAAGTCATATTGCCAATGAAATTAATTACATGAAAGTTATCTAAATCAAAATTATAGCTATTTTATTTTGTAACTGATTTATTTTAAACTTAATCCATTTGTATATAATTGATGTGGTTTACGTTGCATTTAGAGTTTTTTTAAAATATTTTTTTTAAAACTATAGCGTGAGTCCCAGTTTACTCCACACTTTTAGTCGATAGGTTACCAGCATAAAAAAACTCAGTTTTACTCAAATGTGGGAAAAGAGCGTTCAAAGTGTGTATTCAGTGCTGTGAAAGTACATTGTTGATAAATTTCTACCCAATTTCATCCAGTGGTGCAAAATGTCACGGAGAAAATAAAAGCGTGTTATGATGAACCAAAATTGTGCGCTTCAAACAATGCGCTTGAAATCAGGATTTAACATTTACTTAATAAAAAAACTATGAGCCTCATTAAAAATAGCACAAAAATAATGAGTGTTATAAATCAGTCGTTACCTTCTTGCTATCTCAGATTACTTATTACAATGATTTCCAAGCAGACTTCAATTTTAACAAGGAATCTACATGTTAAAGGTGGTAATTACGGAACATCTGTATTGTTACATTTAATGCGTAGGAAAACAAGGCTAATTATGGCCACTAATACAAGATTTGGCATATTTTAACTATGGAATGTAGCTACATTTAGATATCAAAGATATTTTATTATTTTAATTTAATTCCAGCTACAATGAAGATGCAGTTTTTAGGTCTGAAGAAATTTATTTCTTTGTCGCTATAGACTAAAAATTTATTTTAACTTTGAATTAATTTATTCTAGAAGTATAAGTATTAATTTTACGATTATAGCACAAACTAGGAGGGGTGGTTGAGCGTACTAAACACGTATTTTTAGTGTAGGGTCTAAAGTAATGTGTGAAGACAGGAATACAAGAAATGATATGAAATGTAAAATGTGTTTGTTTACAAAATCAACGCGAAGTTCTTATTTGCAGTAATATAGTAAGTATAAACGTTCAAAATTGCGACCAATAATAGTAATACGAGCTTAGGCTCTGAAAGACTTGTCACAATTTGGAACATTTATTATGAATGCTCTGTGACTGCAAATAAGCACTTTGACGTTGATTTTGTAACTAAACACATTTTTCATTCCGTATCATCTCTTGCGCTCGTGTCTTAACACGTCGCTTTAGACCTTTTATTCCTATACAAAAAGTGTGAGCTGTGATGGCTCAAGGGATAGAGCGTTCGCCTTCCAATGAGGGGAACCGCGTTCGAATCCCAGAATCGACTGGTCGATACCAATTCCGCATCCAGCTTGCACCGACCACAATGCTGACGTAAAATAACCTCAGTGGAAAATGGATCATGATTTAGAGTCCCCTTGCCGTTAGGCTAGCTTCGGGTGGTTTTCATGGTTTTCCTCTCCATGTAACGCAAATGCTTGTTAGTTTCATCAAAAAGTCCTCCACTTAGGCAAATTTCTCCCAATACTTGATCCAAGAGTTCCCTCGTCTTCCGGATTGAGCTCAAACTCACAAGGCTACGGAGGTGAAAATTAGTAGTTGCAAACTCAAAAGATTGGGTCGGCTGTTCAACTACGGTTATAAATATACAAATAGTGCTTGTTTTAGAACTCTCAGGAGCCGTGCAAGTTTTTCACATGACTAGAGAATCACCTTGTTTATAATATACAAGGGAAGCGAATTTCGCAGACGCTCCTTTTTTTTGTGTAAAATAAGTCACGAAGCTGATTTTTATTTGCAGTGGCTGCTGGCAAGAATACAATTACTCGCAAATCCATTGATTCTGCTGTCACCGTTGCACCAACACCAAAATTCTCTCAACTTCAATCTGGAGAGGGAATCAGCGAGAATAACACCGAGTTCTGCAGTTGCGGTTGGCCCCAGCATCTTCTTGTTCCAAGGGGAACTCACAAGGGCATGGACTTCTATCTTTTTGTTATGCTTACAGATTATGAGCAAGATCATGTAAGTATTATAACAGATTCATATTCAATCTACACTGACAATTGACGCACCTTAATATAAGACATGGATTGTTGCATAAAATAATTATTAATTGTACTGGATCCATATATTAAAATTAATGTCATGAATTTCGTTTCAAAAATGTAAATATTTAGAGACCGTTAAAATAATTTTTTTGTCAAGCTTGGAGATGGGCTCACATAATTGTGACTGTAACAAGGGAAGAGGCGAGGACAAGGAATATGGCGATTCACGCTTAGAATACATAATAATATAAAAATACATAAAATGAATAGACTGGACGAGTAAGTTTTTCCTCTTACGTTCATTTTAAATGGATGAAAGGACCTACTGTGGTCTAGTGGTGCCATCTATTGTGAGAGATGGAAATACTAGATTTTTTTGTGATAAGCAGAACTGCGGCGGCGTTGCCGTAGATGAGTGCCTGAGAGAGTTGCATGTTACGGTAATCCAGGGTCACTCAAGGAGGTGGTTAGGATAAGAAAACTCATCATGCATTGAAGGGATGGTAAAAATATTCTGGTGTCCACACTGGGAGTTGAAGCCTCTGTTCAACCGGTCGGTTTATCCCTATTAGCTTAAGTACATACCCACCTTTAAGGAGTTAAGTGTCTTCATTAAAACTTCACCACATACCGTTTTATTTCGATGGTTTAATTTCTATTAAAAAAACATCGGAGCTAATTAGGCTTAAATTAAGTAGTTTCATAAAATCGTGTCAAGTGTTTTTGTTATACAATGTGGCATGTGTCATAGGATATGGTGAAGTATGACATTTAGTTACAAATGGGAAGAGGGGTTAAAAATATTAAAAAAAGTGCGGTGGCATTTATTGACAATCCATATTTATTATTATACGAATAATTTTTATACATATAGTCAGAACTATTAATAGGATACATGAATTATAATAGCAGATAATATTTTACCAAGAACCAAATGCACTTGGTTCTGGGACAAAAACGAGAAAAGTAACTCTGTTTTTAGTGACCAACAATATAATAAGTTTAATAAGCATCTAGTCGGTGTGGTGGGTTAAGTATTTATCATCACAATTTGGGCCACGCTAAAGGCTGAGTGTCCTATCGGACTGAACTTACTTCGATTGTATTTCTAGCCATTCGAAATCGAATCTAATGACTTTTCCTTGGCAGCTTTATAGCGGGGAAAATTTATGCATGATTGGGTGGTTGAGGAGTGTGCTGCGGAAGCAAGGTGATTGTTACCGCAATCTGCCATTTAATCTAAATTGTGGCATTGCTGTGTGGGCATGCACTAGCATCGACTTCGAATTATAATCTAAATAACCCAAATTGTAGCCAATATAACAATAGTGTAGCTATAGTGGGACACTAGCATTCAAATTATGATAAATATTTTGCTGTGACGTTTCAGAAATGTAATCGATTCAAATATAATCAAGTTTAAAATAAGCGAACATTTTAAAATCTGTTGACATCGAATTATTGATTTGTTATATGTTCTTCCTGAGTCACCCCTTTCGCCCCTTTTTGTCACCACCCCAAGCATAGTAGGGTACTAATAAGGTGGTACCAATCACCTATTTAATTTGGGGAAGCAAGTTCAGTCAGAATAAAAAAAACTAAAAAAAACGGTTTGTCATAAAATTTTATGAAAATTTTACACGTCCAAGAAATATTTACCCTTAATACCAGTAATATTTTTCTTATGAATTTAATTTAGTTTATACTTGACTGTCAAATTCAATTAACAATTGAAATCTTCTTTTAATACACTCTTTAAAAATGAAAGAAAAGTGATTATTAATGGTAGACCCATAACACGCATTGCATTTTTAAGTTTTTCTTGTTTCCAAAAAAACATGAAAAGTTTCAATTTGTGCAATTTCTTAAAAATTAATACACATTACCAATATTGTAATAACATCTAATACAGATGTAAACATCTATTACAATCTTTAAATTTATCATTTAGGTTGGTACCCTGAATGCTCAAGCAATCTGCGCTGATGCTGTCAGCTATTGTGGAGCTAAGGATCAGAAATACCCTGACAAGAAGTCTATGGGTTATCCATTTGATCGAATCATCAGGGCACGCACAATTGCTGAATTCTCTACTCAGAACATGAATTTCCAAGAAGTCAAGATTCAATTCAAAGAATGAACTCTAAATGAATAACACGAAGAAAATACATCAAATTTTGTGATTCAAAATCAATTGGTGTACAAACTTTAGTTATTTAACAATAATTTTGTGCTAATTTATTTTTAGCGAGCAAAAATGAAACTAATTATAATATTTTAAATGTTAGAATACATTCAGATTTACCTTCACGATTATAAGATATAACTTTTGAGATTTCAAAGTATGTCCTCAACTTGTTTTTATGACGTTTATAAACTTGTCTTATAAAAGCTGTATTGCCATTTATACAATTGAAATAAAAGTGTTATTTTAGAATCATTTGTACATTTTTCCTTTTTCAAGAGGTAACTCTATTTTGTTTAGACGAGCTTCATATTTTTTCAGGACAAGTTTATTTTTCAGGAGGATTGATTTAATCTAGCTATCAGCTAAAATATTTAAAATATTAATTTCAGTGGAACAGCTAATGAGGTACAGAGTGTTCCGGATGCACCACCCTACGTATTCTTCCTCTTGTCTTTCTGTTTACCGACTCATGTAAGAAAGGGTTAAATCGAAATTAACCTATATGAACCTGTATTGACCAAAACAATAGTCTTTCTGACGAAGGAATGTCAATGGAACTCAGTATTTAGGGTGTCCCAAAACTCATAGTACACACGTTACGGTGTGATAGAAGACAACTAAACAAACACAAGTCACTATACAATCCATGGTTCAAGCACAAATCGTAGCGCTGTAGGGCGCTGACTTTTTTTCTTTCCTGGACTTTTAATTTTAAATCTGAACTTTTTCTTCTGTTGTTATATGAAGAACCTCATTTATAGCATAGCCGCGATGGCTCAGGGGATAGAGCGTTAGCCTTCCAATGAGGTGAACCGGGGTTCGATCCCGGCGATGGCTGGTCGATACGAATTCCGCATCTCGCTTGCCCCGACCACAGTGCTGAATGTCCTCAGTGGTAGATGGATCATGGGTAAGAGTCCCCTTCCCTTCAGGCTAACCGTGAAAGGTTCTCGTGGTTTTCTCTCCCTGTAACGCAAATGCGGGTCAGTTACATCAAAAAAGTTCTGTACGAAGGCAGATTTCTCCCAATATTTGATACAGGAGTTCCCTTGTCTTCTGGATCGGGTTCAAAATTACGAGTCTACAAAATATAACATTGTTAGTCCTACACCTAAATTCAGGTCGGCTGTTCAACGACGGTTATAAAATGGTTCCATAGATTCTGCTGAAGATTCTCCCCGATATCCGTTGCAGCTGACATATAATATAACAAGAATGCCTGGTTTTTTCGTCAATGTATGGCTGTCATTCCTTCCAACTGGTTAAGCCTGCATTAATTTTGTGGCCGCCATTTTGAGCAATTTATGCAATGAGGGACTTCGTGTTGGTTAATTTCATTTTGTTGAATAAAATGTTTTTCCTCCTTTTATTGGTTTCTTTAAATTCCATCTCTGTCTGTCTTGTTTTCCATTATTTCGTTCTATAACATATTTCGTGCTCCAGCACTTTACGACTTGAATCCCGACCATGGATTTTATGGTTATTTTTTTGTCTTCTATCACCTCCTAACGTGAGTACAATGAGTTTTGGAACAGACATTATATGGGCATAGGAAAAAGAAATCTTACAAAAAAAAAATAATAATTCACGTTTTAACTCAATAGATGTCGATTTTAATGAATGAGAAAGAGCGTCAATGAATCTATAGAGCTTTTCAAAAAGCCAATAGCCACTGCCGTTGAACCATTTTGCATAATGCCGATTAGAGAATAAGGAATTAAAATCATTATTACTAGATTTGAAGAGATCGCCGGCCAGGTGGCCGAGTGGTTAGCTTGCCTGACTGCGAAGTCAATGGCTGCGGGTTCGAATCCCGCTCTGGGCATGGATGTTTCTCTCTCTCTCTGTGTTGTCTTTTGATGTGTGAATGTATGAATGTGGCCTGCCCTATGAACGGGTATTTGTGGCAGTGTGGCGTGGGTAATGTTACTCGCCTCCGTCACTTTGGTTGACCCCTTATAGCTAATTTAATGTTTTTCGTACTTCGCTATATCTCGGGAACGGTTTAAGCGAATTGAAAAGTTTTTGCGCGCAATTATAAAACTCGTTTGATCGAAGATAATACCATTCAAAAAAATAAATTTTAGTAAGTATTTACTATTTTTATTATTTTATTTAATATTGGTCAAAACAATTTATAATTGTAAGGTATAAATTTTTTCCCCATCATTTCAAAGCATATAAATTTACATGGCAGAACACAAAATTTGAGCAAAGTCGGTCGAATAGTTTCTGAAAAATCGAATTTCAAAGAAGTCAGCTATTTAAATAGTGTGATGTACAATAGTATGATTAATGAAAAGAGGTTGGGGGTAGAGGGCTTGATGGAAGTATGACACTTTGCGACAAAAGGATGAAATGAACTCAAAATTATTGATAAAAAAAGCGAGGCGTTATCATTTGAGAAAATTATGAGAAAAACTGATTTCAAAATTCAAGGATACCTCATATATGAGTTAAACTTTTCCTTCGATAACGACGCAGTGGTCTAGTGGAAGGGAGCCTACCTTTCAAAAGAAACATTTCGTGATCGAATCATGCTGTGGGCATTTTTTTCTTCTTTAATTTATTTCCAAAGTTTTTTTGTTTGTTTGTATATAGTTTAGAGGCGTACTAATCATATTAAATCATATAATTTAAAATTAACAATGGAAATTGACGATGAACTGTTTTCCTTTCGCATACATTATCATCATAGTTGGACAGACAGCCCAATGTGAGCCAATGACTTCCTCTGAAGATTTCTCCATAGCGACTTTCTTTATCTTTGGTCTCCAATTTTTTTCATTAATTGCTAGAAAATCTGACTCCAACGAGTCAACCCATATCAACCACGGCCTTCCCCGCTTTCTTGTTTCAGTGAGTCTAAAAAGCATTATTGTATTGTCATCACTCATTCGAATCTCGTGGGCAGTCCAACTCATTCTATTTATTTTTATGTATTTAATAATATCGGGTTGCTTATAAATCTTGTACTGTTCAAAGTTAAATCCTTCTCCAGTTATTATTTTCATTTTCACCACCAAGTATACTCTGCAAAAAATCTTTCTCTCAAATATTGCGATACAATTTTCCTTCAGTTTTGTCATTGTTCAAGATTCAGAAGCATGTGTCAAGACTGGTCTGACAATAGTTTTGTTAATTAAGAACTTTGTTTTTCTAGAAAGAAACCTAGATTTAATAAATCTTCTCAGGCCACAGATCAGCCCTATTTGTCAGATTTCATTTTAATACAGACTTCACTAAAATTTATTCCTCGATTTTTTTCCAATTAATAATGCGATATTCTGTATAGGCTTTCAATAAAAATAAAAGCCGCAAGATTGTACGGAAAATTTTGGAGGAACCACGGCTCATAATTGTCATTGTCATTACCATGGCTTATAAATATGATTTTAGCCGATATCATTTTATTGAAAAATTTAATTATTACTGTGATTCAAATGTCAAGTAATATGCTTTTAGCCGATATCATTTTATTGAAAAATTTAATTATTACTGTGATTCAAATGTCAAATAATATGCAGTAACCAAAAAACAAGTACAATGCAAACATTCTCAGAAATAAAACTCGCACTTTCAACAATTCAGCAATCCCTTAGCAGTATTTCGTTAATTTTAAGAATCATTTCGTCCCGAAATCACATGATTTGGGACGATACGTGAACTCTCAAATATCAAACCATCAAGATATGTTAATAGTTTTTGTTAGTTTCTTGATTTCCCAACACTATTTGATGGTAACCATCATCCAACAACTCCCATCATGTTGTAATTGATTTTGATGGGTCAAAAAATTTCTATCACTTCATGTTGGAAGATGAAATTTATCATATGATGGTTAACCAACATGTTGTATTAGAAATTCTTCGACTAACAAATTCCATCACCACATGATGGAACATACTGCTTTAGTAATATGATGGTCAACCAACAAGTTATGTTTGAATTTCTCGGGCTAACAACATCCATCATTTCACTATGGAAAATATTGCTTTAATTCTATGCTGGTCAACCATCAATTGAGTTTTTGGTATTGGTGAACCAATGGCAACCATCATTTGATGATGGGACGTCTTAATTTATCATTACTAGACTATCAAGTAATGTCAAGTGATGCTATTAATAATGGAGCTTCATCCTTCATTTCATGATAGAATATAATAAACCCATATATGATAAACAGTTTCACGTTGAGTAAGGATGTATTCTTCATCTCATGCTGAGAAAATTTTGTGCCTAATATTTTTCAAGTAATGTTTGCATAACAACTAAGATTTGAAAATAAATTAAATAAATTAGAAATTCCTTTAAGGGAAGCTACCAGTAAAAGTCTATTATTTTTTTCAATGAAAAGAAGAAGAGTAAAGCAAAGTTGATGTGGGGGGCTTCCCTGGCAGAGCAATATCGCCCACGTTTTGTGAAGCGTGAGGGTGATGGGCTCGAATCCCGCCGTAACCCTGGATGTATTCTTCGTGATGTCCTCCTCTGAATTGTTCTATCTGTAATTCAATTGACAAAAGCTTATAAGCATAAATTGAGCAGCACACAATTCTGCGAATGTATGTTATTTCAATAAAGAAGATGATGTGGATGTGCGATGATAGTGAAAAAATCTCTCTCTTCGCTTGCTTCAGTGAGCAGCTAAAATGATCATCGCTTGGTAACGCACCCTCTAAAGGTAAGATCCATTGTTTGAAGTAAAAGATGTCCGACCATCAAATCCAAGTGATGGGAGCGTAATTGACTCAACATGAAGCTGGGTCAATTTAAATATCCGAGTGTTGGGCAGTCTCGATGGTCTCAACAAAAAGCATGATGCTTTGTGGTGGAAAATTATAATAATAATCAGTAAATTGTGTTGGATCGTAATGGATTTATTTTTGTTGGCAGTCTTGATGGTCCCAATAAAGGGCATGATGGCTTGTGATGGAAAATTATAATGGTAACCAGCGAAGTATGTTGGATCGTTATGGATTTTTCGTTGGCAGTCTTGATGGTCCCAATAAAGGGCATGATGGTTTGTGATGGAAAATTATAATGGTAACCAGCGAAGTATGTTGGATCGTTATGGATTTTTCGTTGGCAGTCTTGATGGTCCCAATAAAGGGCATGATGGCTTGTGATGGAAAATTATAATGGTAACCAGCGAAGTATGTTGGATCGTGATGGATTTTTCGTTGGCAGTCTTGATGGTCCCAATATAGGGCACGATGGTTTGTGATGGAAAATTATAATGGTAACCAGCG